AGGTAGCCCTTTGCGCGCGGCATACGGTTTGATGCTTAATGCGGACCCGACCACTCGGAATGGGCAAACGGGGAGCGAGCTGAGCTGCCTCTATAGATACACCAATGCTGGGGCAGTAACACACTTCTGTCGTATGCGGAAGTTCATCAGCTCTCATCTTGAGAATCAAAATGTCCGATAAGGCCAGAAAGCTAGGTGCGGAAGTTAAAGACATTGTCCTTTTAAGGACGACCAGTATTCGGGAAAGCCATGCCCTGTTAGAAGCCCAACCAGAATCCTTGCGATTGCCTTCCAATAATTCTTTTGTAAGTTTTGCGGATGGCCCTTCTATGAATCTCTTCGCGTGCCTCATACCTGTGGTATTAGTCCAGGTTTTAGACTCATTAAGGATCCATTTTAAGATGTATCCTCTTCTGTGGCAAGCTGCTAAGCCGCAGTAAGGTTCTGCGCCCAGAGACATGTTGGCTCCCTTTTTTGGCCAACATGCCAACCTTTTCGTTGCCTCTATGACCCGAATGTCCAGGGACCCATGCCAGAGTCAGGTCATTACTGTCACTGACTTCAGTCAGGGCCTCCATGCAGTTCCAAACACTCTTTGCCTTCGCCTCGCATGAAGCTAAGGCCCTGAGTGCTGCCTGACTGTCAGAAAAATGGCTATCTTCCGGAAATGTATTCCTAGACTTTTTATTTCTCTGGCACATTGTTCAATCGCTGTGATTTCTGACTGGAAAACTGTAGCATACTTACCTAGGTTTACCGACAGTTCGGTCTTGGGGTTCATCCTGAAGACCCCAGCTCCCGTACCCTTGTCGGTTTTGGAGCCGTCAGTATACCAGTAATTTGCCTTTAGTGTTCCTTTGGCCCATTCTTCCCGTTCTGGTACAGGGTGATTTGCTACTCGTAACAAATTTCTTCTGTTCCTCAAATCCAACAAAACAGTTCGTATAAACCATGGTCCATTTCTCAACCCTTTCGCAGGTCATCACCATACGTTTTTTTCAAAACTATGGTTTTCTTCATAAAAGCAGAAAATTACGTTGATTTTTTTTGTGCTTTTATATAACTCTACCTGACGGAACCAAATCCTGGCCGGATGTTGTCACGGACGAGGACACGGTTACTGCCTTGGACGTTGATGTGGCTTATACTGACTTAGACCGAGTGGCTGACGGGAAAGTAGCGAATTACAAGGTATTCCAAGACAGCCCCGTGGCGGTATACCAAAATCCCAATTATATGGTAGAAGCTATCGTCGTGGGAGTTAGGTGCCTGAGCGTACAATCAAGACGACGAGTCATTGGGGATACAGCACTCCCCAAGATGCTCCTTACACTTTCCTTAATAGCCCTTCGTTCATCGATGTGGATAGCGTGCGGCCACATGGATCAACCAATAACATCCGCCCCAAGAAGGGCCATGAATTTGGACCATAAGGCCGGCGGCGAGGAAACGGACACACGATTGACCTGACGGGCGGTGAATGTTGGTGAAAGTCGAATCACCAGGAGATCCGTGATTTTAAGGGTACTGTGCTATTCCCGGAAAGAGATTACTTAGTTAACTGGAAATAATTCAGAAATATTGCTGCTGAGGTGTCTCACACTGTTCTAACTTTTTGTTTTCAAACGTTTGTTCTACATAACTTATTTCTCCGCGAAATTTCATCCCTTGGCTAAACCCTTTCTGCATGTTTTCTTAACCTCAACTGAAATATTGTTTCAAATTGTTTTCATGTCTTCATAGACAGATAAATGATGTGTGCCTCCAAATTTCACGTGAAAATTGGGTTGAAGTTACTATCAATCGTAGAGTTTTGTTAAATCAAGTTGTTCTGAAGGTTTATCAGTAGGTTTTTATACTTTGGTCTAATAATATCAGGGCTTTGTAAAATCCAGGTATCATCTGAGCCACTAATTGAAAAAGCGATCACAAAATAATTTTAGTAACGGAACCTGACTTTACTTATAATCAGCAGATTAATTGGAAGATACAGAATGGTTTAGGTAGAAGTTTAATTTTCTTATAAGTACTAGGAATCCCAAATTGCGGATATGTAATTCTCAGACTTTTGCCTGGAAAAGATTGTAGTTTTGGCCTATTAGATTAGGGTTTAGTGAGATCCATTTTTTTCATCCAAGCCAATAATATATAAATAGGCAAAAGTTCCAGCGTCTAGTTAAATGAATCAAATTCCATAATGCGGCCGTATCAAATTTTAGTAAACGATTGGCAGACATATTAAGAACGCTTAACCAACAATTCAACTATACTTTACTCGTAGATATCTTAGAAACAGGAGTTTAGTTGGCAGTTAGGAAATTAAAACACTCAACGCTGACGATATAGTAATAATTGCCGACAATACGCGCGGCTTACAACTCCTCACGCAAATAAATACATTCACACAATCGAGTAGTCACGAGAGTCTTTGATATTACACCGGTGACTGCTCCCTATCACACTGAAAATATTTTTTTTTTTAATTACCTAGACTACTTTGATGAGTTTGTAGGGTACTCGGCATTCCATTAAAAACACTTCCAAACATGCTATAATGTTCACGCTAATATATACATTCACTCAAATTGAGAAACCTACGCATGAATGGGCAGGCTACACCTTGCATTCTAGTGCGTAGTGTTCTAATGCTGCTAGCTATAAGCACTGTGCTTAGTGTGCTAATATACATTAGTGTGTTAATATACATTAGTGTGTTTACATGTACACTACATAAAGGGTATCTCTTTGGTGAGAAGATACCCATGTGCCAGCCTGGTCTGACCTACAAAAAAATTTCAGATATGTAATGCAGATTGCAAACGAAGCGAATATTTGATTTTACAGGGATATATTTTAAGTCCCACCCTTTTCTCTCTCTTCCTTGAAGATCTTCCCTCTGCACTTGAAGGCGGTGTTTGAGTTGGTAGCACTCAGGTTAAAATATTACTATATGCTAATGATGTGTTATTCTTAGTGCATAAAAGAGTAGACTTACAGAAGAACATAAAATATTAGAAGGGTATTGTGAGAAATAGGATTTTACTGGCCAAATCTAAGAAGCTCGTTTTTACAAAGGGGGCAGACTTGCTCGCACAGGCACTTTTTTCTACAAGGGATTGTTGAATTGTACTGGAACTGATTTGAACTGTTGAAATTTGAAATCATTATAAATACTACTTACTTTTACGCCTCGTCTTTCCTGCCATTATCAATTAAGCAGGTATCATGAATAAGATAGGATTTAGTAGAATTTTGGCTGGCCTCATATTAAATAATAACATTCCACTGAAAGCTAAACTCAACTTATTCAATGCTGTGTTGCTCCATGCTTTCCAAGTTTGAGGATATCATCAGTACGACATTGTCGAGGAATTTCTGAGGTTTTTTATCAAAAAACTTTTTGGCCTATTTGGCCTACTCTTATCTACCTCTAATTATAACCGTTAGGACCTGCGTTTTTAAGTTTAGGCCCTACCAGATTTTTCTTATCGGTCCCAACGGTCCTCCCCTCTTCAGCAGTTAGTCATAACCATAGGTAGTATCCAGGATGAACCACGGTGAGGTGCCTGGTCGGGATGATGGTGAGGAGAGTGATGATGCTAATATTATCCACTTACTTTCTTATTTCCTTTTCTAGCCGTTGTTCCGTTAACAAAAGCAATTGTACTTTTAGAGCTGGTTTCGAAAAGGAGAGCCCTTCCCAACTATTCCATTTTTGCTTCTTCTTTTCGAACGCTGTTCATCCAATTTGGCCTTAAATCATCAAAATTTGGGTGTTTTAGTTCATTCTATTTGTACACTGTGTTACGTAACATCATTGTCAAGCAACGCTGCCGTTCTCGACCTACAAGATCAACAAAGAAAAAGAAGAGGAGGGCAGTCCTACGCTGTTAGGTTAGTTTCATCTTTGTTTCTTAATTTCAATTTTTAAACTTAAAAATGCCTCTTAGTGCTGAGAATGTTGGGCGTGGTGTGGCACTTATTGATGATGGACGTTCCATCAGGTATGCGGTTATTGCCATCGGAATACGAAACACTGCGAGACGCCGTTGGACGTTTTCGAGAACTGGGTCCTACCATAAAAGGACCGGTTCTGAACGCCCTGTTCTGAAGAATTTTGCGAAACTAGCACCTTACTGTTGTTCAATTCATCAGGTTCAGGAAATTCGAGGTGTTCAAATTTCTGAGCGTACTGCTCGAAGAAGACGAAATCAGTACGGACTGATGATTTTTCCCCCGTAAGAGGACCTTTTTTTCAAATACCCTGCTCTTTCAAGTAAGAGGAACAGAATTGATTCAAATTTCTTTGAAGACTGACAAGTAACGTCAAGTTTGAATTGAATTTTTTTTTCATCCAGATTATTCGTTTTATAGTGTACAGTTTGTTGCGTAGCTCCTGCGGCGTGGGAGGAATAAAATAAGGGTATGGAGTAACCGATTCTTCCCGTTCAGGATGTTCGAGGTTTTCAAATTTCTGAGCGTACTGCCCGAAGAAAATGAAATCAGTATAGAGTGATGACTTTTCTTCCGTAAGAGGACCTTTTTTTCCAATGACGCGCTTATTCCAAGTAAGAGGACCAGAATTGATTCAAATTTCTTTGAAGCCCGACTGACAAGTAACGCCAAGTTTGAATTGAATTTGTTTTTTCATCCAGAGATTATTCGTTTCATAGCGTCCAGTTTGTTGCGTAGTTCCTGCGGCGTGGGAGGAATTAAATAAGGGTGTGGGGGTAAAATTGAAGATGTTGTGTTTGTCCGAGGTCTTCCCCTGGTATAAAAGGATGAATTACTTCCTTTGTGGGTAGAAGCGTTTGTCGATTAGTAAAAGTTTCTCGAAACGGACGGCAGAGGTTGACGCGGGTGAGGGAGTTTCATTCATTACATGTGGGTGTAAGCGGAGGGGTACGTGGGCACAATTCCAGGCCCAATCGGAACCCTTTCCAGCGAGGAACCCTCCAATGAGCTACCCTTTCCGACAAAGTGGGGGTTTCATTGAACCCTCGCGTGGGCGAACACAACCCTTTATAAACTCCGGCCACCCCTTTTCAACCCATTTCATCGCAACGAGTCCTTCGAACACTTTGTCCTATCTCCTGAGCAAAACGTAAGTCAAAATACATACAATTTAACAAATTTACCATGTACTTATAAAATTATTAATATTCCAATCCTATGTAAGTTATGTTAAAAAGATAAGTACATAAATAATGTCTAAATCGTTTAAAATTATGAAAAACATCATCTACATCAAAGCTGCATTGAAACCTTTTCTATTTGAAGTAAACAATAACAAAAGATTTTTTTTTATTCTGAAATTTCTGTCTGTAAAACTTCATCTGAAAACAACTTACACATAAAATGTCATAAATATGTTAACTATTGAACTAATTAATATATTAATATTTTAAAAAATTGTTAATATTTTTTATTTTATAACGTTTTATAATAAAAACAAACTTGCACACAAGAAAGGACTTATAATTATTGTTCTATCATTAACAAACATTTTAATTTGAAAATTATTTCGTTCTAAAGATGTTTTTTTACCCAATAGTTATTTATGATAGATCGCAATTTTTAAAAAAATTGAAATTAAATAATAGTTTTTGGTCGGATCGAGGAATTTTTCATGACATACTGAACCAAATTCCACTTTGATCCGGTTGTGGAAAATCATGGACAACCACTGTAGTCCAATAATGGATGTACAGCTACCATTCAGGTTATTTTTGGTAAAGTACGACCAACTGGCTAGGCACAGTTCACCTTTATCATCCTAAAAATTATCTATAATTATCATATCATCTTTACACCATTAAAATATAAATAAACAAATGATATACGAAAAGAAGAAATGAGATGCTTTGAAAAATGTTACTTCAAAGAAAATTCCATTTTTTAAGTAGTTTTTGTCAAATCACTTTAAACTTAAGTTTAATCCTTTTTATATATTTATTTAATTTAAAAAATAATTACTCATTCAAATCATTACATATATATTTTTTAAATAGTTAACTAAGTCCAGTTAAACTGAGATAAACAAGTCGTGGGGATCAATACTCAGCATAAATAATACGTCTCCAATAAAGGTAGCTTTGGACAGCCTTTAATATAAAAAAAAAATCGTAATTTTTTCCAATTAAATTTTATTATTGTTTTTTATTATTATCTCCTCGTCGGGCATGGGCAAATTAATAACATTTTGATGCGTAGTCTCGAAAACAATCGGTCTTTTTTTGGAACATCAACAGGTGGAGCATGCGCCCTCATTTCCTCGTCCCGTCGATATATGTTGAGAAATTTTCCCAAAGGGAAAAACCTTACGACTTTCTTCCTTGACTAAATAGTAACGATTATGTTTTTTTTATTACTTTTAAATACTTGAAACGACGTGATAGTAAAATTGTCGAAAATAACATATCTGTTATGTTGTTTTTGTTCATTCTTAACTGATTAGTCATTTATTTAAATAACTGGGCATCCGTTTGATAAACAGATAGAAAACAGATTAAATATTAACCTAATATCATGACTAAAAATCACTATAATTATAATAATTGCTTTACAAATAATTGTTTATTTTTTTCTATATGGAATATTTTGGACAGCAAACCTACGTTGAAGCATCAATTATATATATATAATATATTATATATATAATATCTATATAAGGAATGTATATAAACAATAAATATTGAAGGTAATTTACAAAATAGAAGAATAAATTATAAATATGATCTATTTTTGTTTTTGTTTTTATTCTTCTTGTTTTTTCCCCCATTATGGACAATTTAATTTGGTCAAAATTTTAGAAAGTTTACGCAATTTAAAGAAAAATCAATAAATTATCATTTTTCACAATTTAACATTAAATAAATGACTTAACAAAGAATAACATGACAATTTGTCCAAAAATTGTACAAAGTCTGGTTGTAATTTAAGGTTAAATGAAATGTTGACAAGTTTGTTTAAAATGTATCATTTTTTGTTTTTAGATGTTGAAAAAAATGTTTCAAACATTAACGATATCTGGAGTGTTGATGAGGTTCTTCGTCTTCGTGTTTATGCTGTCAGCTGTCGGAGCGTATCCTATGCTAGGAGGGAGCAAGAGGTACCCCCAAAGAGCATGGAGCCCTCTGCCGATCGTTTATCAACCAAGAGCTACGAGACCTTACGCTTCGTATTACGACCCATACGCCCAGGAGGCGTCGGACGTGGTTGATTTCTATTACCCTCAAGATCCTTACGACAAGTACAGGTTGTACCAGATGCCCTACTACGTCCCGGAGCAGTACTATTACGACGACGAAGAAGAACAGGAAGAAGAGATGGTCCCCTACGGTCAAGACTGGTACAACAACGGGAACGCCGAGGCGAACGCTATGTTTCTCCAGAACCTCATCATGGCCCAGATGTTGAAAGATTCGACGAACAAAGGAATGAGGTACCCTTTGGCATACCACGGAAAAGACGACTACGACGACGGATTCGTCTACGGAGAACCGATAAGGGAGGTGCCGACGAAAGAAGACAAAGACGTGAAAGAGCTCAAGTCCCTCATCGGTGGAAAAGAACGAAGACTCGGGATGGAAAATCGTAAGAGCAAGATGGAAAATCGATGGGTCGATAAGAGATCGAACCCCATGACGACCGTCGCACCGGAGACGACCACGAAAAGGAACAAGGGCCAGGACGAAGTCGTGATGCTTCGTCCTGCGACTCCTGCCAGACACCCCTCCTCTTACCAACAAAGGGCATACAAACCATCCGTGTACGACGCAATCAAGAAGCTTCTCATCGAACAGGTAAACTACTTAAATTTAAAACAAAACATGTTATCTTGTCATGAAAGGGCTTCTTTGTAAGGAAGGATAGGAAATTTGGAAGTTTTGAATGGGCTTCCCTCTGAATGAGGGAGGATGAGTATTGATCCAAAGTTCCATCCGCTGAATGGTGACGTCAGGCCACCTAGGCGCCCAGCCCCACCCATTCATAACTACTAGGTTTTCTATTTTTAAAAATCAAATTATCAAATTTAAATACTTTTATATATTTTTCATTTTGACTATTTTTTCAGAAAAACGACGACAAGAGGCAATCCCAACCGCAGAAGAGGTCTTACGTCCTTAGCGAAGATGCTTTAGTGGAGCAACTCGGCAATCTCAAAAAGGCCTAATTATTCTAAGTACCATTTATCGATATGAAGTTGTTTCAAGATTTTCCTGGTGTAACTGAAATTTCCTTTGACCGAGACATTTACTCGTAGGCCCGCTCTTACGAACTCGATGTTGTCATCTAGACCTTTTTACATTTAATTTTTGTCAATTGATATAATTTAAATTACATTTCTAATGAGAGATTAGATAATTTGTCTAATTTCCGTGTCCGACATCGAGGAGAGAGAACAAACTGTGAAATAGCATATTTAGTTAGTGTAATGTACGGTGTATAAATTTCTTGCATGGAGAAAATTGAAATGATTATTTAGACTTTCTAAATATCAAATAAAAAGTTTAATTAAACGAATAGAACTAATTATCCTTTTTAGAAAATATTGGAAAATTTAATAAAACCCCGAAACCAATAGTAGCTTTCAATTGTAAGATTATCGGTGTTGCTTTTAGTACAAGTTGACGTCTCGTTTTTATTTTTATTTTTATTTTTATTTATTTAATTTTTTAATTGATATTCGATTCAGACTTATCTTTTGAGAATCATGAATGAAAAATTAAATTTCAACTCTAAGATCTTTATCTGCTCTGGATTAGTGAATAAAACGAATTCTCATTTACGACAATAAAATATTATTGTTTGTTTACGTTATGTTAAATGTTTTTTACAAAAAGAAAGTGTTAAGAAATAACACGAGTCAGAAGTCGAGTGATCTTAGAATATTTTTATAAAGATTAGTAATTTTTTAAAACAAAATGTTATAAACCTATATTTGATTAATTTTGAAAAAAAAGAATGTTTGTTTTAAAAAGGGGTTTTTTACGATAAAAACCAATTTTAAAAAATTATGAGGCGTGTTAACTAGCCAGGCATAAATTAGTATGTATTTAATTGAATAAGGTGTTCTATACAATGACTGACCTTAAGACTGGATAGTATTTTGTTTTGATTAAAAAAAAATAATAATAATAATAATTTTTGTCTTTTATAATGTAATATAATAATAATAATAATTTATGCAATATGTTAAATGTGACCGCTTCTTCGTAATGCTTCCGTACATTTAAGTACATCTTTTGACTGACCTACCGCTGACGGGATAATATTTTTGGTGGGCGTTAAATATTTAAAATTGTATATAGTATCTGTTATATTTTGAGCTGATTCTACTTAAATAATAAAATATAGCCATTATATTTTATTATGTACTTCTTAACAATTCTATAACTGTCTGCTCAGTATAAAATAAGCTTTAAGTTAAATGTCGAGACTTATGTGATATGGATAATAAAATGCTTTGGATCTTTGTGTAGTTTCTTTCGGATTTTTAATTTTTCTCTCTCAGGTACGTTTTAGACGCATGGTTTGGAAGGATTTTTTCAGTAGGTTAATTTTAGAATTTTAAATTAACTCTTTCCTATTATAAAATCTACTAGTTCGAGCTATCGGTGAAAACTACTTTTAAAAAAATAGTGAAACAGTTGAACGTTGAAACAAATTTGTGTCATTTCTTTTCTCTAATCGTCAATTAAGGTTTTAATTTAATGGTCCGAGAAAAACGTTGTGGCAAAGGAATTTGGCTCGAAAAATATTAATCCAAAACTCTATGTATGTCCACTCTATTTTTCTATTTCTATTTATTTTCAAAGTGAAACGTCAGTACAAATCATTTGTTGATAAATGTTTTTATATTTTTGAAAATATTTGTAATATTTGTACATTGTAACTTTTCTATTGTTATATTTGTTTTTTTTATTTTATTAATTAATCAAAGATGAGACAATGTTAGTGAGCCAAACTATGTTACCACCTCAAAGGCAAATGGGTGAAGAAACATGTTATTGTGAAAAAAGCACGTTTTAAACTATTTAAACAAAAACATATCTGTCCTAGTTTCGTGTTAAATTTTTTATATCAAATAATCTGTCTTTGTAAATACAATATGTTTATTATATTTTGATAAGGATAATATTTTAGAATTATAATCCCTTGTTGTTGGTGTTGTACGTTATTCTACAAACCTAATCAGCAAGAATGCAGCATGTATTTTATCTTGTAATACAATAAATAATGGTTAATTGTATATGCTCAGTTTTATTACCTTACTGTTTTTTAGAAAATATCAACAAAATTATAAAATAAATTTCACATTGAGACAAATTTTTCGGCGTAGAAGGGTTAGAAATGCACAAGATTTGAGAAATAAATTATAAAAATAATAAAAAATACAAAAGTTAGATAAAGAAAATTATTTAATATAGCAGTATATTTATATAAAAGTTTCTTGTTTTATAAAAAATTAATCTTATTTATTTTTATTTATTAAATTTCTTGACCAAATAAATTCTTTTCAATTAATTAAAGTTTTTGGTTCAGATAAAAAAGTCAGTGTAACAAGCGGGTTTCGAACCCACGACCTTCGGATAAATACACCACTTGAAAAATGGCAAAAAGGAGGGATAATTCAAAAGGTGGGGTTGAGATGGGTAGTTAGTGTCCGAATGGATCGAATTCACGATTGCTAAGTGGCCAGCCGAAGGTCGTGGGTTCGAATCCCGCTCGTGTCACTGACTTTTTTTATCTCAGCCAAAAACCTTAATTAATTGAAATTAATCTTATTGCTTAAATGAAACCAAACTAAACTAAACTAAACTTTTAAAAAAATGCGAGTTTCGATTTCCGAAAATGTTGGAAAACAGAAAATAAAATAAATAGAACGACAGGCAGAAATAAACGCCGATGTCCTTTTACTATTTCCCTTTCCTTGTCCTTTCTTTAAGGCAAAACCTGAATTTACTCCATTATCAAAGTAGATAAGTAAAAAACAAAACAAAAAATTTACTTAAAACTTGGTTAGACTCCAGGGATGTCCACAGCACAATTTCAGCCCACAACGCGATCAGTTTCTAGCTTCAAACCACAGTCACACATTCTTAGAAAAGTTCTTTCTTGTTTTATATACCATTCACTCAATTAGTATGATGGATTACTTTACATTCCTCTATCACCCTTTTCATTTAATTGAGGGTCTATGGGGCCCTCAAAATTCGGCCATCAGCTCTCTCACATTACACATTCGCGCTAATAAATACATTTACTCTCAACACATGCTAGGGACATAAAACTATCAGCATTATATACAATAGAACAACCCGGTTTTCTCCAAAATTCGGAACAGGGGACACAGTTTGTTATTATTTTTTATGTAATTGGTATCATATAATTTAATAGTACACTTTTGTTGTTTATGTAAATGATCAAGCGAAAATAATTTGATTTTACTTATGAGCTATTTTTGCAACCACTATAATAAAGTAGTTTCTTTTGTCAACTATTTTAATCATTTTTGTTTTGAATAATAATGTGGATGATAATAATAATGAATAATAATAATTGTTTTGTATGTTTTATGGAATTGAGAAATGACTGATAACTCTAAAAAATAATTTTAATTCGTTAATTCTTAACGAAGGAATTGAATTTTTTAAATCTTTTTTGTAATTTTGGCACGAAAATAATTCTACTTTTAAATCAACAATTTTAATCATCTCTGTTAATGAAGCAATTTGTTTTTTAAAATAAACAAAACTAACTAATTTTAATATTCTCACTTATTATGAGAACTAATATCTGATTTCAGATTAAATATTTTTGTATTTAGTTTTTATATCATATATATTAGTATAAAAACGTAATGAAATATCTTTTATTGTTTTCAGTCCCATTCAGTGATTTTTTTTTTCAGTCAACAATTTTAATATTTTAAATAATATGGCAATTTATTTATTGGAATTGAGATTCACCATGAAAACTACTTTAAATCATTAATTAAATCTTGAAGAATCTGTTTTAAAATCTTTTTTTTTTTATATTAAAATCAATTTTTTTAGATGAATTTTTTTAATATTGTAAGCAACTAAAATAGCGTTTCAGCTAATTTATTATGAAAGTTCACTTTAGATATTTACATGTAATATTATTTATTATGTAAACTTTTCATGTAATTTAATTTATTTATTTTAATAGTAAAATTTTCGAAAATTATGTTAACAATTAAGGGAAAATAATTGAATTTTAGTATGATATATTTTTACAACCATTATAATGAAATAATGAAATAACTATGATTTTCCGTTCAAGTCCAAGTGAATTCATTTTTTAATTGATCAATTTTATGAATTTGAAAAATAAATAATAAAGTATTTATTGTATGGATTCTAAAAATGACTGAAAATAATTTATTAAAAAATAATTTTAAGTTAATTCGTTATGACCAAAATGAGTTTTTTATTTTTTTATTTTTTTTATTTTTTTTTTGTAGTTTTTTCATCAATTTTTTTTAAGTCAACAATTTTTATAATTTTCTATGTTAAATAAAGTAATTTATTTTATGGATTTGAAAACTGACTGTGAAAATAAGATCATAAAATAATTTTAAGTTAATTCTTTGTGACCAAAATGTTTATTTAATTTTTTATTTGTTTTTACATTTTTTTAAGCAACCATTTTTATAATTTTCTAAGTCAAATAATAAAGTAATTTACTTAATTTTTGGTATACAGATTTGAAAAATGAGTGAAAATAAGTTCTTATTAAAAAATAATTTTAAGTTAATTCTGTGTGACCAAAATGAGTTTTTATTTTATTTTTATTTTTACTTTATTTATTTTATTTTTTATTTTTTACATTTTTTTGTCAACCATTTTTATAATCTGCTAAGTAAAATAATAAAGTAATTTACTTAATTGGTATACAGATTTGAAAAATGAGTGAAAATAAGTTGTTATTAAAAAATAATTTTACGTTAATTCTTTATGACCAAAATGAGTATTTATTTTTTTACACCATTTTTTTAAGTCAACAATTTTTATAATTTTCTAAGTTAAATAATAAAGTAATTTACTTAATTGGTATACAGATTTGAAAAATGACTGAAAATAAGTTATTAAAAAATAATTTTAAGTTAATTCTTTACGATGAAAATGAGTTTATTTTTTTAATTTATTTTTTACCTTATTTTCTTCTCTTCTTTTTTTCTTTACTTTTTTTTTGTAGTTTTTATACAATTTTTTTAGTCACAATTGTAATAATTTCTGTTAAATAATGAAGTGTGTGAAAATAAGTTGTTAAGATATAATTTTAAGTTAATTCTTTATGAAGAAAATGTTAATTTGTTTTTGTAGGGCTTAAATAACCGTTGATAGCCGTCAGAAAAAAATTGTAGTTTTTACATCAATTTTTTTTAAGTCTACAATTTTCTGTTTTACAAATAAAGGACTTTGTTTTATGAAATTGAGAAACACCATGACTGTGAAAATAACTTTCTGCAGATCTTTGAGAACCACGACTGATGATAACCTTCTCTGTAACTTGCCAGTCTCGACTCTCGGGCTCGGCGTTGTTGCTCGGTGTAAACAGAATTTCTCACAGATCATTTCATAAGAAAAGGATGTGTTATGAAAGTAACAATTAAAAGTAAGTGTTTTATTATTTATTTCCCGTTTTTCTCCCTTTAACCCTTTTTATGTGAAACAAGGTTGGAACGGGGTTGCGACTTGGAGGTGGCTTGCGAACGATGACACTTGTGGGATTTGCAGACTAGCTTTCGACGGCTGCTGCCCCGACTGCAAAGTGCCTGGAGACGACTGTCCACTCGGTTCGATTTTTATTTTATGTGCCAAGAACTTATATCTAACTGATTTGCCTTATTGCTTTTATTTTTACAGTTTGGGGCCAATGTTCCCACTGCTTCCATATACACTGTATTATGAAGTGGCTCAACTCACAACAAGTCAACCAACAGTGTCCTATGTGTAGACAAGAGTGGAAATTCAGAGAATAGTCGTTTCTTTTTTTACAACGGTTTGTATATGTTTATTATTTCATGCATACCTCTTAGTCTGCGAGATTATGAATTTGTTTTATCGTTTCCAATCCGCATCCTAGTTCCTAGACTCCTAGAATGTGGACTTATTCTCAATCCATTGCCTGAAGGATATATATTTTTAGCAGTATGGTATGCCACAAAGAGTTCAGGTGCATAAGGTATCCTCATCAAATTTAATTTGCTAGGTAAAATTGATCAGTTACTGAAGACATTATACACGGAAAACTTTGCTTTACCCAAGAAACCTACACCCACCTTACTAGTGGCTATTGGCCTATTACTATTCTTCCAACACTACACAAAGCATTTCAGGACTTAACCAAATATCCTTATCTATTGACGTATGCCCTTATAACATTTTCAATCTGGCTTCTGAAAATTTCATAGTTGTGAGATATCCCTTCTCAAAATCTCAGATGATATTCACCTGGGTATTGATGGTAATAAGTATGCTACTATTGTTCTCTTTATTTTTCCAATATATCGTTTCAGTAAATCATAATTTGCTGATGCATCGTTTTGTTTTTCTTCTACTACTACTAATCTCATTTCCTCCTGTCTGACAGATCTGAGAGAGTTAAAGCTTCAAATTCTATCTCCTCTTCTCTCTCAATTTTTGGAAATTTGGTCTTGAGTCGCTTAGCTCCCGCTGTATTTTTGCTGATCTCATTTGGGGTTGGAAATTGTGGAATGGGGCCATTGATATCCTGAACTTACATTTATCGCTATATGTGCCTCAGCGACCACTTAAGAACCATAATTTGTTCTTTGTTCCACACTACAAAACAGAATATGGACTAAATTCACCCCTACCGAGGATAATGAGATTGCTGAATTATTATTCTAATGAAATAGATGTATTTCGTGATTCCTTGAATTCAGTTAAAGTTAAATTAAAATGTTTACTTGCCTTGAATCATTAAGCCTTGTTTTTGTTATTATTGCTTCATTGTTCATTTGTTCTTTTTGTTATTATGTGCCTTTTTTTTTTACTACTCCTCTTGTAGATTCTTTCTGTTGGAGTTATAATAAATAAATTTCAACTAGTGTACCTCAAGGCTGTATTCTTGGACCTTTACTGTTTTCCATGTTTCTAAATTATCTTCCATTAGTTCTTAATTTCTCTCAATTTCATGACAATGATGACACTCAGCTTTATCTTCTATGTCCTACAAGCAACCTCTATGAAGATATCTCTGTTCAACTGTAATATTCATTCTCTCAACCAATGGTTTATAAACAATAACGGCATATTTTCAAACCCTAACATATCCCATTCCTTATTAATTTCCAATAAACCCATTAGTACAGATTGCCCATCCCCTCCTCATATAAACGTCTCCCCTTAAGTTAAAAATCTCGGCATTATTTTTAACTCCAAGCTACATGGCATGACCATGAGAGCTCTATTATGAAAAAGATCTACTCAAGCCTACATTCACTTTGACGCCTGCTTTTACAGTCCACAGAAAATTAGAGTTAATAATTAATAAATAATTCCTTTCTCTTTCTGTAGCATTATTTTTTCACTTTTCTTACTCTCAATCTGCTCATCGCCTTCAAATTGCTTATTATTGTTCTTAAACGAAGTGATCAAATTTCTTCCTATATTAATGTCTTCAGCAACCTTATCATTCTAGGCACTTATAAACTTAAGAGTTTTAATACATATATTTAAAATTAAATCAAACAAATGTCCTCAATTATTGACTTTTTCCCCTCATTCCTTATCCAAATGCACCAATTTTTTCACAAGCCTTCAAAACTCCTCTAAACCTTTAACCTTATCCTTAAGAATTGCAGGGTCAACACTATGGAATTGCTTCCCCAGTTCGTTCTACTTCCTCGCTAGCTTGTTTCAGGTCCGTGTCATCTGAGTTTTTATAAACGACATCACTCATCTCCGTTTCTTCTTCCTGTTTTCTTTTTTACCTTTCTGATTTTCTTTTGTAATGTGCTTTCATCATTCGATTATAAATAATTAATATTTTAATGATTATATTAATTTGTTTGTCATTATTGTTTTGTATATTTGTTATTACTAATTTTTGAACAGCTAAGGTCATTTCATGCCCTAACATCCAAACCAAATCTTAGATTAGCTATATCCCTTCCGAGTGCTAAAAAGCTCTGATTCCAAACATTCATTCCTAAACTAATCTATCCTAATACCAAAGCTTTAATTTATCCTTTTACAATACTTAATTTGCAAAGCCAGATGTATGCAAAAAACCCATTTTAAAGTTTAAAATTTAATTAGAATTTGGAATTTTTGTTCTATAATTAAACAATTCCCATAGGCTTGTATGGCCAATTATAATAATAATAATAACAGAGTCAGACTAGCAACAGTCTCAGTATGAGTATAGGCTCATCGTTATCTGATTGTAATAATATTCACACAAAAACGTAATAATATTTCTTTTTTTTATCCTCTTTTTTTGGAGGGAGCTATCTTTCCTTATTTAAATTGTGATTTTGGGCATTGTAGTTTATTACCCCGTAATTTGTATTTTCTTTTATTTCATTTTTCCACTCCGGCAGCCTCAAAAATTCCTGAAAAAAGAAAGAACTCTACTTGCGCGCAAAACTCTCATTCAAACACTAGCAGACAAACGAAGGTATAAGTATTTGGGAAAAAGCCCAAATCTCATTATAAATCTTGATAAATTTAAGAAAGCTGAAAAGTGCTCTTTGAAACGTACACTAGGGGCCTAGTAACTCCTTTAAATCACTCGGAATGTTGAGCCTTTGCCTAAAGGGATGCAAAGTGCGGCAATCGACCAAAATATGTTTTACAGTCAGAATGATACGTTGTCCACTTTGAATACATCGAGGACAAGTTGGAAGGTTGTTGCCTATTAAAAGCCTATTATGGATTAGGTATATTTTATTATTATTAATTTTTAAGGGACGTTTTAATGGCCTAAAAATTAATATTTGATCAAAAAATTAAAATTAAAATGCCCGATAAAAACAGACTGGAAAAAAGAAGTATTCAAGCTTAAGAATAATACATTTTTCAGTTATTGTATGGCATAAAAGTTCTGTCGTTTGAGATTCCATTAGGTATCTGTCTTGCATTGGAGTAAAACAACAAATCATGGATTAAGAATAAGTTCTCTGTTCAATAGTCCAGGACAGAGACATGCAAAAAAAGGTCTTCAAAGGATCATTGTCGAAACTAATGGCAAACTAATGAAACAAGACTAATAGTAAGAAATAAGTACTAAGACTTGTAGTAGGCCTGTAGACTCGGAGGAGCAGAAATTGCCAACAAAAAGAACAAATATCAAAACTAATGCCTACTAGCATATTAATTAAAATTGCATGGTTACTCTACATGGCAGACAAATATGCGTTTGTGTGTCAACCAGATATGGCTCTTTCTTAAACGTAGAAAAAATGAAGTTTAAGTAAAAAGACACAAGTCATAAATTTAAATTTCTTTCAGGAAATGTCTTCGTCGATGCCAGGCTTGCCACCGTTACCAAAAAGCCTGAGTACCATAAATTTAAATGATACTGCGACCGAGAGTAAACGAAGCACCAGCTCCCATAGTCATAAGTTACCTCCTCCACCACCACCAGGTCCAAGACAGCCGCCACCTCCTCCGCCTCGTAAACAGACCAAACTTGATGTCCAATTGGCGAGGCTTCGAAAAGAAATGGTAATTTATATTTTTACATTTGACTTGTTCTGCATTAAATTATTTTCGCTTTATCAGTATAGTTTAAGGGAGCTCGATCTCTCGCTTCTTTCTCAACTTTGGTCGCTTAACGAAGCAATTCAGGAGTTCAGGACAATGCAGGAAATGCTAAGTCCTAATTCACCCTCGTCAGATGTCGAAGACGATGCAATTTATTCTAATCTACCTCCTCTTCATGAGCAGAGCGGTTACCATCTTTCGAGTAGTTCTTCGCGTTCTAGCAATAATGGATTTACCGAACTTTAACAGCTTTAATTTAACAAAAAAGCTCAGGGGGACAAGTACAGCTTTAATTTTAAGTTTTCTACAATTCGATTTGAAATTAGACATGTTCATATCATAAATTAAAAACTAAATATTCAAATAAATTTTATTAAAAATTGATGTATTGTAGTGTACTGAAAAATAAATATAAAGTGAAATATTGAGAAAAAAAACTTAATTATCTCCCATTGCCCACCACAAACTTTGTGCGTTATTTTTGGACTTTTTATGGATAAACAACTTACTGGGAATACCCCCACACAAGACTGAAAAGGCAAGAAACAAACCATCATTTTCTCCGGCTGCCTACATTATTTTTTTTTACCAACTGCGATGAGATAGATCAACAAAATTTGGTGTATTTTTAGTTTTGGTTTTGTCACCTTGATCAACACAAAAGAAAAGTAGCAGCATGGCACTTGCTGGAACTTTGGCTTAAAAACCTACATGATAATTAATTCGTGCTGAACGACATTGGGTCCGTCTTTATTATTGACTCATAATGAAGTTCCTCACTAAAGATTGCGCAATGCCAAAACATGTTTTGAGCAGTTCAACAAACTTGTAAATGAAAACGAACCCAATGCTGGTTCAGCATGAGTTGACCGACTTGCAGACCAACACCCAGTATCAACTCAACAATAATTACAATTCACTAGTTTTCGTGACTTTGATCCTTGAAAAATGGCAAAAAGGAGAAAATTCAAAAGGGTTGAGATGGGAAGTTAGCGTCTGAGTGGACCGAGATGAATAAATAAAATGGTATACAAATTCGTATAAATTATTGTGTAGATAACATTAATATATTGGTTGATATATAAATACATATCCGATTAGGTTTCTTGGTCCGATTGACCAAATAAATTCTTTTTGATTAATTAACCTTTAAGTAAGGTTGAGATAAAAAAAGTCAGTGTCACGAGCGGGATTCGAACCCACGACCTTTGGCTAAATAGCTCAAGCGGTATCTAGCTGAAGATCATAGGTTCGAATCCCGCTCGTGACACTGACTTTTTTATCTCAACTAAAAGACCTTAATTAATTGAAAAACCATTACAATCCGTTTATCTGGACCCTAATTATCCGGATTATGCAGTCCCGTTTGTTAAAATATTTTTTATAAATTATTTGGAGATCATGAGTTGCGGTCTGGTACAGTAGTGTATGCAGTATAGTCCCACGATCTCCAAATAATCATAAACGGTCATTAAACACCAGACATTTTTTATAAATTTTTCATAATTCTCAATGTATGTATATTAAGTTTTTAAATTTTATAATTCCATTATGGGACCTTTAATTTGTCATTCGAAATTCGTAAAGGCCACCAAATCGCCCTTCCACTAGTCACACGACCGAAGAGGCAAGAGTCATGTTTTGTTAAAAAAAAATTAAAAACAAATAAAATAAAAAAAGGTGTATACTATAAAGACTAGAAATTGTGTCATGTTGTTCATATGTTGGCTTCTATGGAAAAGGTTTTTTTATTAGATATTTTTTAGGTATAAATTTTTCAATAAACGCGTGTCTGGACTTAAACAAAAAACTAATAAAAACTATTACTTAAAATGTAACCTGATATATGAATAAAAGGGTTCACTTTCGTATGTATGTTTTTTTCCGTTTTTATCACACGATACTAATAAAATCACAAATTTTCGGATTATCCGGACAAATCCCGGTCCCTTCAAGTCCGGATAAATGGATTTCTACTGTAATTCTTATGGAAAATTAGAAGGAAAATAAAAAGCGAATTCTTTTATGCAGAGGGCCAGAGATGACTAGCTTTGTCACCCTATATACAAATTATTTTGTAAATAAATAAAGGTAAAACATGGATATGCATAAGGAAAAAGTACCAATGATAACACAAAGAACAAAAAATTTATTTTAAAATTAGACAAAGGACAAACTATAACATCTTCCCAAAGATCATGGTGATGATTAGGTAAATTAAATAAATTAATAATAAATTTGAAAAATGAGTTTAAAAAAATCCAATACTAGTCGCGAGCCCAGCATATATTTTTAAAGTGGGTAGGGTGAGACAAAGTGTATACACAGCTTTAAGTAAAAGGAATGTCCACGTGTCCATGGTCGCTTCGACGACAAGATCAATCAGAAGAGTTTTGTACGACGATAAGACTAGCATTCCGCTTACAACGGGAAAAATCGACTTTGACAAGTCATGCCTCGACCATATCCAAACAAGGGCACAGGTCGTTATATGCTGTACCTGAAAATTATACATAAGTAATATTTAAAGAATTTATACGCCAGATTTCTCTTACGAGGCTGATATTTGAGTCTAAACTCTTCTGGATGTATTTCCAGTGGAATTCGGCGCCTCTCGCTCCAACCCAAAGAGGCAAGAAATGCGTCAAAATCGCTTCCGCCCCTGCCCAACCGAGCCCGGCGGTTAACAGTTTAGCATGCCCTTTCCCGGGAATGCTAGACAAGACTAGATACATGCCGGCTAAGTCTGCAAGATCCACCGTCGCTTTCAACCATTCCTAAAAGATAAAGTATAAATAAATGTAGTTTTATTTATTTATTTTTTTTTTTTAATTCTTACCCCGAGTACGTCGACTTGCCCGTGAATGTTTGTCTCCGCCGTTGGAAAAAATGTAGCCAAAAGGAGCATTTTGCACAATTGGGTGAGTATGTAAATACCTCCAGCTTGGATGCACTTCCAGAAAGCTCCATACTCAGACCTGAATAAATAAAACTTGTTTAATATAATTATGAATTAGACAATTGTTCAAATAATACATTCACTTACAACCCAGAATATTTATAAGTCAGATGATAAGGTATATAAACTAAGGCTAAACAATTTCCAAAATGGTATAAAGTCATTTTACAGGGTTTCTTTTAACAGTTTCTATGAGATCTATGAAGCTTAATTAAAATAAAATTAAAATTTAAAAACTAGAAAGTTGTCATTAGGATAACCGGTAAACTAACTTACAGATACAGAACACATGACATGAGGAACTGTTTCATCAACATAGACTTAGAAGTACCTCTAGGAGAAACATGATGAACTTCGCCTAGCGCTAACAACCCAAAATTCAAAATATTTCAACCACACACCATCAGTTTTGCAAAATGAGAAATTCCTCATTCCTTAGTATTCATGACTGTTTAATTAAAGCAAATTATTATTTTCAAAAACAATTGTAAAGTTAAACTTAAACAATTTCATATAATTTTATGTTTAAGCCTAAACTTAGAATGGTTTAGCAAATAACTAAAACCGTCTCATTTTTAATAAAAAATATGCTCATAAATAGTATAAAATAACCAACTGATTAAAAGATTACTATAAATTTTCGTGTGTGTCGCAGGTAGATAGTCAAGTTTATTTAATGAACTGATGATGATGAGGGTACTAGGAAGTTGTGGTTTGTGCTCCCCAGGCACTGCAGCCTTCTAGCTTATTCCTATCCTAGTTTCCTAGTTCAGAAGAATCGTATTAGGTCATTGACTGCTGCTTTTGCAATTTCATTCCCAGGTTTTTTTCTGTATACTAGGTTAAGTCTCCATTGAGCCATTGCTTCACATTCGAAGGTGATATGGATTTCTATTTTTAATTTCTTACATTTTACAATTGCCAAAAAACGCCCGGAAAATGTTATGAGCGCAGCATCGTCAGCAAATAATTCTAGCTGAACATTAGTTGGCCTAGGGAAGTCATTTAAATATATCGAGAATAGTGTGGGACCTAGTACAGAAACCTGAGTTACCCCTGAAACTGAACTGTAAATGTACAAGTTTTCATTTCCAAGGTCACTTTTCCTATTTTTTTAATCGAATAGTTTATGAGTAAGTAAGGTAGGGAAATTTAACTTACTATCCAACCATAAACCAAAATACTTGACTGATGGTGTCCAGGACAGCACATTACCCCTGATGATGATGAGGACAATCAGGGTTTGTCCTTCACAGGGACTGCAGCATTTTGGCTTATTGTACTTTCCTAGTTCCCTAGGTCAATGCAATCGACTCAATTCTTCTTCTCAGAAGTATCATATCAGGTCATTGATTGTTGCCGCTACAATTTCATTCTTTTGAGGTTTTTCTGTACGCTAGGTTATGTCTACTTCGCATTCAAAGATGATATGGATATCTGTTTCTTCCTCCTCATTACATAATCTGCAGATGGGATCATCACTGTATATGCCCATGTTGTGTACAATAGATGCTTTTTCAGATGCCAGTGACTGGTTAATAGTCTAACAACTCCTCTGAGTCTAGCCTTCTTCAGCAGTGAGATTGCCAATCTTGGTGAGGGTTGTTTTAGCATAAGTTTACTGTGTATAGTGCCGCTAGAGTTTATCCACTTCTCCTTCTGTTTTATTGGATCCATTCGGTATGGAGGATTCTGTATTTGTTTTTGTTATCCCAAGTATAGGTTTGGGAACTATGTATGGTCTTGCAAATCCTCCTCTGGCCAGTATGACTGCTTTTTCATTACCCAAAATCTTTTTGCCCTGACACCCAAGATATCATCAGGTTGTGTTTAACCAGGTTTTGGAGATTTTCTATGCATTCATTGACTACTTTGTTGTGAGTTTTTTATGCACTTTAATAGCTGCTTGGCTATAAGATGATATGGGTGGCTGTTTCTTCTTCCTCATTATCATCTGCAAATGAGATCATCATTATATATGCCCATGATATAGATGTTTTCTCAAATGCCAGTGACCTTAATAGTTCACTTCTCTGAGTCTGGCCCTCTCCAACTGCAGTAGTGGGTTTGCCAGTTTTCGTGAGGATTGTTTTAACATAACAACATATAACTTCTCTTCATTACAAATAGGGTCAGCATTGAATACGCCCATGTCTCACATGCCAGTGACTGGTAATGTTATCATTCTTCTGAGTTCAGCCCTCTATAACTGTGGCAGTGAGTTTGCCAGTCTTTGGTGAGGGTTGTTTTAGCATGTTTACTGTGTCTAGCACTGCTAGAGTTTATCCACTTCTCGTTTTGTTTTATTTGGATCCATTCCTGTGATAGAGGATTCTATATTTGTTTTTGTTTTTATCCCTTATGTTATCAAGGGCTTATATGGGCTTACAGATCCTCCTCTGGCCAGTATGTTTGCTTTTTCATTATCCAAAATTTCTTTGTGTGTTGGCACCCAAGGTTGTTATGTTTCCCCAGGTTTTGGAGATTTTGAATACATTTTCCTAATTTTAGTGTAGGTATGAACTGGTTAAAGAATTTAATTTAAAAAAAAAATAATAATAATACTTGGAACTATGAGTATGGACTGGTTAAGGAATTTAATTTTTGGAAGAAAAATAATAATACTTGGAAGTATAGGCATGAACTGGTTAAAGAATTTAATTTTAAAAAAAGTAATAATAATACTTGGAAATATGGGTATGAATTGGTTAAGGAATTTAATTTTTGGAAGAAAAATAATAATACTTGGAAGTATAGGCATGAACTGGTTAAGGAATTTAATTTTTGAAAGAAAAATAATACTTGGAAGTACAGGTATAAACTGGTTAAGGAATTTAATTTTTGAAAGGAAAGTAATAATTAGAAGTATAGGTATGAACTGGTTAAGGAATTTAATTAAACAAAAATAATAATAACGTGTTTTTTTAGTGAATGGTTATTTAATAATTGATGGATTCCTGAGAAGCAGTCAAGAATGAGGTAGTTTAGAAAAACATCTTTTTCATTTTTTTGCTGCGTTTCGACCTTTATTCGAGTCGTCTTCAGTGCATAAAGTGTGTTGCTATTCCTGTGGTGTCATATTGGTCTTGTGTGAAATTGTTGTGTTAAAAAATAATAATACTTGGAAGTATGGGTAAATACTTGTTAAAGAATTCAATTAAAAAAAATAATAGTACTTAGAAGTAACATTTTAGTCACCCTAACATTACCTTTTTCGTATTAACTATTATTTAATTTTTTGTTTTACTTTATTTATTTTGTAAAAACAACTCCGCCAGACGGAATAAAATCTATGCTGAAGAACACTTAAGTTATTTTTTTAAGAAGAGAAAAATAGTTTTAAATAAAAAACGACCGACCACGTGACCAATATTGGAAAAGTAACAGTATAAAATAAAATTAATTATTTTTTTGTCCTATCAGGTTGTAACTTACTTCTATTTTATTATTGCTAACATCTTTCTAGTTTCTACACCTATTGATGTTAGTTCTATACCTACAATTGTACATAGTAATAATGACATTGGAAATGGTTGTCTTAAGGATGTCTGTGCAAAGCGAATTTTTTTCAGTAGTAGCTTTAATCAATATGAATAATATGAAATCGGACGAGCACGTGCTCTATTTGGTATCGATCTCTTTTGTTTCGTTCGACGACAAATAAAATCCGACGATTCAACGTTAATGTCGCAAGACGAGAAAAGTAAAAGTGTGCTTTGACAGTGAGACATGTCTGTAAAGTGAGTTTGCCAGAGATTTTTTTCCACTTATCGCCGAATAGGTTTGAAACGTGATTTATTCAACTTTGTATATTTACGTTAATTATTCTTTTTATCTAAGGTCTTGGTAGAGATGAAAAAGTTAGTGTCAGGTGCGGGATTCGAACGCGCGACCAACTCAGTACGCCGCTGCTATAACCAAGTGGCTTAGAAAAGCGACGTATTGAACCGAAGCCGTGGGTTCGAATCCCGCTCCTGACACTAACGTTTTCATCGAACAACCGGTCACTAAAAAAACACTATTATTATTTTATTAAATTCCTTAACTAGGACAAACCTACACTACCAATTATAATTTTTCTTACAAAAATTGAATTCCTTAACCAGTTCATACCCATACTTCCAAAATTCCTTAACCAGTTTATCCCTTTACTTCCAAGTATTTTGTTCTTCACAAATTGAATTCCTTAACCAGTTCATACCCATACTTCCAAAATTCCTGAACCAGTTTATCCCTTTACTTCCAATTTTTTTTCCAACTTAATTCCTTGACCAGTTCATAACTATACTTCAAAGTATTATTTTTTTCGTCAAAAATTGAATGTCTTAACCAGTTTATCCCTTTACTTCCAAGTATTTTTTTTCCAAAAATTGAATTCCTTAATCAGTTCATACCTATAATCCTTTCAAGTATTTTTTTTCTGCAAAAATTACTTTTCTTAACCATTTGTCCCCATACTTCCAATTCTTTAACCAGTTTATCCCTTTACTTCGTTTTTTTTTTTTTTTTTTTTTTTTAAATCAAATTCCTTAACCATTTCATGCCTATACTTCCAAAATTCTTTAACCATTTATACCTATACTTCCAATTATTATCCAATTATTTTTCTTTCAAAAATTAAATTCCTTAACCAGTTCATTCCTACACTTCCAATTATAATTTCTTACAAAAATTAAATGCCTTAACCAAATCATATCTACCTACACTTTCAAAATTGCTTAACCAGTTTATCCCTTTACTTTCAAGTATTTTTTTTCTTTTAATTAAATTCCTTGACCCGTTCATGCTACACTTCCAAGTGTTATTATTTTTCTTTCTAAAATTAAATTCCTTAACCAGTTCATACCCATACTTCCAAGTATTTTTTTTTTATTCATTGAAATTACTTTTATGGTCAATTAGGACCACTAAACATATATGGAATTGTATATTTATAAATTAAAAGGGAAAAAATTAAAGTGGGGGGAGGGGAATTGTTTCCTCAGTGATCCAAAAGGAATATTTTATAAAGCGTGTGCATTGTAAATGACATGCCTTTCCATTTTTACGCTTGGCCCCTCAGGGAAACTGAGCCACGGAGGGGTGCACTGCCCTTTTATCCAAAAGTGGGAGATTTACTGGCTCCGTGCAAACGTCCTCTCGACAAATAAGACGTAACTTTTCTCAAATGAACGGATAACGTCTGTTGTTTTTGCGATTACGTATCGCTTCCTCCGTAAAAACAGGCCCAATCTAGAGAATCAAGGATCTATTTGTGATTTCCCCTTCTACATAAGACTAGAAACGCCTCGTCAAGCCGATATTTTCATCTATTGGAGGACAAATTGGATTTCTCAAAGCGCCTTTAAAACAGCAAACATAAAACAACGCATAACAATAATTACATCCTATTGTGAAATCAATAGGAACAACGTTACTGTACAGAAGCATCGGACTTTTTGAACGCTTCCTCAAAAAATTATTCCACATATTCAACCATAACACCTGTACTCGCTTTGTTGGTACATGTACCAAAATTGGAACGTTACAGATTAGCATTCCATTAGATTAGCACTCCCATAACACCATTCCCATCCCATAAATTTGGTTTTAGACCCCTCCACTCTGCTTTTCAGCAGAGGGTTACGATTAGTCCATACAATATCCTCTCCCCTAGAAAATATTATTGTTCAGCAGTTTTTCAAGATGCCACAGAGGCATTGACAGTGTAGTATCCCAGTCTCCTTTTCAAATTAAAAATTTTTCTTCCCCAAGCCTACTGCATCATCCTGAAATCCTTCCTCTCGGGTCGCTGGTTCAAGGCGAGAATTGGCTCTGATTTTTCTGGCCGGAGTTCCCCAAGGGAGTATCCTAGGACCAATCCTCTACACAGTTTACACGCATCCGATCCTATCCTTTCAGCAAAAGCAACCCAGTTTCAACTTGACCTCAGTACTGACTGGTGCACTCGATGGCCTAAAATGGACAAGAGCCAGAAGAATGAAAAAAAATATGGTCATTATATTGGTTACTATTAGCATACTTTTGCATGTTTTTAAGTTTCCATTAAATATTCAACAAAACTGGAGGAAAACGTTTTAACTGATAACCACTGTTAATAAAAATCACAAGGCCTTATAATTTATGTATAATTATTTATATGTTTATTGTTATGAAGATGATGTACTTTGCTTCTCATTTATTTATTTTTTAGTTACAAGAGCATCCGACAGCTAGGTCATTTCAGCCACGAGCGCAGGCGAAATATAACAACACACATTCACACTAATAAATACATTCATATCTATGTACATTACGCTCATTCCGTTTAGTAAATGGAGTACTTAATAATCCTCCATCGACCTGCACACAATACCAAATTAATCTAATTGGGGTCGACGGGGTACTTTTATAAATATTCCACCTTCCCAAGTCATTCGCACAGCTCGTGGGGCGATGAAGATACTATTTTGAAGGCTACAATAAAAAACGGAACAGGGTACTCTAAAACTCGCTACTGTGTTCGAGAATCCCTTTTAAATCTGTCGGCATGCCCCCCACTCGCAACCTATAAGGAACCGAGGCATCACTCGCTTCATTTATGTGGGACACGTCGATCAACCTTTCTCTTTATAGGGGCCACCTACGGGGGGTTGGCCCATGAGCAAGTACCCATGGTCAACCGCGGATGACCTATTCTTAATCTGGCAAGGACTATGCCGTTTCCGGTTCAGGCCCTCGGGTAATATCGATATAGAAAAGAAGGTAATACGAAATATAGCACATCAATTTCAATTGATTTTCTTTTTCAACTAAGGTTCAACTGATTAAAACAAATTGATATTTTTCTGCTTATAAGGGTCTTAACCTCTTAACTATTGATGAAAGTTCAAAATATATTAAAAAATCCAATAGAATATTTTTAATTTTCATCTAAACTTTCAACTGACGAAGAAACTATTTTCGATCCAATGCTTAATAGCAGCATCTGCTTATAGAAGTCGTTTTGTTTTAATTTAAATTTATGTAAGTTCAAATCCGTATATGCAAGTACAAATGTACATACGTGTACTGAATTGAGCCGCCATACACTAAGGCTGGTGGAGCACTCGGTTTTCCTTCATCACCCTCTTACACATACATAATTAACTTAATTGAGAACCTGTCACAAAGGTACATTCGCGCTAATAAATACATTCACTCTTGACCCATCTAGATTCAAAACTATACAGAATAAAACCCCATTTACACCAGAAATCGAAACAGGTCACACGCTCTCTGCACGGCCCAAAAGTAAGAGTCCATCTGTCAGCCGCACATGGCCTATCCTTAATCGGGTGAAGAAGTCTTCTTTTTTTACTTTCCATCGACTGTACTCTTTGACATCTATAAAGTGAAACGGCCGATTCCTCTAAAGTTTATAACAGGGGACCCAGATACTGCGGTGCTTAAGCACCATTCTCGGGTGGTTTTCCTACGCGCTCACTATATGGAGCCAATTTTCTATCGTTATTTGCAATTTTGGACTGTTGTAAAAAAATTGTAGGATTATTAAAAATAATTTTCCAGGTAAATAGCAAAATATAAATCACTGCTGCTTGCATAAATTATTTGGCGTCTTGCATTATCAAATGATCTTTCTATGATACTCAACATCAATTTAAAAAAATAATACAACGGATAAAATATTTGTTACTTGTTCCTAGCTTCATGGACAAATTCTTGCATTGCAGGGAAGTTCCGTTAATGATTATTATTTAAAAATAGAGTGGTTTGTTTTCCATTTATTTTTTTAATAAATAATGAACAGACATATAGACTATATAATTACAATAAACATTCTGTGTAGAACGGTGGATACATTCTAAAGAACACGTTAATAAAAATACTCAACGCTTACATTTATGGTTGATTATGAACAGTATTTCTTAGAAACTAGATAATTCCAGTATTTATGGAATAAAATTTGTACTAGTTCCGAAAGGAAAAGTGTGCATCGTGAGATCTGTAAATGTTTGAAAAGTTACGCAATAAAAATCTAGTTTGTCCAATAATGAAAAATGTTTGAACCTTCGCAACTCATTGGGCATAAATTAACTGACGCCCCCAGTAATAGAGTCGGTCGTTTCCGGTGGAGTAAAATTAGCTTTGGTTCTCTCGTCGATTTTTGCTTAGCAGTCTAAAAGCTCCTGGGAGGACCCCCACCTAGCAGCGAGGGGTGGGAAAGGGAGAAATTTCCAAATCAATAATCCCGATTTCCTTGTGAAAATCTTCCTCTGGAATGTTCTAAATTCAACCTCATTTCGTCACAGCCGTGTTTAATTTTAGTTAAGATAATTAAAAATATACGACGCACGGGAGTGGAACGATCTCTAGTGACGGTCAAAGCGTCGCAAGGTGGGGGTCTGAACCTGTGCTTTTTTTCTCCCAAGGACTTAGTCACAATGAACTTGTTAAGCCATCACGTGCAACTTTCACAGACCCTCTATGGGTATTTTCCCAATCGCTGAATTACTGGGGTAAAGGTTTTGAAAAAAAAACTTCCCCCTTTACCATTCTTTACTCAAACCTCCAAATTACAGGGGTAAAGGTATTGAAAAACACAAGTTTTTCTCATCTTTTTCTTTTTTCATTATACAAAAATTACTTTTTAAAATCAAAGTAGATAAAACATTTTTTACTATTTTAAAAGTTGATTCACCAAAGAAAAAAAAATAAACAAAACAGTCTCAAGAGCTCTTTTTTTAAAAAAAAGGAAACCTGGGATTATTAAAACTAAAAATCTTAATTTTTTTAAAAATATACCGTAAAAGCATCGGTGTCGCAATTCACCCGCCGTCGACCTATAAAAAAAAAAACAAGACCAACAAGTAAAAAAACCTCGTTTTCAACACTGGATCCACACAAAATGACAAAAAGTTGGATCAAGCACAGCAAATGAAAGAGGGTTGGTTTACTGTCGGAGAGAGCAGGTGATAAGGCAGTGGGGAAGAGCGAAAGGGGAGGGTTTGGGACCGGTATGTCGGAGGGAGAGAAAATCGATTTGGACGGAAAAACGAAAAATATACAAATTATACAATCACTGTCTTCTTGACTCCCGGTTTATTTTATTCAATATAAATGCAATATAACAAAGCCAGTAAACGAAAGAAAAGAGGACAGCGAGGGATAATTCTTTCTCTTTTTTTCTTCTTTTCAATCGGAAAATATGGATGGGAATTTTCAAGATATGAGAATTAATAATACAACCACAAAATTTTAACTAAAAACTAATCCACTTTAGTCACTCCAATTACAAGTTTATATGCTACAACTTTTCTTGTACTTATGGACCTGCCTTTTATATGAAATTTGATCATCTAAGCATGAAACAACGCTTTTTTTTTTTATTAACATTGGGTATTTAAAAAAAAAGATTTTTACAAAATTTTTCTTTCTATGGAATGAGTTTTTTTTTTGACATTCTAAGAGTCAACAGTTGTGAAATTCCTTGGTCTTAAAATATATGAATTTAATATTCATTTTAGTGTCTGATTTCCTTTTTATTCTAAACCAAAATGTTTCAGGTTTGATTTTTATATTTAAGTAGCACTCATCACCAGATCAATCTAAGTCTTATTTTTAGTCCAAGTAATCCACAACATGCGGACGACAAAAGAATTAAAATTATAAAAAAAAAGAAAAATAATTAAAACAAAAAATAAAAAACCATACTTAATAGTAAAATTCATTTAAATATTTGTACAGTTCATTTTAATTAATACATGGTCATATCAATTCCATTCTATATATTATTAACCAGAGAGAATACCTTAAATTCTTATAAACTATTTTTTTTCTTTTTTAATTTTTTTTTATATATTTTTATACAAAGTTACAAAGAAAACAACGCCTAGGGTCGCAGGGCGTTTTGAGTTTTCTTTTATCCATTTTTTTAAAAAAACAAAAGGAAAACAAAGTGTTCGTATTATTAAATAAAAACTTGTGTGTATTGCGGTGTTGAAGTTTGGATACCAGGTGATGGGGTACACAGCAAATTGTCCGTTATCGCTGGGTAACCGATCACGGGCCCAAAACCACTCTCACTCACTCTCATTTATCTCTCACTCTCGTTGACATTACGCGGATTCCTCATCGTCCACGTCCTCCTCCTCGTCATCTGAAAAAAAGAGAAAAAAATATACATAAACGAGATTAATTGCATGGGAGTGAAGAGATTGGTGGGGAGCGACCGTATTGACGATGAGAAGCGCCCTTTTGGGGGTGAAGAAAAAGGGGGTGGTAAAACTCACTAAGCACATTATTGCTTCGGTAATTTTTTATTTAATTAAAATATTTATTTCCATTATTTTATAAGTAACACAAAATTTAAAAAAACTCCACGTAATCTCTTAGCTGCTGTAAAATTTAAGCTTTTTTCTCAGAAAAAAACTATTTTCCTTTTTTCTTTATATAAAATATTTCAAATCCTTATAAAAGCAAGAAATGTTACTTTTTTTAAACTGCTGTGAACAAAAATCGTTCAAGCTCTACGGACAAGTGCCTCCTCAAATTTACTTACAACCTCGATAACACCAAATACTTTGCCATCATTCAGCACAATGTATAAAAATTTTAAATTTTTTATGACGAATAAATTAAATCTTAAAATTTAAAAAGATAGTTCTTAACTCACAAGAAGTTGTTTTTCAACGAACCGGATTTCGAGCTTTTAGCTCATCATCAGGTTAAGTTCTACAACCTGATGATGAGCTAAAAGCTCGAAATCAGGATCGTTGAAACGTGCGAGTAGGAACTATCTTTTTAAAAGGATTGAACACCGCACTCACTCCACCATTCATCATTTCTACGAATAAATTAAAACCATTATGTACTTTGTGCTTAACCTGACAATTTTTAGGGCTAACGGAAATTATAAAAAACAAGAGCGAGGACATAAAATGTCTGTTATGCCATCCATCCAGCACAATATATATCAATTTTCGATTTTTTTGTGCGGTAAAGAACAATTTTAAACAAACAAAAACCACTATCGGTAATTTGAGGTTTGCAAGGCGAAAACCTGACAATTTCAAGGGTTCATGTTAAATAAAAATTATAAAAACAACTGAAGCCATAAAACATCTGTAGTGCCATCGAGTACTTTTTTTTAGGCAAATGTAAGAACAATTTTAGACAAAATTAAAACCGTTATATAGTTTGTGATTGGCAAGAAAAAACCTGACAGTGTCAAGCTTTTATGCTAACTAGAAATTATATACATAAAAAGTTAAAGCCATAAAGTCTGTTGTGCCATCTTTCAGCAAATTTTTTTTAAATGGCAAACGTACAAACAATTTTTAAACAAATTGAAATTATTATCTGCTGTTTGTGGTTTGAAGAGGAAAACCTAACAATTTCAACCATTTAGGCTAACCAGAAATTAGAACAATAGTGAAACCATAAAACGTCAATTTGCAACCCTAAATTTTTTTTTATTGAAATTCCTATTGTTTCGCCCTCCTGCTCTATTTTTTCCTTCAGGGTTTTCAAGTAAAAAATCATCAAGATCGCTTCAGATCGAAAAATAAAATATAATGTGGCTATACAAGTGGTGTAATTTTGACTTTATTTATAAAGGTTGTAACAAACCACATGTTAAAAAAGCCGTCCACATCTCTTTAATGACATTTAACAGTAAAACCACCCACAGATATCGAATAAGGTCGGCGAGGTAAAACCGTATCACGCCCCCCCCCCGATGGTGGTGGAAATTTTCAAGAATAGTAAGCTTTGGCTTAGACAATAACCTGGTGAAGTTTGTTGAGTACTAAAAAAAACTTGTCCTTCCATGCCAAAAAGGATTCCTGAGTTTAGAAACGAATTTCAAGTATGCAGAACGGTTCATGGACAATTATTTTATTTAAAAATAAACCTGAGCCGGCATAGAGAATTGCGGCATGTTAAAAATTTAAATATAAAGAAGTAGACCCCCAAGTTTTGGGCTTCAACTGGCAAAACCAAGTTGCCAATTAGCGCGAACATTTGTTAGGTTCCCCCCCCAGTCAATAAAAAACATCGGACACCTTGACTGATGGAGCCACGCTTTTTACACATCGACAAAAGTTTTTACTTGAATGTGTCCTAAAGGAAATTTCCGAATTAAAAGTCCTGTCTTAACGAGAATAAAGGATTTATAGAGCCAGGACGGAAAATTGATATTTAAAGAGAGGGCAAACATGGATTCGGCGTTGTTTCTGCCCCTCCATCACGTTGTTAAATGGGCCATGCGCGTTGCCCTCTCCTATAGGGCTAGCCGCCTTATGTTGGAATAAAAAAACATTGGTTTTAACCCAGCACACCATAAAAACCACAATTTTTATTTCAAATTCCTATAACGAAAAAAAAGTTTAACCTTTCCGCCATTATATCAATTAATTTTTAAGTTTAATGAAAGAATTTTCCTTGAAATTGAAAAAAAAAAAATAAATAAATAAATAATAATAATAATATATCGAGTCTTTTCCCCATTGAAATTTCCACACTCGATCAAAAAGCGATAACCATAAATGACAGTTTTTCCTCTGGATTCTAAATAAATTCCACTGGGCGTAAAACGTTCTTCGTTTTTTCATCCCCCCTTTCACCAAGGCATTATCGCAATCCTCAGTGGAAACCACGTGGCCCCGACCGCACGTTATCTAATGCATTAAATTTTATCTAGTATACAAGATCTCTTTTTCTTCTTCCCCTGCCACCAGATTGAAATAATTAGTCACGGCTTTCTATCAACCACAGCACGAAAGTTATCAAACAAGTGGAAAAATATAATCTATACATATAAAAAAAAACCTCAAGGGGATTTGTTTTTTATTAGAATTTTATATAGCTTTTATAAGGTAAAATCACCTTTTTAATAAATTAATAACTAAAAAAACAAAAACTACCATATGGCTCTTCTTTCAATTTCCAAATTCAATCAAGTATAAAATGAGGTTCGACGAAAAAAAAAATTCTATGCTGGTTATTGCATACAAAATTGTTACATATTCATCTAAATACATGAAATTTGTTTTAGTGTAGCATGATTTAAATATGTAAGCTGTTTACTGTTATAAATGGACAAGGTCCAAGAATTCACAAGTCCCCCCCTTTGGTCAATTTACATAATTAATCCTAATTATATTATCGATAATAAAAAGTGTTTAACTTTTAATTCACAAGAATTAAAAGACAGGTCGTGAGACAGGGAGGCAACATTGTGTTGGAATGTTCTAAGTCACATAAAAATATGTATTTTTTAAATATTACATATTCAAATAAATATTCCTTTCTGCCTAATCTACACTAATTGTATTATCAATAATAAAGAGAATAAATATATCTTGTTATTCACAAGAATTAAAAATGAATTGAGAAAGGGGGGAAACAAGCTGCTGGAACGTTCTAGGCCACACAAATAACCCTTACCAGCACCTCTAGATTAGACAGTTGACTTTATTTCAAAATCCACATTTTTTACAAAATTGTATGTGTAGTATTTTTTTTTTTTTTTGTTGGCTTTTTGCCTTATTTTTGTTGATTCCTAGAGGAGAAATCGGATAGAGAAGAAAAATCAGTTTTTTGTGTATTTAACAAGTTTCGGTTCTCTTTGAGTCATGCCACACACACACACACACACTTTTTTTTTGTAAATTCGAGCCTATTCCAGCCCAAATGCTTCATTTCAAAAGGCACATACTTGTTTATGTTTTTATATTTTTTTTTATTGTTACTTTTTAAATGAGACAAAAATATTAATAAGGTCTAGATTGGATAGATACACCATTAGAATCCCCTTGTAAAATTTAATTAGGCCAACAATTTAAACAGATTAACCCGAAGAATGATAGAGTACTCTAGGGCAGCTGTCAATGATTTGTCATGTATTTAATTTATAGCGTAAATGGTCGTGTTCATCCCCGAGGAATAACGACTACTCTGCGACAGTGTGTATTTATTAGCGTGAATGTCTTATCCTCAAGGCCGACAAATATTAACTATACTGATCTAAAAAAAATCCCTTTTTTTATCGAGGAGAATTTCAATTTGTTGTTTTTATCGATTAAACTTCTAAACTAGCTCAAAATTAAATATAAATACGATTTAGTACATAAAAAATTAATACCATCCCCGGTTCAGAGAAAAATAAAGGTTCTATTGATTTCTCTCTCTCTCTCTCTCGCGATTTTTTGGTGGGACTCCCACCACCAAAGGTCATCAATCTTCTAGTTCCAACTGATCACGATTGATTTTTTTTTTAAATTTACTAGCGTGAAAGGCTTATCCGCAAGGCCGAGAAATATTAACTATACTGATCTAAAATAAAAAAATCCCTTGTTTATCGACGAGAAAAAATAATATTACCATTTCAATTTGATGTTTTCATCGATTAAACCTTCTAAACAAGCTAAAAAATAAATATAAATACGGTTTAGTATATAAAAAATTAATACCATCCCCGGTTCAGAGAAAAATAATAGTTCTATTCATTTTGGTGCTTTTTTGGTGGGACTCCTAACATCAAAGGTCATCAATTCTTTAGTTCCAACTGATCATGATTGATTCAATCTTTGATAATTGATTTACCTTGTAAATAAGACAAAAAATAAATATAATCTAAGCAAAAAAGATAAAAATTTTAATTATTAATTTGAAGTTAGGTTTTAAGTGCTCAATTGCTCTGACTTTTGGGTTTTAACTTTATATGTGTAAATGTGTGGTGATTAGTGACTGTTAATCGATAATTATTTAGAAATCGTGAGATGCGGTCTGGTGTGATGTAGGTTTCAGAAAAACTTTTCTTTATCGTGCCAAAGTTTCGATCTTTATTGAGATCATCTTCAGGGCTCAAAGTGTTTGTCTTCTGTGTAATTGTGCCATTCTTGCGTGTCGTGTTGAGTCTTATATGTGTATTTTTTTGTCATTCTTTTTATGGTATATTTGAAAAATAAATGAACAAATAATAAAAGTACGGTTTTGTGTGAAAAAATAATAAAAAGGTAAAAATATTAGGAATAGGAGAAATCACCTAATTCGTCTGCTTCGCTCAGTCGATCCATCTCATCTTCCTCGCCTTCGACCTCTTCTTCTTCTTCTTCGTCGAGGATCTCCTCGATGACTTCGCCCTCTCCGTTCTCCTCCTCCTTCTTCGCCTTCTTCACGTCCTCGCTCTTGTCCTGGGGATAATCAAAAGAGAAAAATGGAAAAATGAGCGAGAAAAGTTTTAAAAAGAAATAAAAAGGAAGTCGGGTCGAGATGGAAAAAGGACGCCGGCCGGTGGGCGGAGCGCCGCTGGAGGGGAAACCGACGGCCCCACTACCCAACTCCCCCACCGGCCGCCGTTCCGCTAAAACTGCATGAAATACGGATAATAAAAAAACCCTAGCCATCTTTCTTCCTTTAAAAAAATTTACAAATTTTTTCCTATACCGGAAAATGGAAAACTGATAAAACAAAAACAAAAAGGGTTTATATTGAAAAGTATAAGACGCACATAGGGTTGCGTGTTTATAAGCAATATTAATTAAAATCCGTTCAACTTCAACAAGTTATCGAGTAAAAACGGGGCTTACTTAAAAAAAAAATATATATATATATATGATAAAATAAATAGACCTGTTGCATTTATAAGCGTTTTGGAAAATTTCCATTATTGGAGAAAAAAATCCGAGGAGAAAAAATCATGACAAAGGCTGTAAAATCGTTAAATAACAAAATTTCAGCTGAAGAAAAGACAGCTGAAAATAACTAAGTTCATTATAACTAGAGCATTCCTAATTAATTATATTAAAGATTTAATTTTTGAATTAAAATTGTTTGGGAAAAAAAGTGTTTTTTGTTTAACTTATTACTTGAATGGTTATTATTTACAAAAAAGTTTAGAATTATTTTTTTGTTTTTTAATTAAATTTAGTTTTTTTTTTATTAAAGTCGATTATTTAAAAAGAAAGTTAATATTTGAAAACTGAGGGTAAAAAAGACTCGGAAGCCGGCCTATTGATTCACCTAGCCTCGCTTGGGTACGCGCTTACGGAATCGGCCAACTTGAAATCAAGGACAATAGCCTCGCTGGCGGGCCCCGGGCAAAGGGGGGACGCCATATTCATAACAACATGTCACCTAAGTGTTTACGGAATAAATAACGGGAAAAAAGCGCGAAGCCGACTCTCGAGAGATGCCGGCGTCTTTTCTCGAGCGGTGCCGGCGGCGTCTCGGCCGGCCGCGTGCTCGCGTCACATGGACGAAAGCGGGCCGCGTCGGCCACCGCGGCTCTCGAGTCCCTCGGGTCATATCTGTCGAAAATAATTTTCCACTCACCTCAGCGGGCCTTTTGGTCCCTTTTACTCCGTCTGTGCCCGCTTTGTCGTTGTTTTCCGGCGTCGCCTTCTCCACGGCTACTTCCGAGTTGTTTTCTTTCGAACTCATCTTCAATTAATATTTGGGGGGAATTAAAAAAGACGTCGTTCCTGACTGAAAATAAAATAAAAAGAAGCGGGCCTCTTTTCTTTTTTCTGGAGATCTACTGAAGTTATTTATAAGGGGTAAAACGTTCGGGATTCACTCTCCGACTAACGCACTGCAAGTCTGCAAGACACACGACTCCCTTCTTTGTTCAAAACGTAGATGGCGCGAGAGTTGGGTTCGATAAAGCGAAAAAACCGGCTGCCTCCGACACGGTAAACCGGCCCGTCTCAAATCCGGCGGATCGAAGAATTTGGTCGAAAAACGAAAATTAGAAAGTCCAGAAGTAAAAAAGCGACTCGAAACGGAGGAATTGTCGTACAAAACGAGCCGGGATTTTGGCGACCCGAGGGGTTCGAGAGTACAAACGCCGTTCTGGCACCGGGTTCGAGGCTATTTTGCCGCGACTTCAGCGCTGACCCGCGCTACGGCTTGCCGCTCAAACCCTGGCCAGAGCCCCCACCAAAGCCCGACATCGGCCCTTACGGGCTTACCACGGTTCCGTTGGTCGAAACCCCAAAACCCCGGCCGGCCTACTCCTTATTCAATTATTATTTTCATCTTTTCATCTCCTTCTTCATTTTCCATCGAGAAAAACTCGCTTCACATAGAATTTTTTTTTAAATTATCACTATCAAAAATCAAAACTTACAAAACCACATTTTCTCCTCTTTCTTATGATTGCCATAAAACGATTTTTATTACGGTTTCTCAGCATTACATTCCCCCAAACAAGCTTAACATTACAATATAACATCACAAAAACAATGATACACAAAATTTCGAAACATTCTGTCCAAATTTGTAATATTAAATCTAACTAAACTTTTTTTTAACAGTCTAAAACTAAAATCAATAAACAAAAATACAATTTTTTTCACAATTATATAAACTGATATTATGCAAAACTTTCTTATATACTTAATGATTAGATTGATAATTCTTGCAAATTAAACATTAAATTTTTTTTCAAAATAAACAATTTCAGAAAATATTTGTTGTTTAAATTTTATAACGAATCCAATAAATTTCGATTAAATACTTTTTAAACTTAAAAGTTTTGACAAGTATGTTGCAGATTTGATATTTTTTCACATTTGACTAAATTATTTGCCACATGACTATTTTTTTGTTTAATAATACATATAATTTTATATATTTTTGTTATATTGAATCAACAAGGTCTTAGATTTTTTCTATGAGATAACCAATTAATTAACAGTTTGAGAAAATATCTGTTTTTAAAATCCCATAACGAACACAATAAATTTTGAGTAAATACTTTTCATTCTTAAAAGTTTTGACAAGTACCTTGCAGATTGATTTTTTGTCACATTCAACAAAATTATTTACTACAATTACATAAAATTTTATATATTTTTGTCATACCAAATCAATAGTTAGATTTTTTTCCTCTACAAGATAAACAATTAATTAATAATTTGAGGAAATATCCATTGTTCAGATCTTACAACGAATTGTGATTAAATATTTTCAATCTTATAAGTTTTGACAAGTATGCTGCAGATTTGATTTTTTTTTAACATTTGACAAAATTATTTACCACAATTAAGCCTTTTTTTTAATATTACATTAGGCTTAGATTTTTTTTACAAGACAAGCAATAATTAGTGAAAATATCTGTTGTTTAAATCTTATATGAATTCAATATTACGAAGTAAAAGAACTATTTTCAATCTTACATTTTTTTGTAAAGCATATGCTGCAGGTTTAATTATTAGTCTCTCAAATTTGACAAAATTACCATTTACCATAATTGCACATTTTTCTTTTTTTTATACATGCTAATCTTGCAATAGATATATATTTTTTTGTCTTACACAAAATGAAAATTATTAATTTTTTTCTCTCTACAAGATAAACAATTAATTAACAATTCGAGACAATATCTGTTGTTTAAATCTTATAAGGAATAATATAAAATAAATAGTTCAAAGTATAAGAAAGACTTTTTAAACTAACATTTTTTTCTAAAATATATGATTCAAGATTTGATTTCTTTTTCACATCTGACAAAATTATTGTTTACCACCACACTTGGCTTTTTATTTTTAAATATACGTGCTAAGCTTACATTCAATTTTATATATATTTTTGCAACGTGCAATAAAATTAGTCTTACAATAGAGTTTATTACAATGACGTTAATGGTGATAATTTGTGTACCTAAAGCTTACAATCAATTTTATATTTTTTTGTAACATGCAATAACATTGTCTTACAATAAAGAGTTACATCGATGGTTTATTACAATGATGTTAATGGTGATAATTTGTGTATTTATTGGTCATAAGCACAATTTTCTTCTATTACTAACAAAAAACAAATACATAATTTATTAAAATAGTTATCTAAATGTATTATAATAAACGAAATAAATTTAAATTTATAGTTTTGTTATTCTTATACTTTAATTCTTTTCAGTTGTACACAATTTCAGAAAAGTTTATGCTACAGAACTGATTTTGTGTCAGATCAAAAAAACCATTAATTAAAATTTGAACCAAATTTGATTATTATTAATTGTAGCGGTTGTACAACTAATTTGGTCTTTTCATATAGATAGCTTTGTTATGCTTACGTTTGATTTTATATTAAATATTCTCTCATAAGATGCAATTACTGTCTGACAATTGTAATAACAAGTGTTAAATAGGCTGATTTATCTTGCGTTAATGATGATGGTTTGTCAATTATTTTAATTTAATTTGACAACTTCAGTAAAATTATTACGGTTGTGTTACAACAGAATGAACAAAACGACAATATTAGCCCGTATTATTTCTACAGAAAGTGCTTCAAATGTAAATTGTACAAACAATTTTTGAAATTCGCAACAATTTATTGATAGCTGTCAATTTAAACTGCATTTAATATATATATATATATAAAAAACTGGNAAAAAAAAAGATTGGTCAGGATAAAAAGCAAATTTATTCTTCACCTTTTGTGCTACTAATACTAACCACAATTTAATTTAATAATGAGATATGTCAAAGCTTATTCAGAAGTATTTAGATGGATCAGAACATTTTTAGACCTTTGGATATTAAAAAAATATACTTTTTATTGACTAACAAGGAGTGAATATCTGTTTTATTCTTATTTCTTTTCTACAATAACAATTTATTTCCCTCGTTAAAAATTTCTCCCAGACTAGTGTGATTCAAACTAGAGTAAGGTTATTTGATAAAGAGCAGGTCAACCCTGTTCCATCTGGTTCGACGTTGAGCGCCTTGATGGTCCCGTCATCGACAACCATGGAATACCGTTTGGATCTGAGCCCTCCGAGCGGTGGCAAATTGATCTCCAGGCCCATCGCCTTCGTGAATGCCGCAGCAGGGTCAGCCAAGAGCCTGACCTGAAAAATAAATGTTTGTTTACACGGACAGTAATAATTATATCTCCCTCCCTCGTGTAAATTTAGATTAAGAGACAAAAACTCATAGATAAGAGATAAAATGGGAAAAATTTATTTAGCACAATCATTTGCTGTTAAAAAAAAAAAAAAAAAAAAAAATCAAGTTCAAACCTGCTGTTATTAACTCAAAGGCAAAAACTGGACCCTTGTATTTTAATTATTTCAAACTAAATTTATTTTAATTTTATTAATTACAACTTATTTTAACTAAAACAGGACCAGAAATGCATGAGTTTTAATAATCTTAATTGTTACGGTTTGAAAGAAAATTCGCCAAAACACTATCATTTAGTGATACATTAAAATATAACAATTTATATTTTTGCGAAAAATCAAATGAGCAATCATATGAAAAGAAGTTAGCCCCCCCCCATTCTTCAAGTGTCCGAGCGAGATGCTGATTCTCAAATCGCCTTTCGACTAGCTCGCAGTACTACTACGACAAAGGTATTTTCATGAAGCCTTCTGATGACTATTTTAGAGCTTATCCTTACATTCTAGACAGTTTGGATTTGAACTATCTATCAAGGAAGCTGTAGTGCAACAAGAGCAATAAAACAATCTCCAGCCTTCAAAGTTGTCCAGATCGCAATAGACTTCTGGTGGCTCTAAGCTATAGACCATGGTAGCTCTACGACCATGTAGAGCACGATACACCCAGGACTTGGGCTATGTAATGACCACCGGGAGAGATATAAACTTAAAACTATGGTTTTAAGAAAAAAAGAAGCAATAATGAAATTTTGACTCAATTTTATTTTCATCAAAGAAATCAATTTAAAAAAAATTAACTCACTAGGCAAGTTGGTTCTGGAAAGGACGAAATTGATTTTTTTAAATATTTTTAACCTAAGGAGTGTGGAAGGATTAGAAACACGGTATAAAGGTACATAACATTTATGTTGTGTTTTTGCTTTAAGCCAACTATTCATCTTTTATATCTACTACGAATCATTGATTATTTACTAATCCCAATAAATTATTTTCATTAACATTTATATTTTAAACATGCAGTAAGCAGATTATTCTTTCTTGAAAAAAAATTTTTTTTTTTAGAATGTTATCTTATGATAAATAAGCGATACATCCTCCGCTTATCAACTGTTTTCACACAATTTACATTGTACAAATTGTTATCCACGATTTAAATTTTTTTTTATCACTATCAACTGCACTACAACTATTGTTTTATGAGTGAATAAAAAAAATTAAACAAACTGCAATACAAATTTTAAGACACAAGGATTATAATGGTTTCAAGAAGTAGAGAACATATTTTTTTACTAGGGAAAATTCTTGCATGAATGTTGTGATAAGCTTTTAAAAATAATAATAACAGGGGAAAAGTTAATCAAATATTTTTAGGTATTCTCTTGTTATTTATTTTAAGTCAGATATAAAAGTCAAAACTTTTTTTTTAGAAGTCATTAAAACATTTGATTTGGCAAATTAAGCTTATTAGCCTAACTTTTCTCTCTCTGTAGAAGACAAATAAAGATAAAACAGGTCAATCAAAATAATTAATTTAATTTTGCTATTCAACGATTTTGTAATCTTTTTTTCGTCATCAAACAACTTATTTTGTAATATTAGAGAACTAGATTTTATTGGGCATTCCAAAATAATCAATACAGAAAATATCAGAAATTTTTCAGACTGATCGTTATTTTCTTGAAACCCAGTTCCAACTCCACATACTTACCTCAATTTTTATTTACCCCAAATTGTTTACATTATGTAATTATTCAATTTAACGTCTGAAAATTGTCAAATGAACTATAAAGTACTTATAATTACTGAAATTCCTAATGAATAAAAAATATTAAATTACATCTACTGGTCATTAAATAGCAATGTAAAACTGTGATTCAAAATTGATGCGATTATAAAATACGAAAGCGCCAAAATTGCATTTTCTTCAAAAGTGTACTAAATTAGCTGCATTCTTATTATTTAAAAATCTAGTATAAAATGATTGTAAAAAAAATTTAATTGAAGGTTTAAAGAAAATATATTATTTCGATGCCAACTGTTCTTTGCCAATAGATTGTTCATAAAGGCTTGAATGAACAAATCAGCAATATCAGGTTTCAAAGGGAGATTTTATTTGAACAATTTTTACAATACACTTCTTCAAGATGTAAGTCTTCGGTGTGAACAAGGTCCATGTGAATGTCTGCTCAAACGTTTCAGAATCGGCTAGGTTTTTATCAAGGTGGAAAGTTGGGAAAATCAATACTTCAAGTTTTCTTTTTATTTATAAACAACAGAGAAGTAATAAAAATGTTTAAATATTCAAATAACAGAATGGTTAAATTAAAATAATACTAAAAAAAAGGAATAACACTTTTTTTTACAAATCACAAGACGCAACTACAAAAAAAAGTTTAGCGAAGCAATGATTTTTACAACTTCCCTAAATTACAATCAACATACATCTGTACTGGTGATAAAATTTATTGCAAAACAAAAGTAATGCAATTTATAATAATCATCCATCTTTACAAATCTGCACAAAATTCGGGGGATTTACAATATTAAAAATATTACAAAATAAAAAACGGTAAAAGGTAAGCCATGGGAAAATTTTTATTTCTGGGAAAAATGAAATTTTAAGTTAAAATTACAATTAAAAATAAAATAAAAAGAATAGCTATTAAGACTTTATCTTCAATTAATTACCTTTCCCTCAAAAGCCTGTAGACCTGTAAAAGAATATTGGGAAACAAGCAAGAACAATTACACAACAAAATAATTCTTTAATTATTTAACTTCCTAGCAGCAGCTGGAAAAAAAATAACCTGAAGACATTACATCGGATCAACCTTGTCAAAACATTTGGATCCAAATAAATATTTTCATTAAAAACCTTCAATTATATTTTAATAAGCTTTAGAAATACTTACTCTGATGTCTATGCCTTATTTTTACAGATAAAATGAAAATATGAGGTTTTATACCTTTCCTTTAGCTTTATGCTCTAAGCCCCAAGCAGCCATAACGAATGGATCGTTAACTGAAACACAAACTACTTCTCCAACTCCTTTTGATTTCAATGCTTCAGCGTCTTTTACATAACCAGGGAGATGAGTCTGTAACAAAAATTGGAAAAAAAAAATAATAGAGAAGTTGACATCAAGCTAGACGAAAATCATCAACGAAAGTGTTAATTCTATATTAGTTTCATTAATACATCCCAAATTGAATACCTTTGAGCATCCGGGTGTAAATGCTCCGGGGACGGCAAAAACGACAACTTTTTTGTTTGCGCACAACTCCTTCATATTAACTTTTCCAGCTGGAGTATCTTCAAACAAGACAACATCAGGAACTTGGTCCCCAACCTTTAAAAATACAAGGAAAAACATTTAAATCATTCAAATTTTCCCGCGATGATCGGCTGCATGTGTATCAATGGATAAAGGATTGTGTCTGATCACAATTCGTGATAACATGGGAAAGTTTCTCGGTGGAAATAATTTGACATGAGAAGCAATAATTCACAAGGTGACAAAAGCACTCATATAGAAAATGTTTTACAAAACAAAAAACAAAACCAACACAAAGTACAAATGACAGATTTTGTTGATTTTATTACTGTTTATCATACAAATATAAAGCATATAAAATATATATATTTTTTAAACTTGGACAATAAGGGAAAAAAGAAAGGATTTACTCCATAGTTATTACCACAGTCAGAAAATCCTGTATTTGTAACAAACATTCGTTATAGTTTTTTTCTCCAAATGGAATTTTACACCAATAAAAATGAATGGTGTAACCATATAAGAAAAACATTAATTAATATCGTTTCCACATGAAAGCGTTTGTGGATGTGGAAATTAAGTCTTACCACTATTCCATTGATTCCTGAAAGCCAATGTGAAACAACGCTCATAATGAAGTCTTCCAAACTTATCCATTACAGAACAAAAAACAATGAAAGCCAACAAATTAACAATTTCAGTATTACGTAGATATATTTTTGCTATTTCTGTTGGAAGTTTAAATTTTTTACTTGTGCGTAAAGTTTTTGATGGGTTTTTATTTTCCTCTATAAAGTTGCACATCTTTCGAAAAAGATTCTAATTGGACGTAGATTTTTTTTATATTATTATTTTGAAGTTGTTACTTACAACATAAATTCACTTTATTTTTTGCAAACACCATATTTTTCATTATGAAAAATAAAATAAAAAATTCCCTTTTGGACCAGCCGCATTATATTTCATGTCCGTAAATAAAAATCTCCAAATATCAACATTTATTCGATTTCGCACATGTTAAAATGTGCGAAAGTCGAATTAAGGTTGTGCCGATGAAAAATGTCCCTTCAGATTATTATATATAAAGAAGTACAATTTTTCACAACTCTCCAGAGGTTTTAAATTCAAAAAAGACACAGTTTGTTTTCAAAACAACTATAATTTATTTATTTTTTTAAAATATATATTTTTTTTATAAAGATCCGGGCATGACAGTCCGAGTTACAATTTTTTACATAAACAGAACGAAATTTATTACATATATAATATGTTAAAATAATCTAAGAAAACAATAACATACATTCAATGCTTTAAAAACATGTCAATTTGACGATATATAATTTTTTTTTTAATTACAAAATTTTTATTAAATAAAAAACAATTTGTCAATAAATAATCATAAGGTAAATTTTTACACGTGTATGGAATATTATTCTTTTGTTAATTCTTCAAGGGGAATAACAAAAATAACTGCACAGTTTGAAGATTCATACGTTTTATTAGAAAAAATAAAATAAAATAAAAATAAATTAAGAATCAATAGGATGTTTAATTTTTTTAAATAATTAAAAACTACATATAATCTCATCATGATAATCATAGGGAAAAATCATTTTATAAACAATGGCTGACGATTTTGTGAAAATAACAGCTGAAAAAAATTTGTTAAAAAAAAATCTCTTGAGTTCACATAAAACAATTTTTGCGTTTGTTGTCTCTATTGCAACAAAGTCGCAAAACGATGAGGAAGAAATTTGTTTTAAAATTTTCCAAAAAGTTGAAGCATGCATAAAAATAACAGAAACACCCTCTTAGGAAATTAGAGCAATAAAAAGATGCATTCTTGATATCTTCAAAAGAAGGATGTGTAAGAAACAAGATCAATTTTACCCAAAGCCATCTTTTACTCTAATTGTTTTATGAATTCGAAGTATATCAACAAATTATAATAAAGGGGTAAAAAAAAGATATTTCAGGAAAAAAAGGGTGGATTTATTTACCAGTAAACCTTAAAAAAAAAAAAAAAATGCCAACACACCACAATCCACAATACAAGGTGTAACAACAAAATCAGTGCGTTATCCCTGTGTTACCGTCTGAAACACTGGAGGATTTCTTGTTTGTTTAACACACAGAAGACAGTAAAGTAGACAAGGAATAACATTAAACCAACAAGAGAAGAATTAATGGGGAAAATATTTGTTTATTTATTCAGACTAAAAATTGGAGAAAAATAGTTCAATTAGATTGGAGGGGAGATTATAAATCATGTCTTACCGTTTGACCATTCTTTCAAATAAAAATGTGAACAAAATCCATCTTTTTAAGGATAAATGTTTTATTGGTAAACACACCAAAAATATACTTAAAAACCTAAAACCTGAATTAAATAAGTGTTATTTTTTATTAAAATCCAGTACTTTAATTTTTCATTTAATTATAATGAATGCAGGCCAAAACCCTGTCAGCGGATGAGAGAATATTGGAATCAGCCAATGCATTCTTTACAATTACAAATAAATAAATAAAGTACTCCAATTTTTTAATAAAAATAAAACCAGGGTCCATGGATGAATAGAAATCCATAAAGAAAATATGAGATAATTTTAGAGTTAGATATTTCAATGTCAAATTTTCTTTTTCATTTGACCCAATGGATCAAAAGATTATGAAATAAAATGTGCATTTACATGTAATTTACCCCCAGGCGGTTATTTCTCTGTTAGATAAATAAATCATAAAAAATACCTTTAAATACATGACGTGAAATATGAATATATATTTAGAATCAAAGTACGAATTAAAAAAAAAAAAAAAAAAAAATTGACTAGAAATAATAGCTTTACATATGAACTTAAAGCAAATTTTGGTCTCGAAATATAAACTGAAGGGAAAAGGTCTAGAAATAACAATATTCTGAACTATGAACAATTCTTGGTCTCAAAGCAGAAATTAAAGAAGAAAAAAATGATTTGTAAAAATAATAGTGTTACATCAGACCTATGAACAAATCTTGGTCTCAAAAAGCAAATTAAAGAAAAAACAATCTGTAGAAATAATAGCGTTAAATAAGAACTATGAACAAATTAACAAATCTTGGTCTCAAAATACAAATTAAAGAATAAAATGATCTGTAGAAATAATAGTATTACATCAGATTTATGAACAAATCTTGGTCTCAAAATACAAATTAAAGAAAAAAAATGATCTATAGAAATAATGTTACATCAGATCTATGAACCAATCTTGGTCCCAAAGTACAAATTAAAGAAAAAACTAATCTGTAGAAATAATAGCGTACATCTGAACTACGAACAAACCTTGGTCCTAAAATATAAATTAAAGAAAAATAATAATTTGAATTAATAATAGCGTTACATCTGTACTACTAACAAACCTGGGTTTCAAGTGCAAATTAAAGAAAAAATGATCTGTAGAAATAATAGTGTTACATCATCTCTTTTCAGAACTTTGTATTTTATATATATATTTTTTTATATACAAAAATCTTGGAAAGCGTGATCTAGGCAATTGATTTCTTCCATATAAAAAGCTTTCTTAAGTTTCCTTACAGACCTTGCAGAGTTGATAATATACAAGAACTTACAATCCTGATTTGTCTTTTATTTAGTTAATATACCAAATTGTTATTTTTATGTAATAAATATGTTACATAATTTAATTAGTGGATAAAAGATAACACTTTTTTTAAAAATATATTCCTGAGCGTAGGTCCTTGGAATTCTTGGGAGTACATGTAGGAAAGAAGTAGGAGGGATCAAGGACTTTGTTGTTTTAATGGTTTTTATTTATTTAATGGCTTTATTATTATTATAAAATGGATAAACATTTCAAAAGGCCATAGAATTTGGAAGATTCTCAGGAAAATTGTGGCGCAGAAGGGTGAACGTGGACGAAAGGAATGGTGGTCGATTTGCGTAAACACGTCCGGGAATCGGACTTTTCACTCGAAAAAAGTAAAATAAAAATGGTCTGGAAATAGAAGGAAAAACAAAATCGAAAAAAAAGTGACAAAATATTTCTGGTAAGAGCAGGCTTTAGGTTATAAAACCTGGATAGGTCCTACATAACCTTCTGAGTAAAAAAAATCAGTGCTAGAAATGCAGACGGTGATAAAAATAGGATTAAAAGTGAGAGGAAAAGCTAGTCGTACCTGAGCCATGGCAGCGGGGGTGGTGTGAAATTTAGTGAAACTGTTAGAGAAAGAACGGAAAGACCTCAGCGAACAGCGGCTGGCGACGGAATGCATAGCGGTTCGACTTCAATTCCGACCCTTCTTCGATTCCAGAAAGGCCGACCGCTGTGCCGCCTCTGCGATGCGGCGGCGGCCTTGAGAAAAAGCCAGGCACCGACCACGCGTATGGCATCGTGCCTTTTTAATTTTGTTTCGCCTACCCTGAAAAATTAAAATAAAAATAAGACCCCTCAATCCTAGGAGACATTCTGTATAAAAGGGGCTTTTCATTTTCATTTTTTGTGAAACGGATTTATGAATATTCCAATTCTCTGTCCTCGAGTCGCATACAAAAGAGTTTGAGGATGATGTTCCTTATTGACAACTTTAGTCTCAACAAATAAGGAAAGCCAAAGATCCTATTGTGTCTCCTATTTATCGACTTAAAAACGGCATTTGAATATGTAAAGAATAACGTAATCATCCAAACGATATTACACAAGAATATCGACATTCGAATTGTAAAAATCCTATAAGTACAAGGAAGAACTCATAAAAATGATGAATGGTAGAGGGAGGTGTTCCATCTTTTTAAAAAGATAGTTCCTACTTACACTAAGTTGTTTTTAACAGATTTCGAGCTTATAGCTCATCATCACGTTGAAGTTCTACTAGAACGAGATTTCTAGAGTTCGTCTAGAACTCCTTCAACCTGATGATGAGCTATAAGCTCGAAATCCGTTGAAAACAACTTACTGTGAATAGCATCTATTGTTTTAAAAAGAAGGAAGAACTCAGTCTACGGGGATGCGATGACAATCAAAACTAAAAACTGTGTAGATCAAAACGAGGAGATGATGATAGTACTAGGAAGTGGGTTTTTGTTCCCCTAGAGCTTTCTGGTTTGTACTTTCCTAATTGCTTAGTTCAATGCAATCGACTCCTCCTAAGAATTTATAGCTCATTGACAATTCCTTATCCTAGGTTTAATGACTAGAAGTTTTGGTGGCCTTGACGATGGCCGGTGTTGAGAAATGTAAAGCCGATGTTAAGGTCCAATAACATTTATACAACATGGACATATTCAACGATGATTCCATCTGCAGATTATGTAATGAGGATGAGGAAACAGCCACCCATATCATCTTCGAATGCGAAGCAACAGCTGAACGGAGATTTAACATAATCAAATTGTAGCAGTCAATGGCCTGATACTTCTAAGGAGAAGGATTGAATCTATTGCACTGAACTGAGGAACTAGGAAGGCAAAATAAGCCAGAAGGCTGCAGGGCCTGGGGAGCACAAACTCCGCTTCCTAGTATCCTTATTACCATATCATACCATAGAGGTCCATGACCGAGAGAACCGTTGGATGAAGTCCGGGGCCAGACATAATGAGTCGGTAGACTCGTGGGCTTTTGAGGAGGCTAAAACGAGGCTGATGCTTAGAGAGCCCTTGCTGTTGAGCTGGTGTCGGCTTGTCCAGGTTGATACTAGATAGTGGTAGTTCGTCTCCTTTGCTGTATTAGTGAATGCTGAGACCTCTTCGGGAGACCAGTCTCTAGTTAGCGGGTCAGTACTCCTGCTTTATACGGAATTGCTCCTCTCTGATTGCTGCAGAGTGGAGAGTGATCAGTGAGGCCATTCCTGAAATGATGGTGATTCAGAGAGCAGGTGGTCACCACACTGGGTTTTCTTTGAATCTCACATTATGTCTTCTGTAAGCGGTTGCTTCGGAATCGAAGTTAGTACAGCAGTTTTGGAAGTACGGTGGGTTATGTAAGGTGGGTTTTTGCTAGCAATTTCAAGTATGAGATATATTCGGCAGCCTTCTGGTTTACTGTATTTTTCTTACTTCCACAGTTCAGTTCGATTGAATCGATCCTTCTCTTCTTAATAGTATTAGGTCAGACTACTACAATGGTTTTCCTGTCCTTTTCTTCGGTTTTCCTACGCATCCCAGGCTATGTTTCCATTGAGCGATTGCTTAGCATTCGAAGTTGATATGGGTGGCTGTTTTTTCCTCCTTATTGCATAATCTACAAACTGGGTCATCATTGAGCATTCTCATGTTGTATAGATGTTTTCTCAGACGCCAGTTACCGGTATATAATTCTATCACTCCTCTGTTTAGCCCTTTTTAATGGAGTGTGCCAGTTTTGGTGAGGGTTGTTTTATCATAAGCTTAGCATTTCTCCTTTTGCTTTTGGATCCATTGTGTGATGAAAGATTCTGCGTTTGTTTTAGTTATCCCAAGAATAGGTTCAGGGACTCATCTGGCCCGTGTGTCTGTTTTTTCGTTATCCGAAACCCCTTTGTGTTCTGGTCAAGGAATCAAAAGGTTAAAGCAGCTATTGCAATTTCAATTTTCGCTAAAATATCCTAAAAATTTCAGATAAAAAAATCAAATAATTAGCTCAAGTGTTTCAAGAAAGGCGCCAGCATTTTGTCTCATCTTGCTTATAACCCTAACATCACTCTCTCTGTCCAGAGTATTTTTTCAATTAACGCCATTTTCTTATAACAACGGCGCATAGAAAGCTGCAATTAAGATTCAAATTTTGTAAAATAAGTAAAAAAGTAAGTCCTGTTTCAACGAAAGCAGTCAGCATTTTGCCTCACCCTGCTTATATCTCAACATAGCATCACGTTTTGCGCGCATTTTCAAATTAATGGCGTTTTTATCGTTTTGCCTCACCTTACATATATCCTGAATTAAAACTGTTTTTCCCTTTATTTTGGTCAATATCTTGCCATCATACCGACAGTTTTTTACAATGGTGTTTTAACTATGAGGTTGTAAGAACACTCGAGCTTCGAATGAGGGGCCGCTGGATTCGAACTCTGGACTTTTACCACCGACGCCCCTGTAATAAGATGATCGCGTGAATGCAGTAAATATCATTTATATTTTGGAAATGTTGCCCATTCAAAAATTGTAAAATTTGAAGTACTGTTTCGGTTTGAATCTTTTAAAAGGTGCTTTTCCGCAGCTGATGGTTAAAGAAAAATAATAAAGCTTTTCTTTTTAAACTTTTCCGAAGCGTTTTTATCTCTAAAAATAATTGTTAGTATTATTTACCTAATGCTGATATTTGCTAGAAGGAATGGATCATAGATGAAACTTTTTTAAGGTGTGAAATTTTGATGTGAAGGAGGCGGTCCCATTTGTCACAAGAGCAGCCGGACTTTAAACATAAGTTAGCGAGGTTTTCTGGTAAGTACAAATTTTAAATTTAACTTTTTTTAAGAAAAAAAATCGGATGTTACAGCGATTTAATTTTATTTCCAGCCTCGCCGTCCCAGGGTCGACTGGGCAGGGAAAAGAAGGGCGATTGTGATGATTCTAAAATTTTAAATGATTACAGAAGTAATTCGTGCTATACTTGAAGTAATAATAGCAATCGTCAAACTCAATATTTTAATTATAATAATGGGCGTAATGACTGTTGTCTTGGGATTCCTTATTGTTAACATGATCAGGTAGCAAGGTATGTATTTTATCCTGAGGCAAATTTTTATGAAAACAAACAAAGTACAGAGGTTAGATGTAGATGTAGATGTAATAGTCGAGGTGTAATATACTACGACTTTTAAGACTTTTATTATATCCCATGTTATCTGCCTAAAGTACACCGGTGAGTCCTATTTCATCACCCGGTTTCAATGGTTGAATCTCTTCTATGGTCACATTGTACATCCCAAAGCACTACCTCCTGCGGGCACTGGAGTTTGTTAGTAGATGTGTTTGTGTCTACTCTTCCTCTTTGCAGAATCTGCTTGTGCCATCTTGGATTATGTCAATCTTTATCCACCCAGGGGAGTCATAGCCCACTTAATGTGGAACTACATCGACGGTGGGTGGTACAGCGTGGACAAGGCGGGAGGCCCTGAAAAGGTGTACCTCGTGTCCTTGTTCACTTCCTTTTCTCAATCCTGGTTCCTTCTCTCTTCCTTGCAACCTCTCCCAACCCTTGGTTCCAAAGGGGGTTTTCCAGGCGCAAAATAATGGTGCAGCCTTGAGGGCGGTCGCAACCTCTTTAAAGCACAAGCTGTATTTATGTCGGCCTCCAGGTCGGCAGGGGACGGAGGGTGCGTTGTCAGAGGCGCACGTGGATTAGGGTACCAGATCCTGTCTGCATAGACGGGGGAGAGTGCATAACTATCTGCACTACGGGCGTGACTTCAGGGGTAGCACAAATGTTCCAAAGACCCTGCTACATTGGGAATGGATTCGTAGCGGTTCTGGCGACGCTCCTGGCGGGAACCTAGCGAAGAGGCTGTTCTTCTATTTGTGACCTTCGCCCAAGCACTTGCGTATGACCATCGTTATAAACCCGGCCTCACGGGATACGAAGGATCGGTCCATCGAAGTGTATAGCGTTGAGGAGCTCAGACTATGCTGTCAGAGTCCCTCGAATACGTGAGAAGTGGCGGATGGGAATAAATAGTGTCGGTTGTGCCTACTCGAAGTATTTAATGTACACGAATGGCAAATTTTACCGAAGGCAGTCTCCTCTAGGGGGTGGTTAGCAATTCCACTTTAAACAAAATCGCGGTCGGAGCGGATCCCGAAGTTTCTACGCTGGGGAAGCCCCAATACTCTGGGAGGTAGAGTGGCCTTCTCTATCTAGGAAGTGCGTGGGAGACAAGGGTGATGTATTTCGGTCTAGGTAGCCCTTTGCGCGCGGCATACGGTTCGATACTCAATGCGGACCCAACCACTCGGAATGGGCAAACGGGGAGCTAGGTTCGTCTTGGCCCCTCGGGGCTGGGACAACTTCTACAGCAACGCTGCTGCTGTAACACCCTTTAGTCGTATGCGGAAGGGCGTCAGCTCTCATGTTTAGAATCAAAACGTCCGATAAGGCCTAATCGGCCAGTTGCGGACGTTAAAGATCCTCATTGTCCTTTTAAGGACGGCCGAGTACTTGGGAACCAATATTCCAATCTTCTTTAAGTGTCCATTTAGCTTGCAGTTAAGAATCCTATTAGGATTCGCAGTTTATTCCTTCTTCCTTTGACACATTCTATAATTTATTTTCTTCCGAAATTTGTTAGGAGATTTTGAGTGAATTCCGTTGTTCCTTCATTTTCTTTTTGTCCTTCTGTCGGAGATATTCATTGGTAGAGTGGGTTCCTATGCCACAGAAGGGTTCGGGTCCTATCAGCGGTGTAGCAGCTCCTTTCCTTGCAAGGGTGTCCGCTTTCTCGTTGTCTTCTACTCCCAAGTGTCCTGGGAACCAACAGAAGCTGACTTTGCTCTGCGTATCTAATATGTTTAATTTGGTTTGCAGTTCAACACCATCTTTCAACTAATGATATTTCAGCTTAGTGCCTTGATGACTGTTTGGCTATCTGACATGATAGCTCTTGTTTTTGTACCCTTTAGTCAAGTTGAGTTGAGTACATCTCTCGATTGCGTGAATCTCAGCTTGGAAGATACTGGTGTATTTTCCCATGGGTTCTGAGTATTTGGTTCCAGGACCGAATACTCAAAGTACAGAGGTTAACAAACTTTATAACATCGATGATGCTAGGTTTGACTTAATAAAATACAAGACATGCACATTGACAAACGTCTAATTAGACAATATGTGATTGATTTTAAGGATAATAGCCATAAAACAAGCATAACTTTTAAAAGTTAAAAAAATTAAAAAGCTGTACAGGGTGTCCTTTCTGGATGGCTCGGCTGAATTTCTCTAGAACCGACTACGTTATCAAAAAGAACAAAAAATACGTGTTTAATATTTTTTAGTCTAGTTTGAAATTTTTACCTTTTTTGGAAAAAAGTTATACATGGTACCTCAGGCCCAGTTCAACCTCAAAATTTCAAATATGACCTGGCATATCATTTTAAAGGATTTTTTACTCTGAAAACAATGGTGCAATCGGATTTTAAATGGGTCAAAGTTATGGCAAAAAGAAACTGGCGGCGTAATTTCGTCGAGGAGCTGAATATTTGACAGTATTTTCGCGAAAATCCGAATTCCTCTCTCCGAAACGTTGGAAGGGTTTTTGGTTTTTCAAAAAATAAAATTAGAGATGTACTCCGGACTTATAATTTTACGCCGTATCGATTTCATCTTGCCCAGGGACTTCGGGACTTTGATTATGACAGGCGCCTAATTCCTTGCACAAAAACGTCGATTTGGGTGGCTGAAGAAAACCTTCTTCCATACAACTTATGAACAGATGAACCCCAAGTTCACCTCTAATGTCATACTATACCGTTGAAATTTTTTGAACGTGGGCAGGGGAAAATCCGAGAATTTCGTAATCATGTCATCAGGTGGTTCACAGCATCATAGAAAATGCTTGTCTATCAATCTTCCCTGACTCTATCGCTCTGAGCACCGGCGAAGAGTGGTTAAAAAGAGCATATCTTTGCATTTTTACGCAGGCAGTACGAACATGAAATGTGATTAATAAATAGCAAACCAAATGTTTGTTTTTCCCCCCAAACTTTTTGCCATAACTTTGTCATTTTTGATCAATTAAAAATTTGCACGGTTGTTTTGAGCGTAAAAAATCCTTTAGTGTGTTAGGATCGAATTTAAAATTTTGAAGTTGAACTGGGCCTGAGGTAACCCTGCATAACTTTTCTCCAGAAAAGGTAAAAAATTCAAACTAGACTAAAAAGTATTAAATTTATATTTTTTTATGGCGTCATTGGTTCTAGATAAATTCAGCCGGGCCATCTAAAAAGGACACCCTGTATATCACATGACGTATGATTAATCAAGAATTTTTATAATATTTATCGCATTAAATAAAATTCATTTGCCGACTTAATTTACTTATTTTTTGGCGCTTTAGTCTTTTAAGAAACTGGTCCGCCTGTTCTCGCTCGGTTTCGATCCGGTTTTTTCACGGTCACTGGTTATAATCTCCCTTTCTTCACTGCGGTTCCAGTTCTACGTTGCATCTTCTGCTTGTTTATTCTGCATGTTTGATTAATTTCACATATTCACTGCTTTTAAGCATGGGTCCGTTTATTCTCGCTTTGGCAATCGATTTTCCCTAGCCAATGGTGAAAATATTTTGCTTCACGTTATTTATTTTTTAATGATTAACGACACACCGCCTATAGATACACTCTAACTACTTAATAAAATTACATAATAAATAAATATAATAAATCCTCTCCTTCAAATATACATATTTTTTTAAAGACCAAGTAGAGCCAAGGTTTGTTATTCTTATGCAATACTGAATAATTTGTCTTGAGAATTTTCAATTTAATAATTATTCAGAAATTGTGAGATGCGGTCTGGTGTGATGTAGGTTTCATAAAAACATTTTCTTTATCGTGCCAACGTTTCGATCTTTATTGAGATCTTCTTCAGGGCTCAAAGTGTTTGTCTTCTGTGTAATTGTGCCATTCTTGCGTGTCGTGTTGAGAGTGCCCACTCACACCAGACCGCATCTCACGATTTCTGAATAATTATCGATTTACGCTCACTAATCACCACACATTTCAATTTAATATAGTTTATTTTTTTCTGTATTACAACGATTTAAAAAAAAAGTTATTTGTTAATGAATCCCTATAGAATTTGTTTCTTTAAAAGAATCTTAACTAAATTAACCCTATAATTGATCTAATTCTTTGGGAAAAAATTCCCTTGTATTGAAAAGTTCACCAAAGTTCGCTGTTCACACACTGGAAATGGCTTATCGCAAGGTTTAATTTGATTATATAAACTCCCTGAAAAAAAAGATGGCAGTCTCATAAAACATTTTTGTAGAAAATCCTGTGGGTTTGTCCTATTCTTACAACACAGCCGCTTTTAGCAATTCAAGGGTTGTAGAGTTTGAGATTGTCCCAGGCTGAATTATGTTGATGAAGAAGAAATCGATCACGACGATTAATGTGTTTGGGATCTGGTTTCACCATTTGACCAGAAACCAGATCCCAAACAAATTGTCCCAGACGTTTTCGATTGGCTTCTTTCATGCTGGTCACTTAAGAGTATACATGTGATGTGCAGGTGATCAGAAACAAAATTTCTGTGGTCGAACAAGCATTGTTTTCATAAACAATGAGCCTAGGAAAGGCATAGAAAGTAATATGATCAGCAAGGTCATCACACATCTTCATACTTCAAGGTCTCCTCTTGAAGCATCAAAAAAGGAGGACGCTTTTCTGTTTGAATGGTGATTAATTGAATTTATTAATAAAATTTTATAGTCGACTTCACACTTGATCTCTATTGTATTATATTTATTCAGAAATCGTGAGATGCGGTCTGGTGTGATGTAGGTTTCAGAAAAACATTTTCCTACTCGTGCCAACGTTTCGATCTTTATTGAGACCATCTTCAGGGACTGGGATTTACAAACATTGTTTAAATTTAACAAAAACATGTAGGATGTGGAAAAAAGTGAATTTATACAATGCAAAAATATGTTTTTTTATATTCAATCAAAGTATTACGCAGAAAACAAACACTTTGATTTAGTAGAAATACTTTGATTGAATATAAAAAAAATATTTTTTTGTGAACATCCTACATGTTTTTGTTAAATTTAAACAATGTTTGTAAATCCCAGGCTCTGAAGATGATCTCAATAAAGATCGAAACGTCGGCATGATAAAGAAAATGTTTTTCTGAAACCTACATCACACCAGACCGCATATCACGATTTCTGAATAATCATTTTAAAAAATCTCTTGCTTTTACTTTTATTTGGACAGGTTAGTCAGAATTATCTTTAAATTTTATTTTTGCAGGATTTTTTGTAGCCAGCTCCAATTTATTTTTATCCTGTTTAGGATTTTATTCTCTTAGGACTGGTTTTATTTCGTTATGTCCTGAGCGTTATAAGCCATCCTCTGGTTGTAGGACCATGCCGAAATTTGGCAAGTATGCCCGGTAATGTTGTGTTTTGCAATTTCTTAAATTGATTTCGTGCCTTCTTTACCAAGGTAGAACATTTTTGTATTTATGCCACGTTATTTTACTACAAAATGGTAGAAATTCGAAGGTAAATACAAAAGCTTATGTCGATTTCTTATAAAATCTAAGGGGAACGTTCTTTTATCAAATAAGGTCAGAGGTCAAATCGCAAACGCAGTACTGGCAAAGTATGCTTATCGATGTAATTATGGGCGATAACAAGTGGTAACGGGTTAGATTTTCAAAAGAAAAAAAGTAACGCCAATTCAAATTTTAGCCAATTCACGGTATGGTATGTTTTCAGCTTATTCGATTTTTGATGATTAAAAATAAATAAATGGAATTGTTTACCATCTGGGGGTTCAAACTCAACTACCAAATATAGGACCGGTGTTGCTCTGGTAATTAATATTTTATTAACGATACAAACTATACAAAATATGACGGGATTTTTAATTTTTGCAGGTGACGTTTTTGACTCCTTTTCCAGCTATGGTTCAACAACAGCGAAACCACTACGTTTCGCGACAGCACGCTGTACAATATGATTTATTTGTTAATAAATATTGAAAAGTAAATATTAATGGATAATGTGTAAAACCCTTTAAAAAAAAGAAAACAATGTAAATTTGTATTTTTATTTTGTTTTTCTTTCGCGATGTTCATTCACCGCGTGCTGTTTTGTTTATTATTCATTTTAATCCTTTCCGTAAGATTTCACAGCTGAATTTGTGTAAAGACGTCGGTTTTTTGTGTTTTATTGTAACAGGAGTCGCAAGTTGGATTTTTACAACCGATTTCACTTGGCAAAAGGTAAGTTTTAGCATATTTTCCTATTTATATGAGATATTTCTCTTTGCTTTGAAATCACCCCGAAAATTTATTTCGGGCCTAAAATGTCACCCAGAGCTGTACGTATTGCAAATGGATAAAACTTTGATTCAGAAAATGTAAAACTTTTATTCTTTCTACTTCTAATTTCATTCGCGTACGACAAAATTCCTCATGTGCTTCCTCACCTCAAAAGCAGCTACGATCTGATTTACTTTTCCCAGATACTCAACATTTTATGTTTCTTTTGAACTACCTGTAGTTTTGTTCATAAATCTAATCATAGCTCTTGAACTATCCATTTTTGGGGAATCCAGAAAAAGCATTGAATGAAGGGTTAACTTTCCTTTAAGAAGGAACCTTTCCAGGATTTTCAATTTAATTTTTGGTAAAAAAATCTTTCAAAAACTGCTAAATTGAAAATCTGTAAAAAAAAATAAATTTGTAACCTCATTAGAAACAAATCTAGCTTGGAAAATTCTAGTGGTATACACTTTTCTTTAATTACTGGAAAAAAAGAAAAAAAAACAGGAATGGTTTAATCTAGTAATTCAACTTTTTTGTACTGGGGCAAAATTTATTTCCCAACTTTAACCTAATAAAAAAATATAAAAAAGGCGATAAACACAGCGAACAACAAAAGCAAAAAATTGGACAAAATAACTACATTAAACAGATTAAAAAAAAGAACAACAAGTTTTATAACCTTAACTTTAAACTCATAAAAAAGCATACAAAAATTTTCATCATAAAAAAACACAATAAAAGACAATGGATATAGTAAACAAACAAATTACGGATATTTTTTGTGTGCTTTTTTATTAGATTAAAGTTAAGGTTATAAAACTTCTGTATTGTTGTCCTTTTTTTGTCTGTTTAATGTAGTTATTTTGTCCAATTTTCTGCTTTTGTTTTTCGCTGTGTTTATCCTCTTTTTTGTGTTTTTTGTGCTTTTTTTTGTTAAGTTAAAGTTGGGTTTTACAACTTCTGTACTGTTGTTCTTTTTTTAATCTGTTTAATGTAGTTATTTTCTCCAATTTTTTGCTTTTGTTGTTCGCTGTGTTTATCCTCTTTTTTATGTGTTTTTTGTGCTTTTATTTTGTTAAGTTAAAGTTGGGTTTTACAACTTCTGTATTGCTGTTCTTTTTTTATCTGTTTAATGTAGTTATTTTGTCCAATTTTCTGCTTTTGTTGTTCGCTGTGTTTATCCTCTTTTTTATGTGTTTTTGTGCTTTTTTTGTTAAGTTAAAGTTGGGTTTTACAACTTCTGTATTGTTGGTCTTTTTTGTCTATGTTTAGTGTACATATTTTGTCCAAATTTTCTGCTTTGGTTGTTCACTGGTTGAAGATTTTTGATGCATTGTGTTGCATGTGTTGAAGCATCTGCCGGACTTTATCAAACGAGTAGAGAACCACCCCGTATAAAAGTTAGAAAATCTCAGCGTTTTGTGTGTAATCTAAATTTCCTTTCTTACTTCTTCTAAAATTTATGTTTTTATAAATTGTGTAAGGTAAAAAAATGCAATTAAACCTTTTACATATATGATATAATTAAAAGGGAAAAGTGTCCCTTAGTATTTTTCTAAAAGAGCTTAGGAGTGCTTAGTGCGCTTGGCGATGAGAGAGAATTAAGCCACCTGGTAGCAGATGTTCCGATCCCTGCCCGATTCTCCCCCCTTATGTCCCTATAATGCCATTGTTCTCCTGCAATGTGAGCAACTCCGAACACGTACATAACAGCGGCAATCGGCGGGTTTCGATTCTGGCACATTTTCAAAACGTTTTCCCTTTCATTACGTTCGAACCTCGCTTGAACGTTCTGTGATCTACCGGAACCGTCCCTTCTCGACCCTGCATCTAAAACAGTTCTCCATTTGTCGTCCCTTATCCCGGTCCGCCTACACTCGCTGGTTTGGTCTGACAGACCAAGTATACAAACCGAGAATCAAGCTACAAATTTCATACTTGTCATTACTCTAAAAATTTTCAAAAAACAGTTTATTAGCGTTTACAATAAAAAAACTGAAGACAGGAAAAGTTCGCTAGAATAGCCTTTTATATCAACGTATTTTACTTATCGATCTTTAACAATATCGTTTTATCTGTCTATCTACATCACTTCATCATACCTCATGCATTTATCAATAAAAATCAATCCTTGTGTCAACCCGATTTTTTGCCGTTTCATCCATCCGCCATTCAATCCATCTACAAATTCATTGTTTCTAATGTCTTTATTGTATCCATTCATTTATCAATCAATCTGTCAAACATGTATGGATAAAATATTAACTTTTTACCCAATATCTCTACTTTTTTAAATTTATATATCTATATCTAGATTCCATGCTTGTATCTCTTTTATGTATCAGCCTATAAGGTAATCCACATCGTTATCTATCAATTTATATTTTTTTTATCTATGTATCGATCAATGTCATATTGTGCAACAATTTATACCTTCGTTTATCTATCAATCCATCATCTATATTATTTTTATTTGTCAAATATATTATCAATTTATAATGCTATACGTACCATTGTATCTCTCCTTCAATTTTATATCAATGTATACATTCACCTGTATAATGTGTATCAATATTATCTATCCAACAATTTATACTTATGTGTATACCATTTTTGTCTACTCATAATTTTATATATCAGTGTATTTATTCAATATTTTGTCTATCAATCGTTTATATATCTATCAATTTGGGTAATGACTATCCATCTTGATTTCTATTTTATCTATCTACCTATCAATCTTTTTTCCAGCGTATTTATCTACCATATCATTTATATATCTAACTTCCTATACAACAATCAATACATCAATATTCATGTTTTCTACTCATTATTTCAGATAATAAATGAATATATTATCTAGCCATCATTTCATTTTAAGTATTTTATTATTATTAATTAATTTTAATATTTTTCATTTTATTTATGTTTTTATTTTAGTTAACTCCCGACAGACGGATTGTTATCCATGTATTATGTTTCTGATTTTTGTGTAAAAGTAAAGGTAAATTAAAGTATATTACAGAAAAAATACTCTAACCATTATTTTATATATGTACCGTTTTAGCTACATGTATATTTGTTTTGATTTCTATCTATTTAAACATAATTGTCTTTTATTTTGTCTCTATCAATGTGTTTATTTATCATATCATTTATATATCTAAAACGTTATGTATTTATTTTTAATTAATTAATCTTTTAGTAAGGTATTGGTTGAGATAAAAAAGTCAGCGTCACGAGCGGGATTCGAACCCACGACCTTCGGCTAAATAGCTCACGGCGTGGGTTCGAATCCCGCTCGTGACACTGACTTTTTTATCTCAACCAATATATTAATGTTATCTACACAATAATTTATACGAATATGTATACCATTTAATTTATTCATCATTTTATATATCACTATATTTATTCTAGATCTATGTATCATTGTATTAATTCATATTATTTTTTTTCTATCGAAATATTTATTCATCCATCTATATCCACAATGCTTTATATGTTTATATTTAACTGTTTACTGGTCTACGTATAACATATTATCTATTCGTGTATAAAGTGACTAATACATAAATTGATATATTCACTTTAATTAATAAAAATTGTTTAAAAAACAAAAATAGGAAAATTATAAGGTGTTTTATACAGGTTCCATCAGAAAGTTTTCAGCTTATAAAAAAACTTCATAACATAAATTGTTGCTATTTCAAAATTAAGGTAGTTTAGAAATCTGAATAAATAAGCAAGATTAATTATGTAAGCGCTGTTTTTTAACCTTTACAGTGATGGAAAACGTTGGAAATTACCATGTATAATGTACTCGCTATGAATATGATTAAATCCAAAACATGCTGTGATTCGTTGAAAATCTGCACAACTTGGTTGTGATTGGGTGTATTAGAATTTGAAGTCTCTCAAGTTTCCGGCGGTTTTCAAGAAAAACATTTCCGGACGAACTTTTAACCGAAGCCCCTTCTGTCGGATAATTTCCTCCAATGCAAATTTAAATCCGTTGTAAACCGTTCCCAGGTGACCTGCGGAGGTCCCCAGCTCTCATGGGCGACCCTTCGCCGAGGCTATTTGAAACTGAGAAGACAATGTGGCCCCTCGTACTTCGATAGAAAGGATGTCCCGACTCGGGATCGTCCCCAAAGTGTAATAAGAATAAGTGGAAAGTGCCATTTATTACAGGTTAGCAACTTGCTTAACGTAAAGTAACGAAACTACAACTCTAACGAAATAAATATCAGCGAACCCTTAAATTGGACAATAATTAAGAATTTAAATTTATAAAATTTATTCACAACACCGTTATGAATAGCTAAATGGAAACACCTACAAAATAAAATAACTTACTTGAAGGACCATTTGTGCAATGTCTATCTATTTATTATTTTCAAGCGTTATATCCGTCTGTTTATTTTACATATCAACTATCCGCCATTTTATTAATTTTTTTTCATAATGTAAGTCAATATAACTTTATCTATCTAATTCAAACAACAACAATAGATCTAAATATTTATATATAGATTTTCATCGACATCTTCTATTTATCTATCTATCAATTTATATATCTACCTTTATAGCTAGGCATCCATTTATATGTCTATTTATCTGTATATCTATTTATTACTATTGTAACGATTTATCTAATCTTCCATCAATATATATCACTGTATTTTGCTACTTTTCTATCTATCAATTTGTATATCTTCCTTTATAGGTATCCATCCATTTATATGTCTAACTATCAATCTACATATGTATCAACGTATTTATCTACTATTTTGAACTATCTATCAATTTATATATGTGTTATTTAAACGATTTATCTAATCTTCCATCAACATATACCCCAGCGTTTAGTCACTTTTCTATCTATCAATTTATTTATCTACCTTAATAGCTATCCATAAATTTATATGTCTATCTATCAATCTATGTATCAACATATTTTGAACTATCTATCAATTTATATACGTATTATTTAAACGATTTATCTAGTCTTCCATCAATATATACCCCTATATTTAATCACTTTTCTACCTATCAATTTATATATCTACCTTTATAGCTATCTATCCATTTATATGTATATCTATCAATCTATGTATCAACGTATTTATCTACTATTTATTTATTTTGAACTATCTATCAATTTATATTTACATTATTTAAACAATTTATTTAATCTTCCGTCAATAGATATCACGGTATTTAGTCACTTGTCTATCTATCAATTTATGTATTTACTATTTTAGCTATCCATCTGTTTATATGCCTTCCTATCTACCCATCTTTATATCCTATCTATCAATTTATCCACCATACTACCTATCAATCAATTTATATATTTCATATTTTAACTATCTATCTATCAATCTGTATTATCCAATATGCTATATATATATATATATATATATATATATATATAGCATATTGGATAATACAGATTGGATAGATACAATCGAATGATTGATACGATATTTGGAAATATACACAGCTATATATATATATCATTCATCCTCCGGGCTGGTGGGTGAATTCATGATATTTATACGGCCTATGTGCCCATTTATCCTGTATGCATATACACATAATGTATTCATCTACCATATTACCAATTTATCAATTTATAAATCTCCTAATCATGTTATCTGACCATATATTTATTTATCTGTAATATACTATGGTCCATTTATATATCAATATAGTATATTTATTCCATTTGGTCCTCCGGGCCGGTAGGTGAATTCATTACATTTATACGGCCTATATTCCTATCTGTCTATCTATGTATATACATATAATTTATTCATCTACCATATTCGATCAAATTATAAATCTCCTATTTTAATTGTATATCCCTCTATCAACCAATATCATACAACATACATATCCAGCTGTGTATCTACCTAATTATCGTGCCAGACATTCGTTTGACGCATTATTGTACGATCTATTATCTATCCATTAATTTATACAATACACACAAATACGTCTGACGTTACATCCAAGCTGTAAATACTGTCCTTTTTTTTGTACCTATATTTAGGAAATAAAGTATTATTATTATTATTATTAATTTATACAATACTTTCTACATCATGATATCTGACCATATATTTATTTATCTATGATATTTTAAGGTCCATTTATATATCAATATGCTATATTTATTCCATTTGGTCCTCCGGGCCGGATATCTAAAAGCTTGCGCCGAATAGCGGAAAGCCTATCGAGAAAAAGAAGAAGAAATCACAAAGAAAGGCCATTTTTTGTCATTATTCTCTGCCGAATGATAATATCTATGTGTGAGGCATAAGTGATCTAGTAGAACGCTGTAGAGTAGTCATCAGACATTTCCTACCTATAAACTACTTAGGAATGTATTTTTTTCTAGCTAGAATTCCAGTTTGTTAGAATCATCGAGCTACTACGACAGACTGACTAGGGACAAAGGAATTCTTGGCTAGTATTTCAAGGCCAATAATGAGCACGACACATGGACAACCGTGATCTAATATATAAATTCTGTATTTATGTTCCTTAAAATGCTATTTATGTATTGAAAATAAGTCAACTGTTGGTATATCATAGAATTATTGTAAAGATTAAATTTTAAAGAAATTAAACTGAAAAAGTTTGTATATGATTTTTTTCTCGATAACCAAGTTAGTAAACAATTCTTTATTAAGCTTCAAGTCAATACTTAATTCTGAAACGATTTTTGTTTACAGCAAAGCCGAGTGGGAGAGGCGTTTAAACCCCGGAGAGCAGTTGTTCCAGATCAATAATTTCCAGATGGAGTGGTGGGGCACTGCGTTGGAGTTGGGCGAGGTAGGGATTGAAATGGATCTGCACACGGCATCTTCCCTGGGTTACCTTGATGTCGTTGAGAAGCTACTCGGGAGGTACGACCTCTCTGCAATCCATTCCTTACATTCGGCGAAAAATAACTGCCCAAATTATAATCATTATGATGAACTGTAGGTCGCCTTGAACTTCGGTACTCTCCGAATTTGAATACCACGTTGAAAACTTACAAGGGCTTAGCATTTAATAATAGATGTTAAGCTAAATTAAGTAGTTTTTAACAGAAGGATGTAAGATCTGTTGAAAATTCAGTGGTGATTAATCGATTCAAGTTAAGGTGTGTTCAAGTCGCAGATACTTTGTGTGTATCCCCTGATTAATATTAAAAATTATGAGGCAAAAAAACAAGATACTCAAATACAGAATTTATAAGTAAAATAATCGACAATTAATCTTCATATTAAAATATCTAATGGTGCTGTGAAAGTTCTTGTTTGATGGTTAAAATACAATTTTTTTTTTGGATTTAAGTAGATGATTTTCTCCAATATTTATGGTTAAAGTTTTGAAATTAATTTTACGAAGGCAGTACGATAAATAATCGATAGAAAAAATAATACATTCAACAGATGTTTCACACGTGTATGGCTAAAACCAAATTTAAAATGGTCTCAACTAGCAGATATGCTCGAAGATTTGTGGTTATATTGAACCGATTAGGTTTCGTGGTCCGAACCAATAAATTGTTTTCAATTAATTAACCTTTAAGTAAGGTATTGGTTGAGATAGAAAGTCAGTGTCACGAGCGGGATTCGAACCCACGACCTTCGGCTATATACGCCGTTGCTCTATCACTTGAGCTATCGTGCAAAAAGGAGGGAAAATTCAAAAGGTGGGGTTGAGATAGAAAGTCAGTGTCACGAGCGGGATTCGAACCCACGACTTTCGGCTAAATACGCCGCTGCTCTACCACTTGAGCTATCGTGACTTCGATCCACTCGGACACCAATTTCACATCTCAATCACACCTTTTGAATTTAACCTCCTTTATATTGATCAATTAATTGTTAAAAAAATCAAACATTGTTTGAAAAATAATCGATTGTTAAACATTTCCTGACTCTTCTTAACCGACTAGCGGGATGGTTGTTGTCAGTTAAAAAATTTTTTTGGTCTACTGAAGTATCTCGTATTCTCCAAAAATACGACGAATTATCGATTTCCAGCTGATATCTTCCAACGCTTCAAAAACTCGATTCAAACATTCCATGACATGGCTAATCGTCGAAAAATTAATAAAAAAAGCTTCAAGGTGAAAAGTTTTAATAACGATTCTGTAGTAGAATCAATTTCCAACTATTTTCCTTCTTTAATAAAACGATAAGAAAGCCTTTTTTTTCCACGTGGATTGTTGATATATCCAACATTCATTAGACTCAAATAGCAGATACACTTCAAAATTTAAAATTTTCTAATTGTTTTTACAAAAGCCAACGTTGCACAATAACTAATCGATTATCATTTCTAAAACGATACATTCTACAGATTTTAAGATTTCACCCTTGTACGGTTAAAACCCAATTTAAAATGGGCTCAACTAGCAGATATGCTCGAAAATGTATGCTTATATTGAACAATTAATTGTTAAAATAATCAAACATTGTTTGACAAATAATAGATTTTCAAACATTTCCCGACTCTTCTTAAGCGGGATGGTTGTTGTTAGTTAAAATCCAAATTTTGGTCTGCTGAAGCATCAGATATTCTCCAAAAATTTGGGATAACGTTCAGGAACAAATGCTTAAAAAAAGGCTAACGGCGAATTATCGATTTCTATCTTCTAAGTTGATATCTCCCAACGCTTCAAGAAATCGACTTGACCAAAGATTCGGTGACTAATCAATGAATAATTAATAAAAAAGCTTCAAGGTGAAATGCTTCATTATCTAGGTCGTAAGAAAAGTAATCAATTTCTGACAATTTTCTTTCTATACTGAAAAGATAATAACGCTATTCTTTCTACATGAATTATTGAATCCAACATCCAAACTTCATGGCTAATTGCAACTATTTTTACCATAGCAAACATTATACAATAAATAAATAAAGTAGCAGATATTCTCCAAAATTTATGGTTATATTTAGTAATTATTTTTAAAAATCAAATGTTGTTGTGTGTTGAATATTAAAATTCCAGTTTTGGGTGGTATAAACTTGAATTTTAGCTGTTTAAACTAAGGTATTAATTTAAAGTAAATCAATAGAATAGTTGATTCTCAATATTTCCCGCCTCTTTTAAAACTGTCTATTCGACTGGTTTAAGGTTTTGTATATGCTGGGTGTTAAAATTCAAAATTTTCTATTAAAAGAAATGTTCAACTAGTAGATATTCTCCAAAACTTATAGTCATATTGAGGCAAAACAAAATCTTGTACGACAAATAATCGATTCTCAACTATTTCCCGCTTCTTCTAAAACTATTTATTCCACTGGTGGAAAGGTTTTGTCTATGTTGGTTGTGAAAATTCAAAATTTTCAATTAAAAAAAAATGCTCAGCGAGTAGGTATTCTCCAAAATTTATGGTCATATTGAGGCAAACCAAAATCATTGTACGACTTGTTCGACAGATAATCGATTCTCAACTATTTCCCGCTTCTTTTAAAACTNGAGAGAGAGAGAGAGAGAGAGAGAGAGAGAGAATAATTAATTGAAATAAGTAATTTGCTCAATTAGACCACTAAACATAAATGGATTAATATTTATAAGTTAATGTTGATCCATGTAAAACCAGCCCTTTAGAAAATATCGGAATTATTTAGACTGATGGATATATATGAAAAATTAATAAATGTAAAAAGTCCTTAGCATCCTTAAAGGCTTAAATTCTGAGATTGAATTTTTAGGACCTATGTAGGTAAAATCCTTTTAAAAAGATAGTTCCAACTCACAGTAAGTTGTTTTCCAACGATCTGGATTTCGAGCTTTTAGCTCATCATCAGGTTGAAGGAGTTCTACATTCCCGATGTCTCTAGTTCCTCCTGAAGGTGCGGCACGTTTCTGCCTCTGCTTTGCCCACCTTCTTTAGTTAGTAGTTAAGAGGAAGTGGCCGATATAGAGGTCTATAGTTTTCCTTAAATCCTCCATGTTCCTTTTTGAGATCTTTATCCAGTGGTTTCTTTCTCAAGCTTTTTTTCAAGCTCAAACTTTAGCGTACACTCGGTGCGTCTAGTTCCATGTGGGTTGTCATAGTTTTGGCTAGTTGGTCATCATGTTCCCGGAACCCATCTTAAATTAGTCTGTTTGTCTGTCTTTCCCTAGCATGTAAAGGTTTAGGTATTCCCAGACTAGTTTGTAACTACAGGCAGTGCCTTTATAGCTTTTCACTGTCCGAAAGTGTGCAAACCTGTGCTCTTTTCATTTTCGTCTTTGTGTTATTTATTGTGTTTCCTTATTTCACTAAGACCCATTTAGGTTTATTGTGGAACCCCTATAATTTGGACTATACTGTGGAAAGTTCGCTTTTTATTATATACATTTTTTTGAACCTTTTGCGATTTGCCATTGGCCAATAATTTTCTTCAATGCCTGCTGAGATAGAGTTTCATCGCCTTTCTTTCTGAGAGATTTATAAATCATGCCCGGTGTTTTTCTCCAGTTCTTTTTCAAACGTTTTTACAGTTCCAACATAAGCTACGGTGCAAGTTGTGGTTACGGTCTCATGGGTGAGAGGACGATTGCTTTTTTGGCCAGTAGGTCATTTTCTTGTATACCTTCGTGTTTCTGAATCCGCTTTAAAATAGCCATGTTGTGTTTTCCTATAGTCATTAAGCAATTTAGGCATAGACTAGCTTGATGCTAATACCATACGCATTTAGTGTGCTTTATGGCTGACTGTCCGAAAGTTTGTAAATCTGTGCTCCTTTGATATTTTATCAACTTTTGTCTACAAAGTTGAATTGCATGAACCTTAGCTTGGAAAATTGTAAGCACAAATGTATTCAAAATTGTATCATAGATAAATAAACGTCAAGGTTCAACTGTGTGACCCTTGAATTATTAAAGAAAAATCATGGACTTCTATTTTCTTTCTATTGGGTTGTCCGGAAAATAATGCAGGATTTTGGTATTAAACAAAAAAAAAGAAACTAGTTACTTTAAAGCAATGTTCTTTAATCAAAATAATNTTGACATTCATACAAATGAGTAATCCTGTAAACGTAAACAGAATATTTTATATAGATTTTTTTTAATGAAAACTTAAAATCCTGCATTATTTTCCGGACAACCCGATATTTGATTTTGAAATATCTTCACGTAAATAAATTATTTAAAAGTTCACTAGTCGTCGTGGTCCGCTTGACCAACTAATATATTTAAATTATTAAAGGTTTTTAGTTGAGATAAAAAAGTCAGTGTCACGAGCGGGATGGGAAGTTAGTGTCCGATTGGATCGAGGTCAAGACAGCTCGAGTGGTAGAGCAGCGGCGTATCTAGCCTATCTCAAATTTGGGTTAAACCGAACTTTAGAGGAGTAAGCGAGTGGCTTACAATTAGACTATTCTTAGTAATAGAATAAAAATCCCTTTGATATAGGCGAAAGGAATTAAACCGAAGGTCTTGGGTTCGAATCCCGCTCGTGGCATTAACTTTTTCATTTCAACCAAAAATCTTACATAAAAAGATTAATTAATTGAAAAAATTGTAAAAAAATTAATTTCATTATTTTACTTAAGATTATACTAGTCTTGGAATAATTTATTTTTTATTTGTACTCTTGCTCGCTTTGTTTTGCCTACCTTTTTTCTCCTTTCTTTGATTGGGACAAGAAGGCAGCTATAAATTGTCCAAATTGGTTCTCTTAACGGGAAATCTTCGTTTCTGTAATGATGTCAATGCACTTCAAATAATGGACGAAGGTACCTAAGACCATAAATACAGTCAAATTCTCTCCCTAATCCTTTTTCATAGGAAAGATTTACCTTCTGTCCCCTGTTCTTTTGGAAGAGCCAACCTAATGTTCTTCGGATCGGAATTAAAAAATCGTTCTTCAAACTGCATATTTTTAAGTTAAATTAAAGAATCTGCAAATTAGAATTAAAGAACATTCTTCATAATTGATTTTTTTCTTAAGTTAAGAACGTTCTTCATACTAGTTTTTTCTCAACTTAAAAGCGTTCTTCATACTAGACTTTTCCCTTGAATGAAAAAGTTCTTCATATAATTTTTTTTTCCAAATTAAAAATGTTTTTCGTACTACATTTTCCCGTACATTAAGCACGATCTTCATACTGGTTTTTTGCTTAAATTAAGAAGTTCTTCATACTACATTTTTTTCCTTAAATTAAGAAGTTCTTCATAGGAGAATTTTTTAACTAAAAAGTTACTTCATACTATATTTTCCTTACATTAATAATGTTCTTCATACTAGATTTTCACCCAAATTAAGAACTTTTTTGTAATAATTTTTTCATAACTTAAAAGCGTTATTCATATTAGACTTTTCTCTTAAATGAAGCTTCTTCATACTAGATTTTTTCAAATTAAAAATGTTCTTCATACTACATTTTTTCCGTACATTAAGAACGTTCTTCATACTAGATTTTTCCCTTAAATTAAGAAGTGCTTCATACGAGAATTTTTTTAACTAAAAAGTTACTTCATACTAGATTTTTCTTACATTAATAATGTTCTTCATACTAGATTTTCACTCAACTTTTCAAGAACTTTTTCGTACTAATTTTTTCATAACTTAAAAGCGTTATTCATATTAGACTTTTCCCTTAAATGAAGAAGTCTGCATACTAGATTTTTTCAAATTAAAAATATACTTCATACTACATTTTTTCCGTACATTAAGCACGTTCTTCATACTACATGTTTTGCTTAAATTAAGAATGTACTTCATTCTAGAGCTTTTTGTGTTACAATAAAAACTTCTTTATACCATTTTTTTATAAATTAAAAACTTACTTCATACTGTTTTTTTTTTCATAATAATAACGTTCTTTATAATTAAATTCACTAATTTCGTGGTCCGCTTGGCCAATATTACAATCAATTAAGGTTTTTAGTTGATATAAAAAAGTCAATGGCATGAGCGGGATTCGAACCCACGATCTTCGGCTAGATACGCCGCTGCTCTACCACGTGAACTATCGTGACCTCGATCCACTCGGACACTAACTGAGATGGGAAGTCTGAAGTCAAGTTTGAAAATTGACAAAAAGGAGGGAAAACTCAAAAGGTGGGGTTGAGATGGGAAGTTAGTGTCCGAGTGGATCGAGGTCACGATAGCTCAAGTGGTAGAGCAGCGGCGTATCTAGCCGAAGATCGTGGGTTCGAATCCCGCTCGTGCCATTGACTTTTTTATCTCAACTAAAAACCTTAATTAATTGTTCTTTTTAATAGTTTTTTTATTAAATTAAAAGTCTTCATTCTAGACTTTTCCTTTTAAAAAACATCTTTAAATTAAGATGTTCTTCATACCAGATTTTTTTTCAAACTAAAAATGTTCTTCTTATAGATTTTTTCAAATTAAAAATGTTCTTCATACAGATTTTTTCAAATTAAAAATGTTCTCCATACAAGATTTTTGCTTAAATTAAGAACGTTCTTTATATCGGATTTTTTGTTAAATTAAGAACATTCTTCATTCTAGATTTTTTTGTTAAATTAAGAACTTCTTTATACGAATTTTTTTAAATTAAAAACTTACTTCATACCACATTTTTCCGTACATTAATTAAGTCTTAACACTATTTTTTTCTTGAATTAAAATTGTTCTTCACACTACCTTTTTTTAAAATTGAGATATTCTTTATACTAGATTTTTTTTAACATAGTTAGTTTAAAAATGCTCTTCATAGTAGATTTTTCCGTACTAGAACTACTACTTTTTACATAATACTTTTAATAATACTAATACTTTTTACATACTACTTTTTCCGTAATAAACTACTTTATTCTAAGCTAAGGACTTAATATAGAATATGCTCTGAATAATCATTCTTCAAACTTGAACTATGTTAACAAAAACATTCTTCTAGAACTAATTTTTCATTGAATGAAGAATTTTATTCAAACTAGAACTTACTTAAGAAAACCATCTAAGGTAAGAATTTTCTAGTGCTAGCATTTTCTTTTGATAATCCACTTGAACCGAATTAACAAAAACATTCTGCAAGGCCTGATTTTTCATTGAATGAAGAATGTTATTCAAACTAGAACTTTGTTAAGGAACATGTTCTTCAAACTAAAGTTTTTTTTCTAAAATTAAGAAAGATATCCTTTTAAAATTTTGAGTTTTGATATTAAACTTGTTCTTCGAACAAATTTTCTTGAAGTAATCATATTCTGCAAACGAGATTTTTAAAAAATGAAGATAGTTCTTCGGACTAGATTTTGATTTTGGAAATTTTTCGTACTAGATTTTAAAAAATTAGTATATAAAGAATATTAAGCACGAACTTCGTAATAAAACTTTTTTCTTATATTAAGAACGTTTCAGAACTACAATTTTGTCTGTCAAAACTTTTTTTATAACTTTTTTTCTTTTAAACTAAGAATATTCTTTAGATTAGAATTTTGAATTTTTCTTAATTTAAGAGCTTGCTTCAAACTGCAATTTTGATATTACATCTTTTTAAGGCCAGGATTTAAAAAAAATTAAGATCCAAATTTTTCCCCTTAAAATTTTTTAACCATCATTTCTGTATAGTAATTGAACCAAATAAATAACAAAATGTCCTTCATTTGGATATTTTGTTAATGTCAACAATCAAAATGGAAGTGAACTAATGTTAAACCCATTCCAACTAAGCTAATCGTGAATAATGCCCAGGGAAAACATGGTAAAATGAAAAAATCAATAGATCAATGTGATATTAAAATTTAACATGAACAGAACAGCCAAGGCCTTTACAAAAGACAAAATCAAACTTTGAAAAGGAAATATTCCATTTTATGAAAAAAACTTTAGCTTGTGTGAAACACGCTGACAGTTTTATAAATATTGAGTTTAAAAATATATATTTGTTTTTTAGCGTTCATTAACATACATCAAACTTCAGTAAATATTCTATATAATAAAAATAAATATATGTTTTGTTTGGTTTTCTTCGTTTACCATGCTCTACAATATATTAAAGCATATTCTGATAATATTTTTACTATCGACTAATTTGTTGTATACTTTTTTGAACGCATTTTACACAAAACAATTTATTCAAAGTAAAGGAATTACTTTTTGTCAAAATATCTTTGGGAGTAGAAAATTTACTAATAATCTACAATGGTTATTTATATAAAATTTATTTTGTTGAAATATATAGAACAGCCTTTCAGGTTTTTCCTAATCGCCAAGGTCTATTATAGATTTTTCAAGCAGATAGAGAATTGCTAACTGATAAATAAATCAGGACAAATTGTTATTTCAGAAATATAGCCTTTTCGATGAGACTTGAAGTGAATTTTACTTTATTTTATTTTTTAATAACATTCTTACAGTAGCAATTTTAATTATTATAAAAAAATCAATTAATTTATATTTGTTTCTATTTTTCTGTCCATTCTGTTCCAGCGGTAGAAACGTAAACGAGAAAAACGTATCCGGCTGGACGCCAATCATGTACTCCTGCGTGTACAAAAGGGTGGAACTTGTTAAATTCCTCATCGCGAAAGGAGCCGACAAGCGAGTTGTCACCGGTTGTGGGAGGACGCTTTTTATTCTGGCAGCCATAGCAGGCAACATAGAAATAGCAACTGATGTTTTTATTGTAAGAAAAATTAAACATATACAACCTTCACACACCAAGAATTAAAATAAAGAAAGATTCAGCTGAAAATTTAACATAAAAAAGTATTCCAATGAAAGAGCCTACCATAGAAGCCATGCCTTTACTTGCAATTGTTTAGTTAATTTCAATTAAAATTTTTTTTTAGCTTCAGTAAAATAATATATATTAAAAAAAAAATGACATGATATTTTTATTTATTTATTTGGTAAGAGGGATTGGTTGAAGCCCTAGTATTGCCTTATTGATCCCGACTCTCCATGTTTAGAGAACCTCTTAAAATTATTTTAACACTTTTTATAAATTATTTAAAGCTGTTTTATAAGTCCTAGAAGGCAATTGGTATTATATAGTTATTTCACGTCTTCATTATTTGCTGCATCACTTTTTTTTGTCATGTCTTTTTTGAATTTGTCCTTGTGCTGGTCCTGGATGGATGTTCGATGTCATGGATAAAAGTTTGAGCGCTACTGACAGACACTGTTGAATTTACTAACCGTTTTTTTTTTTTTTTTTTTTTTTTTTTTTTTCTTAGCATACTAATTAAGCATAATTCACTGTTAGCAGTTGAGACTGGTGTACAACTGGTTTCAGTCTCTTGAATTCAAAACACAACAGACAGTTTTCGCACCAGGAAAGCTATGTAAAAGTCAAAACGAAGGCTTCAGAAAAGTTTGATACTAAAAAACTATGCTGTCCACAATGTCCAATTTCCCACCCAAAATATTAATTTCAAAGCTACGGGTTCTTGCCTCGCTGAATGTTGCACATCATGACAAAATGATTCACTTGGTAATAGCAAACCGCCGGCTTGCCCTATCAAATATTTCAGATGTATGACATAAAGCAGCATAGAGAAAATGAGCTGAAACCATATTGGAGACATCAGTGAAGTTTGTTATGAAGCAATGAAGGGCACAATGGTAGGCAGGCAGGTTGTTAACATAACAGCAAAAACAGTAATGGGCCTAGTATGCTCCCTTGAGGCACTCCCACATTCTTCTAAATGTTACAAAGATAGGGTAGATTGTCTTCAATGGAGACGTGAGCTGAACTATTTGAATGACCTCTAACACCAAACATCTCCAACTTACTGATGAGTATCACGACAAACCCGGTCGTTGGATGCCTAACTGCGTATTCTCCCCCATCCAAAGCAGAGCATTATATTTGTTATGAGCTGAACTTTTCAATTGATCTTTTGTGATCAATCATGAATAATTTATTCCAAGTGATTGTCAAAGCCATTAATAATTCCATTCTATGTTTGGGAAATTTTCAAGCATACACATTTGAAATTTTTTATGATTATGTTCTACTGAATAATTTTATTTTTTAGAAGGAACTCCTAGATGCTTGTGATCAATTTGGAAAAAATGCCATAAAATACGCAACCGAGCATGAGAACATGGATATTGTATCGTTCATTTTAACGCAGATAAATCAGCCAGAAACACTGTAAGTTAACAAAAATTTGAAGTTTCAAGGGATAATCGATTTTTAATATTTAATTATGAGCAGGATGGGAAATAATAGGAATATAATCGACATGCATTTACAATACGAGAACGGATACAACGTGCCAGGTGATGAAGCGATTCTTTAATCGCAATTAGTTTAAATTTAATATATCCCTTTTTGCAGGTCATAAATCATTGGAGGAACTTCTACGAGAATACGGCCTGGAAAAATACTGGACGATATTTAAGAGCAATAATATAACTTTAATGCAGTTCTTACACATGACTGAACCAGATATGAAACAAATAGGCATCAGGTGAATTTAATTTAATCCAGAATTTATTTAGAAATTCCAAATTTAAGATTTGTTTACAGAAAGTATGCTTTTTTCTTTCAGTACTCTCGGAGCGAGAAGAAAGCTGTCACGACTGATTCTCAATTTGAAGATAGGAGTGTGATTCTTAATATAACAAAAACATTATTTTAATCAAAAGTGTAATATTAATATATTTATATAACAAGAAAAAAAATTTTGTATTGATACTTAGGCAAAAACTTAAAAATTATAAATTTTACCAAATAAATATATTTTTAAAAAAACTTGTTTCAATTTTAAGGCTTAAATGAACATCAGCCATGAAAACAGAGGACTATCGTCTATTTCTAATATTTTAATTAAAATTTGAAATAAACAAATTTTAGGATTGTGTTAACAATTAATAATTTTTAAAAAATTCAAACAGTTAGTACAATAAATTAAAAATGTATAAACATTACAAATAACAATGTATGAACAGAATTACCTGAATTTTTTTTTTTAATTAGCCCGCATGGCATAAAAACAGACATTCAACGCTTGAAGCACATTTCTAAAATTGAAACATAACAGTAACATAGTACTTCCTAGTACAAAACAGATTCCTTATATATTATTTAATATAATCACTGAAGTGAAATGTTATAAATAAAAATATATGCTATATAAAAAAAGGTACTCTTCTTTAAAGCAAAAAGGTGGGTATTCTCTATTATTTACAATAACAACAAATGGTAATTTGTATATCATTTTGTTTCAGGCAAGAATTTTATACTGATAAGGCACAAGTTTATAGTCTTAAAGTATTTACATTAAAATTAAAACAAACAAAAAACAGGGCCCTTCACCTCCCCTTGTTTTAATATTACAACAAAGATACAAACACAAACTTAAAAAAAAGTACAGAAGGAGGTACAAAGGTAAGCAAAGGTAAAAATGATTGAGTATTAAACAAATAATCAAAGTTTGATCTTAATTGATCAAACCTGATTAGAGCGAATGATTTTGGCCTTTAGTTTCTTTTCATCTTACTCTACTTTTGGTGAACGTCTGTACAAAATTGCAAGTTAACTAAAAATTCTGTGAAGAAAATACACCAAGGAAATATTCAATCTGTCGAATCAGAAAATTGGTGTTTTTTTTCTTTAATACATTTTATTCTATAAATTGATATAAAAAGACAAGTGCATAAAAATAGCATCAGTAATTATTTTTAAAAACCCCCGACCTTTTCCAGAAAAATCCAACGATTTTATTAAAATTTTACACCATCGATGGCAAGACTGCATTGAAAAAGGTTAATGAGATACCTTAAATTCGGCGTAGAATATTCAATTCTTAGGAACTTTTATTATTTATTTTTAATCGATTTGTATTTTTTGAACTTCTATTACCTCCTCGGATTGGGACCCTCCTCTAGTTTCCTCCAAACAACCTACAAATGTTTAAATATAATATTTTTCATAATTGCTCACTGATTTACACACATGCACACACCCACACGAACTTTGATAATCCACTTACATTTTTTTTTAAACCAAAAATTGGGGTACCACACAAATACTCATTGTTAAACTAATTATAAACTTACATTGCACATTTCTCTAAGAAGTGCTTTTTCTCCTTGGTCCATTGGTGCCCCAGGGTCGGGTGTATTTCTTTCCAACTGTTCTCTAACCTCAAGCACCTGAAGCGCTTGTACAACACTCTGAGGTGGTGATAAAACCTCCTGTAATTAGGCAAAATATAAAAATGAAAAAAAAAATTGTGTGGTATATAATTAATAATTAAATGGAAAATAAAACACCTACAGAGTTCCAAACTGGGACAGGTGTGCCAAGCTTCTGATGTAAGCTCCTGTTCTCTTCTTCCAGAACTTTGATCCTTGCCTCCAAACGTTGTATGTATTCTAACATTTGAGGAGTGTCTGTTGGAAGAATCAAATTATAAGAAGTTCATGTATAAAACAGGAAAAATTTTTTCTACCATTATTTGTCGAATTTTGTGATACTGGACGGAATGTATTGTGAGGAGGCATCTGGGGCTCGTCGGCGTTTGTACTTGAACTGCTGCCATCTCCATCATCCCTTCTTAGCGCTGCACCACAGCCTCGGCACATCCCATTTCTTTCCTCATCTAAATATAGGCATAACTCCTGCAATTTAAAAAAAGAAAAAGTAGTGCAAATTGTGAAGACAAAAACAAATATTATGGGAAAGAAAAGTACTTTTAATTCCAAATTATCTTTTATTAGCTCTTGCTGTTTGGAATCGAGTTCCCTTAACTTGTTCTGATAAGCGGACACTTCTTGCCGCATTACACTTGCAGTGTACCTCCCGAACCTTTGCCATTCCCTTGCGAGTTTCCTTCCTTTTTGCCTGTCGTCGTCTAGGAAACAGCAAAGGTCCCTGAGCTCTTGGTTGTCATCGCTCAATCTTTGATTGGTCTCTTTAAGAGTCCTCATTTCATTGGCTACTCTTCTCGTCTAGAAAGTTGTAATAAATTTATCTTAAAGCGTATAACAATTGGGAAGGGATGAAAATAAAAGAAAGCGATTCTCATGAAAGCCTTGAGAAAATCTCACTGGCATTAACATAAATTAACATGATCACACATTTCCTACCTGTTCTGCAGCTAGACGTGCTGCTTCTGCATCAGGCTTTCGTACAAACTTGAGCATATCTTGTTGAGTGGGCTGTGGTGAGACACAGTACTGCCCTGGAAGCACTCTTGAAATTATGTTTTCTCCTTCTCTTCTAGAAAAAAAAAATACATTTCTATTATACAAAGGAAAAAGTTTAATAATAAAAATTACAAAGAACTGACAACATATATAAAAATGTCATAAATTAGTGAAAATTAATGGCTTTTAATAATATGATTATTTCTGAACACCCTGACTTGCCTACTGTCTCTGTTTTGGTCTTTCAAATAAAGAATAAAGTTAAATTTTCATTAAATTGGCTTATAGTGCATAAACTTACTCTTATTCTATGTTTATAGAATATAGAAAAAATTGTATCTTCCTCTTTGACTTGACTCCTCAGCAACCAGATTTAATGAAAGAAAAATTATCTCGATCTTTATCATATGGTCAGGATAAATCTGCCTATCAAGATGCATGTGTAAAAAAAATTATTGTTAGAGTTACTTTTTATGTTGGGCTTTTGAGAATCATCCACTATGGTAATGCTGGCAGACCAGGGCTATCGACAGCTATCTATTTTAGTCCCAAAGGCATGTCATAAAGTAAACATCCCAACTTAAACCTTAAATAAATTCCTAATAATTGGTTAATTTTTTTCTTCAATCAACTTATACTCAAAGTTTAAGTGTTTAAAACTTTCTCATAACGGTTCTCAATAGGGAGAATTTTTTTTTTCAATCTGCTATCACATGGGACATATATAACTATCAGAACATGAGGCCTTACCTGAAAAGTGTCACCATGTCAACCATGTAAGGCCTAATAAATGGTATCAATTAGCACTTTTCCAGCTTAAATTTTTGGATAGGTCATCTACCATCGAACCCGTAAAAGAAACTTCTATAACAATCCTGATAAATACTGCATTCTTTTTTAAAAATCATATTATTTATTGAATTATAATTGTATAATATTGGTTTTGGGTTCACAGCACATATTGGTTTTCTTACAAATAATAGTAATTTAAAAAAATTAGAATAGGTAATTATTAATCAAGTATCCTCTTTTAAATTTTGAAATAAATTTCTTGGAAGCACTTCCTTCTATTTCACATTATGTCTGTGTTCTCACTGTTTGTTCATGATAAAGTCTTACGTAAAAACAATTACAACCACTTAAAATAAAGTCTAATTTTTTATTTTTATAAAAAGATAATAAATATTATAACTTTATTTATTTATTTGCTTATTTTTGTTGATTAAGGTCAATAACTCTACACTGATAATTTAAGAAGTACGGGTAGAGAAGAACAAACTAGATTCCAATAAAAAGACATAAAAATGATTGTAAGTAAATAAGAAAGAATGCATTTAAGAGTTTGGCTCCTCCAGCATTCTTGCCTTGCTCGTCCACCATCATAAAACATGGCATTACATCTCTAGATTAGTACCATAAATATTTTTATATGCAATTGCATTTATAAAATGGTCTGGTGCTAATACGCAAACTATTTTTAGTATATTTAGGTGAGATTGTGAATTGGTTCAGATTTGGGAACTGATTGTGTTGGAGGCTAAAATCACCTAGCAGTCGGCAGCTCCTGGAGCCCATCCTCAGTGGCTGGCCAGAAAAAAAGAGGTCTAACCGCAGGGTGTTTCATTAAAGTTTTCCTATTTATATTCTGTTAATGTTTTACTAAGAATACAGTTGTAAAAACAAACAAATAAAATACAATAAATAGAAAAGTGAGTGTGAATGGGTTTGGATTGTGATGGGGGCTGAAATGACCTAGCTGTTGGTAGCAACTGGAGCTCAACCTCAGTGGCCAACCAGATAAAACCGAGGTGTAACCCCGGGGTAGGTGATTACCAAGGCTATGTTAATGTTTTATGAAGAATGCGGTTGTAAAAAAAATAAATATGAACACATTTGATAAGTTCTAATGTACCTGACCCTTGTATAAATGCAATTGCGTATGATACAATAAAAATATTTATTTTTGCTTTTTTTACGGTATTAATCTAGGGATGTAATGTCAAATTTTATGATGCTATACGAGCAAGCACAAAGATGTTCTTGTTCTGATAAAACCGAGGTCTCATCCCGGGGTGGGTGATTTTTGAGGTCTGCCGGATGCCAAGATGTTCTCGTACTGAGACCATGTCATGCAAACAAACACAACTGTGTGTCCGCAGGCTGTATTCCCTTTGAATAGCAGGATTCTGGGTCTTCTATAATTTTGAATTTTGCCGGATATGAACGGTGAATCATAATTGAAAGGGGGCAATTTCTTGGCTTCATATAGAGAACGCTACTTGATATAAGTATTGTGCTTGAGCACAGCATCAAATATTTGAATTATTTGTTCCGATGCAGAAACAGGGTTGTTTTTATTGTAAATGTACTGATAGTCTTGTCTTATGTCCATGAAAACAGGGTTGTTTTATTGTATACTAATAGTCTTATGTCTCATAGTGAATGTGCAGTGTGAAAGGTATATGGCAGAATATTGAGTACCCCATCAACCCCCAATTAAGTTAGTTATATGTGTGGAGGGTGACGGAGGAATATCAAGTACTCCACCACTCTAATTAAGTGATTGTACCAAGGTTGTTTTAGTGAGTACTGATAGTCTCATGTCCCCTACTGAATGTTGAGAGTGACTGTACTTACTAGCATGAATCTGTGATGTGAGAGGGTCTATGACGGAATAAAGAGTACCCCATCGACTCTCAATTAGGATAGTTATATGTGTATGGTGATGGAGGAATATTGACTATTCCACCACCCTAATTAAGTGATTGAAAGTTGAGAGTGAATGTACTTATTAGCGTGAATCTGTGATGTGAGGGGGTCAATGGTGAAATATTGAGTATCCCATTGACCCTGATGCTGCACGAGCAAGATGGTAGAAGTGGAGCAAGGCTCACCTTTCGATTTGTTGCACGGACGGCTTGTAAAGATGCGAAGGATCGGCTACGATGGCACCTGGTACATGGTGCGGTCTGATGATTTCTTGCGGAGGAGGACCTTGGTACCTCGGTGGAGCTCCACCACTCTCTACCTTCTTCACGACAATCCCTCCTTTGTTTACAATGTTGGACATGTTCCCTGAAGAGTGCTCGGAGTCCTTTCCCACTTGTTTATCCCGCTTTGGAGTCTGTCGAAAGGGGCGAAATCACATCCTCGGCCTCCAGGGCAGCCCAGGGGACGAAGAGCTGCAACATATCGGCCTCAACCTCACAAAACCGACCGGAATCGGGTCAAGAAAGTGTGTTGATTCGACGGTACCGTTAACCGATGATTATAAACTTTGGACACACGACTTATGGACTTCCTCTAAGATATCGACCCCCTTAAGGACAACTGTTACAAACGACAGCCTCCCTTCAACGCAATAAAATAAACACTTACCATTTTACAGAAACGAAAGTGAGCCCGATTCAAATAAATATGTCAACAAGTGCTAAAACAACATTCCTAACCCAGTTAGCATCAGCTCTCTCACAATCACTGAACTTCTGGTAGGAGGGAGAGAAATGTTGTTTCTACCACAATGCTACCAACTCCAGCCTTGGCCTAAGTTCAAGGATTTTATAAACTTTAAAACTCCACCTCACTCCAGAAAAACACTTTTTTTCTACTCTAACTACATTCTAATAAAATATTAAACGTTACCCAATGGAAACATAAAAGACAAGTCACATGAGCTCTTTTCTACAACAGAAATTCTTTACATTCCAGGGGAAGAACGTCCTCTACCAGATAATGCAAATTGCTTGTCTGTCCTTCAGGGCTATTAAGCAATCTTACATCCAGCTTCTGCTTTCCCTTTAATGTCACGTTCTGAAATAATAATCTGAATATGACCTTTTTTTTATCTGTCAAACCGAAGAAAATTTTCGACACTCTCTGCTCATTTTTTTGTTGTTTCTGCATCTATTAAAGACTATGGTATTGCTAGGAAAAATGCTGACAAAACACTATTGTAATTTAAATAGAAATGTTAACAATGGAGTAACTTTAACTTAAGAACTTTAAGCCTTGATAATCACCCACCATGAGGTCAGGCCTGGGTTTTATCCATTCAGCCACCAAAATTTGGGCTAGCATCACAATCAGTTCATAAATCCATACCCATTCACACTCACTTATGTTTTTATTTTATTTTATTTTTTTTTTACAACTTCTTAGTAAAACATTAACATGAATTAAAAATCTAGTGTCATGAGCGGGATTCGAACATACATCAGCTTAAGGTCATGTGTTTGAATCCCACTCGTGACACTAGCTTTTTTATTTCATCAAGACCTTACATAAAAAGAATAATTAATTGAAAGAAGTAATTTGGTCAATCGAAACTACTAAACATAATGGATTTAATTAGCATTGGAATATAAATGGGAAAACTTTAACTAGCAGAGAATTATCTACCCAGGGGTTAGACTGGTTTTATCAGAATGAGAACATTTTTGTGTCACACTATAAAAAATTTGACATTACATCCCTACATTAATACCGTAAAAAAGCAAAAATAAATATTTTTATTTTATCATACGGTATAAGTACATTAGAATTTAACAGACATGGAAGAAACCGTTTATACCTGGCATTATTCAAAACGATATAGGACCCAAAATTCCTGCAGGAAGTGAACACAGCCTGCAGATACACATAATATACAATCGTGCTTATATGAGTGATAAAGGGCAACCCTAATATTAAACAGCGTGTTGGGTGTTAGCAGTCCAGGGTCAGACCTCGGTCTTATCAATTTAGCCACCGATGTTGGGTCCCAGGGGCTGATAGCAGCTAGGTCATAACACCCATTCACGCTCACTTTTTTATTTATTTTATTTATTTGCTTATTACAACTGCATTCTTAGTAAAACATTAACAAAACATAAATGGGAAACCAGCAAGCCTTGAGAATCACACACCCTGCTAGGTTAGGCCTCGGTTTTATCAGGCTAGCCACTGAGCTAGAACAGCTAGTCATTTCACCCTTCAACACAATCAGTTCTTAAATTCGAACCTATTCACAATCTCACTTAAATGCTTTTTTAAAAAAGATAGTTCCTATTCACAGTAAATTGTTTTCCAACAATCCAGATTTCAAGCCCTTAGTTATCATCAGGTTGAAGGATTTCTACAACCCAATGATGAGCTAAGGGCTCGAATTCCGGATCGTTGGAAAAAACTTACTGTGAGTAGGAAGTATCTTTTTTAATAAAGGATTGAACACTGAACTCACTCCATCATTCATCATTTCTATCTCACTTAAATGTACTAAGAATAATTTACATATTACTACCAAACCCTTGCATAAATGCAGTCACATATCATACAATAAAAATATTTATGGTACTAATGTTGGGCTTTAATGTCAAGTTTTATGATACTAGACGAGCATAACCCATCTTCTTTGCTTACAATCACTTAATTAGGGTGGTATTCCTCCATCATCTTCCACACATATAACTAATATAATAGGGGGTTGATGGGGTACTCAAAATTCTGCCATATAACCCTCTCACATTACACATTCATATTAGTAAATACATTCACTAGGGGGCATAAGACTCTCAATATATTTGTATATTTAACCTTGTTTTAATTTAACCTCAAAGGATCGGAACAGAAGACCCAGATACTTGATGATATTCTCATATTGCCAGTAGTACCATACTCATATTGCAATCGCATATAATGCATTAAAAATATTTACTTTTTTTTACGATACAAATCTAGAGATGTAATGTCAAGTTTTATGTTGCTAGAGGAGCAAGGCTTAGAATAAATACAAAAAAGAATATAAAGAAGAGACAAGATAAATATAAATATCAATTGTGCTGTATAAGAATAATAAAGAGTTTTTTATCTTCATAAATTTAATGAACATATAAAATTTTTTATATTTTGACACCAAGATGTTATTGTTTAGAGGCCTTGTCTGGCATTTTGTTGCCATTCTCAATATTACACTTTTTTACGAATGATTCGCATTTGTGGCTTTTCTCATGTTTCTGTGCTATTCTCCCTCATACATCTTTGTATGTGTGAATAAGGAACTTTTGTGTTGACAGTCAGTAAGCTTTCAGCTTCTAGATCTACATTTGTTGTGTGTGTGTGTGTGTGTGTGTGTGTGTGTGTGTGTGTGTGTGTGTGTGTGTGTGTGTGTGAGAGAGAGAGAGAGAGAGAGAGAGAGAGAGAGAGAGAGAGAGAGAATGAGATGACCCAGTTAGAAGAAAAAATAAAAACCTTTAAAAGAAATTAAACTACATAGAAAAGAACTAAAACACAACAAGCCAATTTTTATTTTTACAACTTGTCTAACATTTGTCAAACAAACAATGTGTATAACACCTTTTTAAAAAAAAATTAAATTAAAAATATAAAAAAATAAGCGATCTTAGTGGAATCAAGGGGAATTTACAAAATTCACATCAACTCAGCTGTAAGTTCAGTATACAAAGTAGAAAACGATTGTGAAACATAAAAATGGGCAAAATATCCAGATTTAAAACAAAATGTGCGAAACACGAAACAAGAACTCGGCCAAAGACAAATGAGGACACAATCTAACATAGGATACAAGCAGATAACAGAAAAACTAACAAATAATCAAAGAAGAAGAACAGGGGGAAATAAAAAGTAAGCAATGTTTGCACAATTTGAATCTGTCTAAAAACGCGCCCAAGTTTCTTTCCCGTTTGTTTCAATTTTATTCATGCTTTAATTAAAGCACAAAACATTTCTGCATTTAGTTCAAAGGTTTTTTTTTTAAGTTGTAGAAATTAATATCTTTTTTATGTTGAGTAGACACTTTGTAAGGTCAATCAAGAACATATTAGAAATTTGAATTTGTCTGTGTCTAACGCGTTCGGAAAAGTGGATAAAACATGGAAAAGTGTAGTGAATAGGGAAAATCTGCGGAAATTTTTTAATTAAGTCCAGTGTGGATACGCCAGGTAAAGTCTGGGGCTTTTTTTGTCTTTTATGGCAGTGCTGTTGTCGTTTTCGTCAAAGTCGAGTCGATTCACTTACGAAGGTTATTTTATTTCATTTATCACATTCGCAGGTACGACTCAGATTCGGACGTCGTTCGTTTGTGATTGAACGTCGGATGGAGTTCCACTCGGAAACAGCGAATCTCGCCGTCTAAATTTTTGTAAGTGGATATTTTGGATTTATTTCGACAAAGGAGGCCCGTTTCCAGGCTTCCTTTTTGTAAAATCTTTAACCAGCCGTGCACGTCTTTTATGTTTAATTTTAGAATTGTCATTTTTTTTTGCGCTTATTGACACTGCGTATCCAGGCACTTACAAGGTCCGTTCAGCCCAAAATGACCAATTTTAGGACGGTTTTGAGGTTTTTCATTTCCCTTTGGGCACTTTTAGACACTTAGATACTATTTTTGAAATTTTTAAAAGGCCAAGTGGTACGTCTAAACCTGGCAATTTGTGACAATTGACTCAAACGTAAAGTTGTGACATTTTCAGGTCTAAATTAAGTAAATAATCCGCTGACAGGAAAACCATTATTCTTCTCAGGCATTGACATTTCTAAACTGAAGTCACTTTACTTGTACACCAGCCTCGCCTATTTTCCAGTCTTAATCAGTCAAAAAGGAGGATTGTTTTTGCAGGAATTATCTATTAAAATTAATTTATCTCTCATCTCCAGAAATAACGTTAATATTCACAATTCCTTTTTGAAACATAATTGAACAACGTTTAGTGAGACATTTTCTATCTGTTGACATTAACAAAAAAACATGTCTCGGAATGATAGAATCAACTTGTTCTCCCAATTTTTTTTCGTTTGTAATATACAAAACCATTATATTCTTAAACATCATTGACAAATCTGATTAGTACTATTTATTATTATTTAACCACCATAAAGATTTGCATGCTAAATTTCTTGTGTTCTTATAGAAGAATCTTATCTCAGAATGAGAAGTCAATTTGTCTCCCATTTTTTTCAGGAATTGTACAGAACAAAGCCATCATCTTCTCAAAAATCATTGATACATCTGTGTTAGCACTATTTATCATAAAACATCAACTATAACGATTTGAATGCTAACATTGTTATTTTAGAGTAAGCTTGTCCCAAAATGAAAAAATCAAATGTTCTTCTATTTTCTTAAGATGTTTACACAACAAAGCAATTATATTCAAAAACATTGTTGACAAATCTGTATTAGCACTATTTATCATTCCACATCAACTGTGAGGATTTGTGTGCTAACATTGTTATTCTATAATAAGCTTGTCTCATAATGATTAAAACAACTTGTTTTTCCATTTTGTTAGGATGTTTTCACAACAAAGCAATTATATTGAAAAACATTGTTGACAATTCTATGTTAGGCACTTTTTATCATGCCATATCAACTGTGAGGATTTGTATGCCAACGTTGTTATTTTAGAATAAACTTGCCTCATAATAACAAAAACAACTTGCTTTCCCAATTTATTAAAAATTTGTACGCAACAAAACCGTCATCTTTCCAAACATAGTTGAAAACTCACTTTGAAAAAAGGCAAAAGGAGGGAAAACTCATAAGGTGGGGTTGAGATGGGGAGTTGTTGTCCAAGTGGATTGAGGTCACGATAGTTCAGGTGGTAGAGCAGCGGCGTATCTAGCCGAAGGTCGTGGGTTCGAATCCCTCTCGTGCCATTAACTTTTTTTCATCTCAACTAAAAACCTTAAATAATTGTAATGTACATAGTATTAATACTCGATATTCANTCTCAATTTCTCTCTTTTTCTCTCTCTCTTTTTCCAGGAATTATACAGAACAGAACAAAGCCATTATCTTTTCAAAAATCATTGATACATCTGTGTTAGCACTATTTATCATAAAACATCAACTATAAGGATTTGAATGCTAACATTGTTAGTTTAGAGTAAGCTTGTCTCAAAATGAAAAAAATCAAATGCTCTTATATTTTCTTAGGATGTTTACACAGCAAAGCAATTATATTCAAAAACATTGTTGACATCTGTATTAGCACTATTTATCATTCCACATCAACTGTGAGGATTTGTGTGCTAATATTGTTATTTTAGAATAAGCTTGTCTTAAAACGACAAAAACAACTTGCTTTCCCAATTTATTCGAAATTGGTACGCAACAAAACCGTCATATTTCCAAACATACTTGAAAACTTTGTATTAACACTACTGATTATTCTTCATCAACCGTAAGATGTACGCTAACGTTCTTGTGGTATTTTGGAAGAATCTTTTCTCAGAATGACAAATCAACTTGTTCTCTCGCTCTCTCTCTCTCTCTCTCTCTCTCTCTCTCTCTCTCTCTCTCTTTCTCTCTCTCTCTCCTCTTTTTCCCACGAATTGTACAGAACAAAGTCATTATCTTCTCAAAAATCATTGATAGTGTTAGCACTATTTAGCATGAAACATCTACTATAAGGATTTGAATGCTAACATTGTTATTTTAGAGTTTGCAAACATGCTAAACATATTTATTAAAAATTTTCCAATTTACATTTCCAAAACAAACAATCAATTTACCTTATTTACATTAATCTTGCCTGTTTTCAATTATGCACCAGTGAAAAACAAAATATTTTTTTCTAGGATTTATATATTACTTAATTATCAATTTTGTGTTCAGAAGTTTCCCTAAATGTTAACAAGCCTATGTTCCCATTAAAGAATCATGTCTCTGAATTTAAAAATATTGGTAATGTCATTGGTTAGATTGTAGACTTGTAGTTCAGTTTTGGTTGGGATTACTATAATATCAAGATTTTAAACTTTGCTATTTATTGATTTAAGTGTATGTGCAGAATTGAAACCCAATATGATCAACCCCCTCTGGCGGTTTGGTTGTTTGGGATCAGATTGCTGTACGTTAGCTGTTCTGGGTTTGAATTCTGAAACAGCGAATCGTTTATTAATTGATAATAGTACAAATGAAGTATTATAAAGTAGTTTTACCTCTTCCATGAAACCCAATGGATAGTGATTTTTAATACATTTTTTCAAATTTCCTATTCCCTTTTTTAATTACCCCAGATAGGACGCTAGATATGTGACGGTCAGTTTCAATTATACCATTGATTTTTCTTTTTGAAATGTATAGATAAGACTATCCACTAAAAACTGCCTTCACATTTGCACCCAACTATGTAGGGTTGTTAAAACTAAAATATCAAATCAAACTAAAAGAAAAGGGAATGTATAATAAAATAAAACATAATAACGAAATTAGAAATGAAATTAAAAATTAAAAATGTACTCCTTTAAGTAAAAGAAAAAAATGTATTTATTTTTTAAAACAAAATTTTTAAACTTTGGTGAAAAATTATAATTTTGAAATTACTGACTTTGACAAAAAATAAGGTTATAATGCATCGTTCGTGTAGACTTGAATTTTCGGGATCCCAGGTTTGCCGTTCCAAGATGGCCGCAAAATGTCTTCTTGCTGGACAGTTGTTACCACTTATTAGCTGGACCTCTGATTGGCATATATTTTGAAAACACCTCAGCTGAGGAGTTCGTTTATCCTGTATATCCCCTCTTTCTTCCACACCGCCTCTGGCCTCACATCGCACTTCAAACCCTTTCTCAGGGTGAGACGATTCCCAAAAAATGGATATTAACACCGCCATAGGGAAAATCCAGTTTCAAAATTTGGCGAAATCGTCGCACACAACACCACATTGGGAGTGGGAATCTGTGTTTTACTGGCAGGAAAATGTGCTTCCTCAATTTCCGTAAGCCCTCCTTATGATGGGAATTACTTTACTCCTGCAAATAATGCAGGATTGTACTCCAAGCCACGAGAATCACTCTGTGTCTGATCCAGATCAGACCTCTGTCTTTTCCTACTAACTGCCGAAGTTTGGCTCCAGTGGCTAGCTACAAGGTCATTTCTGCTCCTCATTCCTGAAATTTTAATCAAGAATCATTCTTAAATACATTCTTTCTTATATACATACGAAACGAGTGTTTGATATTCTTTAATTATCACTTGTAATTAGTCTAGTTCTTATAGTCTAATTGAGGGTCGATGGGATACTTGACATTCTGCCATGGACACGTTTGTAGTTCACACATTCTTGCTTATAAATACATTCTCATGAAACAGTGAAGAAAGTGAAGCAAACTTTTTATATAAGTTTCTCCCACAAATGGGAATAGGGGACCCAAACTACTGCCCCAAAGGTTTGCTGTACTTGATCACAATTCCTACTTGCTCCCTATATGGAGCCATGGAATGACCCCCTCTCTTCAATTAAATGGGACACATTGAGCAAATCTATCTCTGCATGCTGAAAACAGAGTCAAATGTATATTTTTAAACAATCATGTCTGTATTTTTCAAATGTTTTAATGATTATTATAAGTTATCAGAATTTATATAATAGTTTTTTTTTATGTTATGTAAATCAGTGCCTTAAAAAACACAACATATTTCACCACACGTAGTTATATGTATATTTTTTCCTTTAAATTTCAGTTATATTTAAACAAAGATGGTGTGATGGATGAAAGCATGGAAAACAACAATGATGAAGGGAGCCAGGGTAGCTTTCCACGGGGCGGTGGTGATATGCTCAACCCAGCGGAACAGAGCGAAGACGGTGCTGCGCCTCCCCTTGTGCTGACAATTAACGAAAGCTCTCCTCGCAACTCTTCTTCATCTGGCGAATTTGTAAGTGACGTTATTTCACAAAAGTATCGAATAAATTTTAAATAATTAATGTCTACGATGATATATCAGTAAAATTTAATACAAAAATACAAATGTCAATATTAAATTCGATAAGACTGTGTAAGTGTGTGAATTCTGCACACAAACCTCTGATAAATTCGTGATTTTTTTGTTTAAATAACATACTTAAATGTTTTATGTTGTAATCCTGTTAATGGTTCTACGATATAGAAAAAAAAAAAAAAAAGAAAATACTTTGCTTTGCATTAGAATAAGTTTATATTAATTGCTGTAGCGAAAGTTTTTTCAAAAGCACAAAATAGCCATTTATAAACCAATTAAAATTGTGTTTTGTAGCGAGAAACGTCTCCAAGATCATCCGAAGAATTAAGCGAGATCTGGAGAATTTGGGACCAGGTACAATCAGTGTTGAATGGTCACTTTGCATATATTTAATTATTGTGAGTCCATTTTTGATAATGTTTTCAATTTTTCAAAATAGAGAACGACAGCCTTGGAGAATGGCAATGCTTCAGGCTCGGCAGTCGAGGTAATTTCTAAATGTGCAATCCATAATCGCATGTGGTTGGTACAAGAAATTATTTACTATTAGGGATTTTTTTTCCGCATCTTATCAATAAGTTATTAAAAATCGATGGTAAAAAAAATATATCGCATAAAAAATGCAATAAAGATCCAAATATACATAAAAAAAAAATTGTTGAAAAATATTATTATAAGTTATATGATTACACCTTATAAAGCCTTGTATTCACTTGTTGCATACCGCTGCTGCGAATCATGTATGGTGCGAGCCTGAGTAGTTTTACTCTGTGTTAAAAAATGTAATGTTGGAACAAAAGTTTTTTTTTTCCAATGGATACTAGGAACTGGAGGAGTTCCCTCCCTCCTACGCACTGCAGCAGTACAGCTTATTGTACTTTATCCCTGGCTTCATTTTTTGGGGGCTCACAACACAAGTGTGAATTTGAGCCCCCGATGTGCCGGTGTTTTTCTATGAAACTCATTTTTGAAGGGGGTTGGGGCCAAATTCAGGGTCGCTGAGATCTGATCCCGCTCCTTCCATTGATGAGTGCCGTGTCAATTTCTTTCAATTGCAGCCCCCGATCCCCTTAGGCGTCAGAAGAAGTCCAGAGGCGACGGTGGGGATCGAACCCACGACCGCGGGATCTACTAGCCGAGAGTCTGATGCCTTAACCACTCGGCTAACCCCCCCCCACACACACACAAATGGGCTTGATCGGATAATTGAATAATTTTTTTTTTTTACGGATTCAGGCAAGTCATAGTCTGTACGGCCAAAATGGTAACTCCATTGCTTATCGTCTTTGTGTGGTTCACTCATTCACTGGTTACTCGTTTAGGAGTCGGTTATTAAAAACGGTTGGGTCCTAGAGATTATTTTTCTATTCATTGTCAATTATTAAATTATTAAATTAAAAAAAAAAAAAAAAAAAAAAAAAAAAACCAAGGATCTAGGAGGGAGGGAGTGAGAGAGGGAGGGAGGGAGTGAGAGAGGGAGGGAGGGAGTGAGAGAGGGTGGGAGGGAGAGGGGGAGAGAGAGACGAGGAGTGAGAGGGAGAGAGAGGGTGGGAGAGAGGGCGGGAGAGAGAGAGGGAGAGAGAGAGATTAAATTAAAGATGAAAAAGAATAAAAGGAAAACTATCACAGATGAAGACCCATAGACCCATTGCAGCACGATAAAATGTGATAATACAGGCAAAAATGAAAAAAAAAAAAAAACATACAATGCATAATTGTGTATCAGTTGGTATGTAACAGCAACTCGATAATGCAACAAATGGATACAAGACAACGGTACGCCCAGAATATCTGAAGTTTTTTTTAAGTTCGGTCAAAGGTGGTCCACTGTCTTACAAAATATAAAAAAAGCGAAGTTATTTTGAAACAATAATATATTCAGCGACAGCCTGTAGTAAAAGGCAAAATCAGAAATATCAGTAAAATCAACAATTGTATATTTTTATAAATTTTGTATTTGTTTACCTTTTTCTCTTTTAAACTACTGATTAACTTGACTGCATCCTATGCTTGCTCATTTTGGTTGCCCACGATGGAACCCAATTTATAAAATAGCTCTTTGCTGCTTAGAAATAACGTAAAAGATTTTTTTTTTTAACTTTTACCCAAGTGATAAATATTATATGACACAAAAGGTGCGTCCCCTGCAGTAAATGAAGTACCCAACCCCCGCAGAAGGTTTTTTCAATTTGAATGTGTACTTGAATAAAAGTTGTTTCATTCTACAATATTTTTTATTTTTATTTGATGTAATCATACAAAATGGGTAAAAGTTAAAATAACATAACACGTACACAGAAATTACATGGTTTTAATAGAATAAATAAAAAACCATTTCCATTTGAAAAAAAAAGAAAAATTGAAACAGCCATAGCTAATGACGCTTTTGCACCTTTTTGAGGCCGTTGTATGAATTTCAAATGGAATTTTGTAAAGGATGAAGTGGTGGGAGAGTTTAAAAACTATAAATGGGAGGACGCAGACCATGTGTCCATCATATTATGGGCATGACACAAATGTTGCGTCTTTTGCGGTGTTAAAGATAAACATTAAATTATATTTATCATATTATTATAATTGTTTCAGGAATTTGATGACAGTGGCAGCAATGCGGAATGGCTAAACACATCAAGTACGAGTTCAGATACTGAAAAAGAATCTGAAGTTGTGAGGCCGACTCCAAAAGTTCTATTCAAACCAAAACCAAAGCACAATTGGTTTATTCTTAAAGAACTTTATTTGAGGTAGTTTGATAAAAATTAATTTTAGTACAAATTGAGTCTAATAAAAAATCATATTTAAGAGAAAATGGGTTTAACCGAAATCCATGCGCTTTCACTCAACATTTTTACGGGTCTCTTCACGCCGTGGAAAGGCTAGAGCTGATGTACAAATTGGAAGAGCATAACGGCTGTGTGAACGCTATAAATTTCAACGCATCCGGAACTAAACTCGTCAGTGGATCTGACGATCGCAATGTCGTCGTTTGGGATTGGGCAGCTGGAAAGTGCCTCTCTAAATTTAACACAGGCCATTCTGGAAACGTCTTCCAGGTAGATCAAGACTTCCGGTATATTTAAAGCTAACGTTGAAATAATTGTCTGTTTGAACAGTGCAAATTTCTTCCTTTAACTGGAGACGGGCACATTGTCACTTGCTCACGAGACGGCCAAATAAGACTAGCATATCGGGATAGTACTGGCGACTATACAAACACAACAAAACTCGCTCAACACACTAAAGCATGCCACAAATTAACACTATTACCGCAGACTCCACATGTAGTCTTATCGGCTGGCGAAGACGCTCTAATTTTACAAACTGATGTTCGCGATAGTAATCCTGAGAAGTAAGCAAAATTGTACTTTTGATATTTAATTCTTTTGCAATTACTAATTTTTTTCCTTTCCAGGCTGACATACGTAAAAGAAGGGAAGAGAAAAATTAGTCTTTATAGCATTCATAGCAATCCTATGAACGAGAATGAAATTTGCGTTTCTGGAGATGATTACTTTATAAGACTGTATGATCGAAGATTTATTAGAAGTGATGGAAATGCAGATATAAAGTTTAAACCGAAAAAATTTGTAGGTTTACATCAAACATCCATTAGGTTTTTTTTTTAAAATATAAAATATTTGTTTTAGACGAAGCCGTATTCTGTATATGTAACTTGTGCTGTGTTTAACTACAACGGGACGGAAATTATTGGCTCTTATAATGACCAAGATATTTATTTATTTGATACGAAACACTCGAGTGAAACAGACTTCATACACAGATACGAAGGTCACAGGAATTCTGAAACAGGTTTGTTCACGTTAACAATTTTCAAACATGGATTTAATGTTTTTTTTATTACAGTGAAAGGAGTAAATTTCTTTGGTCCCAAAAGTGAATTTATCGTTTCTGGATCTGATTGTGGCCATATATATATTTGGGATAAGAATACTGAATCTATCGTACAATGGATGAGAGGTGATGAGGATGGTGTGGTGAGTATAAATTAAAAATTGTAAATAAATTTTAAAAAAATTTGCAAAATTTACTGGATTGTCTTTACAGATAAATTGTATAGAACCTCACCCTCACATCCCAGTTCTGGCAACAAGTGGTCTAGATTCAGATATTAAAATCTGGATACCATCTTGTGAACACGAACCGTTGTTAAATGGTTTGGAAAAGGTAAACTTTTCTTTTAATATAATATTTTTACAGTGAAAAATTCGATCTAAGACAAAAAACCAGACACTTGTATTTTGTTATTTATTTCAAACTATATGTATTTTTAATGATTATTTGGAGATCGTGAGATGCGGTCTGGTATGACATGGGTTTTAGAGAAACTTTTTTTTTTTCGTGCCAACGTTTCGATCTTTATTGAGATCATCTTCAGGGCTCAAAGTGTTTGTTTTCCGTGTAGATGTGTCATTCTTCTGTGTCATGTTGAGAGTGGATTATAATTAAGAATAAGCTGATAAAAGTAATTAAAAAACATAAGAGTGACGACATAGCCAAATTCTTTTCACTGTGTTTGTGTGGAATCCATGAAGCATACTTTTGAACAAACCCATCTACAAAAAAAAAAAAAAAAAAAAAAAAAAAAAAATGAAAAAATCAAAATTTGCCTTATTCAAAGTAAAATGGTTGATTGGAACAAGAATTAAGCTCATAAACCACATTGTTTTAGAGTAAAACGAAAAAAAAGAAACAATGAAATTTTGTTTATTGTCTTATGTGTCTTAATTGACATAAAATGACCTGCTAAGTTAATTGGAACAAGAATTAAGCTCGTAAACACCGTAGTTTCTAATTACAAAAACAAATTTAAAAAAATGTTTTATTTGATATGACCTGCTAGGTTGATTGTAGCAAGAATTGCAAGAATTTAAGCTCATAAGCCATGTAGTTTTTGAAAAAAATTGAATTTTTTTTATTTCTAATGAGTATGGTCCTAATTCTTGGGCCGTCAAAAAGGAGTTTTCTTCTACCATAATCCTGATTATGTCATCGTCAACTTCAGAAGGATGTCCCCTGCGCATATTATCTTCAATAACAAAATTTCCTTCCCTAAATCAAGCAAACCGCCATCGGACATTACGAACATTTACACCATTAGTACCAAACACTGCACATAAATTTTAAGTTGCAACAGTTACTTTTTTTTTTTAAATTCATAAAGTAATCAATGCCTTAAATGCGTTTCATCCAATGGCATGATTACCTGTTAAATTGTTCGACACAAGTAAACAAGTTGAAAACAGAAACTGAGGAGAAATAATTAAAAGGACATTACTTTCTTGCTAAACCAATAAAAAATCTAATAATTCACTTGACAAGTTGGTTCTGAAAAGGATGAAATTGAACTGGTTTTATTTATTTTTGATCTAAAAAGTTTTTTAAAAGGATGAGTAATACACTGTAAAGGTAAACAAGTTATTTGGATTTCTGTAGGCTCAAATCCGCACAAGTACATACATATGACTTGAGAATCACCCACTCTGGGTGTTGGCATTCTGGGATCAGATCTCAGTCTTATCCGACCTGAGGTTGGGCTCCAGGGGTCACTGAGAATTGCCAGGTTAATTAAGTACCAAATGCATGCAGTTCCAAGCCCGTTCATTCACACGTTCATTCTTAAATTCACTCCTTTCATACCATTCTTAGGGTGTGATGGACCTAAATGACGTTCGACAGGTACTCGATATTCTGCCATCAACCCTCTCACATCACATTCACGCTCATAAATACATTCACTTTCAACACAACCTTTATACATATTAATCAACTAACCTAATTGATGTGGATACTCTATATTCCACCATCAACCATCTCACATCACATTCACGCTAATAAATACATTCACTTTGAACTAGGTATACACAATTATTAATTACTTAATTAATTACTATATACGTACAATGGAACAACCCTGTTTGTTCCAAGAGTAGGAACAATGGATTCAAATACTCACTGCCGTGCTCAAGCACAATTCTCAGATGTGGGTGTCAAAACGCATTCCTACACGGTCCTTGTAGAGAGCCAAGGAATTGGACTCGTCACTTAGATGGGACACATCGAACAACCTTTCTCTACGCCGGAGATATAACACAAATATAAGTGTCCGTGTCCAACCTCACACGGCCTGGCCTTAATCGGGTGAGCTCCTCCGAGGACCACCCAAAGACAGTGCTGTTGATACATGAGAGCTTCTCTTTCAATCCGGCCTATTGACTCTGCCTCTTTTAATTATGTTTTTTATTGCATTTTTAGCATCAGAGTCAGATCATGGTGGTTAAGCCTGGAGGTTGGGACCTGGGGCCTTAGTTGCAAACAAGTTATTAATGTTGTGTTTGTATTTTGAATCAACTATTAATCTTTATACATATTAGGGGCGTTGGTGGCTGCAAAGGCGCTTGTCATTGTAAGCTAAGGTCCCGGGTACAAATCCAGTGGCCCTGCAGTTGAACCCAACATACTTACAAATTTTTTTTTCAAAAACGCTGGCACCCCGAGAGTTGATATATAGAGATCATATAACCTCGTAGTTGAAATACCCTTGCAAAAAAAAATCTTTATAAATAGTTTCAATTAATTAAGGTTTTCAGTTAAGATAAAAAAGTCAGTGTCACGAGCGGGATTCGAACCCATGACCTTCGGCTAGATACACCGCTGCTCTGCTACTTGAGCTATCATGACCTCAATCCACTCGTACACCAACTTCCCATCTCAACCCCACCTTTTTGAATTTTCCCTCCTTTTTGACATTTTTCAAATGTCGTGTAATCTATTTGATCCTCGGCGACAAATGAAATGGTCACGAAGAGCTTTAGTGAAGATATACTTCATTTTAACTTATTTAATTCACTAGTTTTCATGTCCACTTGACCAATAATATCTTTCAATTAATTAAGGTTTTTAGTGAGGGGCCGCGGTAGCCGAGTGGTTAAGGCATCAGACTCTCGGCTATTAGATCCCGCGGTCGTGGGTTCGATCCCCACCGTCGCCTCTGGACTTTTTCTGACGCCTAAGGGGACCGGTGGCCGCAATTGAAAGAAATTGACACGGCACTCATCAATGGAAGGGACGGGATCGGATCTCAGCGACCCTGAATTTGGTCCCAACCCCCTTCAAAAATGAGTTTCTTCGATGGAAGAACACCGGCACAACGGGGGCTCAAGTTCACATTTGTGTTGCGAGCCCTCCCCCAAAATATGGAGCCGGGGATAAAGTACAATAAGCTGTACAGNAAAAAATAAAAAAAAAAAAAGGTTTTTAGTTGAGATGGCCAGTTCTTTTGCCGCTGAAAATCAAATAGATTACACGACATTTGAAAAATGGCAAAAAGGAGGGAAAAATTCAAAGGTGGGATTGAGATGGGAGGTTAGTGTCCGAGTGGATCGAGGTCACGATAGCTCAGGTGGTAGAGCAGCGGCGTATCAAGCCGAAGGTCGTGGGTTCGAATCCCGCTCGTGACACTGACTTTTTTATCTCAACTTAAAACCTTAATTAATTGTAATGTATTAATTGGTCAAGCGGATCACGAAATTAGTGAATTTATAAATAGTTATTATGAAAAATAAACAAATACAAGTGTCATTTTTTCCCCTTTGTCATTGCCTCTATATACTCAAGATGAATTTTCTTACAGACTGTTGCAGAGAACATTAGTAATAGGGAATCTAGAATAGTCCCAGGTGGGAATCTATCGTTGAATTCGACTATCGCTCGCTGGTGGAGGCAAATCCGAAACATAGATCAGGTACGTCCAACATTAGATTTATTTCCTCCTACTTTTATAATTTAAAATTCCAAAAAAACTATAGAACAACGCCGCAACGGGAGACCGTCAACCTATTTATGTACATTTGGATGCCCTGGGATTAGAAACATTTTTAGGTTATAACGATGATTCAACTTCTTCTAGTTCGAGTTCGTTATCTTCTGTATAGTCATTGTAAGTGTAAATAAAATGATTATTTCTTTCGGTGCAGGATTATTTTGCAAGTTGTCACTGTTTCAGGGGAAGAACGAATTTTCCGAAGTTAATACAAATTTCCAATTTGCTTTTGTGAATTATCTCCACCTGTTTTAAATGGAGAATGAGAGTGATATGTTTTAGTTTATATATTTTAAACATTGGCCTACATCTATCCAACTGTTCACACCTGATGTCTGAAACATTTAATTTAAATTAAACAAAAGTTGAGATATGTATGTCCATTTTGTAATATAAACATTTCAAATTATACTTATATCCATTGAATATGTGTAAATTGTATATTTTTAGAATGTACTTGTAATTTATATTTATAAATGTGAAGGCAAAGTCAGAGAAATGAGTTTTTTGTTTTGTTTATTAACACGTTTGCTGAAGGGTGAAGGTAATGGCCTTACCAGAGATTTAAACTTCACCCAGTCGTGCGGATTTTTCCGTTTTATTCTCTGGCAAGATCATTCCTTGTCCCTGACTAAACACAGATTTATTTTGCAAACCTGTTTTGCTTTTTTAGATTTTTAACCACTTTTTACCGTGTTATTAGGGTACAAATTGTTATATCACTTTTGTAGAGTAATAAATGGGACTAAATATACTATACAAAAAAATCAATTTTTTATTGCTTTAAATAATGAAAAAATCTTTAGAATGTGAAAATTAAGCAATTAATTATATTAATTAAATTAGAAATTTAGTAAAATTGAAGACTTTATCATGTATAACTCCGTCTTTATTTCAATTCCTTCTAAGAGATTGACCCCGAGAAGTTCTGGAAGGGATTGTGAAGAAATTTATGCTTGTGTATTTTGGTGTATGTTTTTCATAAATTATTATTACAAAACTGTAAAAAAATATATATACATATATAAAAATGGAGCATTAAAGTAGATAAAAATCTGGTTATTTATTTTTAAGCCAATTTCTTTTTTATATTCGCGTTTCAAATTGCAACATATTAATTTAATCCAATAAAGGTATAGTTGAAACAAAGTAATAAATTATTATTTTTGTTATTGTAAGAAAGAATCTCTTTGAAAACAATAAAAAAATTCCTCCCCAAAATTTTTGATATCCTATTCTTAATCTGAATTATAAATGGTTTAAGTATGAGATATCAATTTTAAAAAAAATTAAGTGTAAAATGGCTGGTGTTTTCCCTTAGTCAGGGCAGACTACGTCCCGCTCCTGCACTCGTGTTAATAACAAAATTTTTGATTTATCCATGGTGGTCATTCACTATTTTATTTATAGGCTTAAAAAGAATTTATCACCAAATGTACTGTATTTATTGTTAAAAAAATTATAAACCATTAATCATTTTTTGTTTTTGTTTTATTATTTTTTGTTAAGATCTAGTTTGCAGAAGCCCTTGTACATTAGCATGGTATGATAACACATTTTTTTTTTTCAATGCCCTCAGTAAGCCCAGAACAGTTAGTTTATTACGCTTTAATTAATTAAGTTTAAAATGTGGAAATAAAATAAATTGGAAATTTCAAGACAAATTTTAATTACAAACCCATAATAAACTGGACATAAAAAGAAATATTTACAAGCACATAACAGGTAGGTGTGTCTTAAAATTCTAAAAACTAACTACATAAACATTTATTTAATAAATATTAATTATGTCCCATTAGTTGGTGATAAAATTAGATCATTTCTTGTAATATTTTAACAATGTCTTGTAAAAATGCACTAAACAAATTTATAATCCAAAAATTGTCTCATTTTTTTGCGTCTTCCATTAAATAATTGAAAACAGTTGTTTAATAAAAACATACCTGGATTAAATATATATAAAAACAAAGGTTTCATATAATTAACTAAGTCTATTAAAATGTAAATTTCCTTTAGACACAATAAAAACTTTTTTTTGAAGATAACCTCTCTAGTATTCAAAAAGTCTGCTTTAAAAATAAATAAATAAAAATAAAAAATAGTAATCCATATATGTTTAGAGGTCATAATTGACCATATTAATTATTTCAATTACATGACCTTCGGCTTGGTGTCCAGGTAGGGGGAGATGACGGCTACCGAAGGTCGTGGGTTCAAATCCCGCTCGTGACACTAAATTTTTCATCTCAACCAAGACTTTAGGTAAAAGAGTAATTAATCAAAATAAAAAATAGTACATTTGTATGCTTGATTAGTAATATGAAGTAGAACCATGTTGTGAAGTTTGAAAATAGCATTTTGGGTATGTTGAATATTGTACGCGGTTATGTCTACACTTTTATGTATTTCTACTCGGAACGCAGAATCCAGAATACATGGAAGGAAATCGTATCCAAACACATGGAGAATGTTTTCCGGGTGACATAAACGGCAGAGGAGGGTATAGATAAAAATAGAAAATTTTGTAATAAATGAACACCAAGGGCTGTACCAGGAATCAGATTCATTTTTTTAAAGATTTTAATCTGTTTTATTGCTTTCCATCATTGCATTTCTTATAAATGAATAGTAAAAAAACAATTTTCTTTTGTATCACGTTATTTTACATTCACTCTTTTTCTTTGTATGTTAAGCCTCTGATCCATCATAAATTATAGATTTTCTAATAAAATGGATTAATAATAATAGTTTACAAATTTGCCATCAGCTTTTATCAGATACGTAAACATGTTAGTGAAGGCCATTGTTTTTAAGAATTTTTCAGTTAATAAAAACGATGTTTTAATAAATTTTTATTCCTGTGTTATACATACTTTAATCTATTTAGAATTTGTTTATTTTTGTCAATAAAAAAATATATCTTTTCATTTTTTTGCGTGTATTTTATTCATCATTATTGAAGTCTTCAGGTTCTTTTCTCATGGAGGCCGTTTTGGTTTCGATAAAGCTGTTGAAGATTTTTCTATTAAGGTGGGAAGTATAATAGTTTATTTTTATTATATTTATGACATATTGAAATAACGTTTCAAATATTCATGAAAAGCTGGATTATTTTGAGGTATGGCAATGACTCAATACTAATTGGTAAAAAACATATGTTTAATATTTGTTGTTTGTGTGTTTAAATTTTGTCCAGCTGTCTAATAATTTACATCGACATATTTTATAACACTGTCAAAAAATAAGGAATGTTGAAAACAAAATATTGCCTTAGGTGTAGATGATCTGTTTATAGTCCCTGTTTTCTTAGATCTTTTCTAAGGCGTATTTAGCCGAAGGTCGTGAGTTCGAATCCTGCTTGTGACGCTCTCTTTTTATCTCAACCAAAACCTTAATTAATTCAAAAGAATGTACTAATAAGGTTCTGTGCCAACATTTTTAAAATTTTAATTTAATTGCTTATTAGAGCTAGAACACGTCTGAGTATAAATTAAGTGTCGATATAATAATTTGATTTCCTTATTACTGATACAATTGTATGTAAAAATCAGGGATAAGACAAATTCGATAAAAAAAAATCTGTCAAATTTTAAGAGGGATATATTTTGTTCATTAGGATGTTCAAAATTTGAAACTATTTCTAATGATTTACACAGTTAAATTTACTAACGACTATTTTACATGGTTTGGGTCCTGGTCCGTATGTCTCACATGATGGAATATGTTTCTGCAGCATAAAGCGAGAGAAATTGAAATATGAATAATTCTTGAGTGTAGTTGATGAATACGGATAGTAAGAAGTCGAGATTTTTTGTTCTCCACTTAAGCTTCTGGCTTCTTGTACTTTCTTAGTTCCTTAGTTCAGAGCAACTTACTCGATCCTTCTCTTAAGAAGTACTAAGTCATTGGCACAATTCCTTTCTCTAGGATTCATGAACACAAATTCAATTTGCTTGAATCAATGTTGGTTTTAGGTATTGAGTTACCTAATTTATTTTCTTATTTTAGAAATTTTGTAAATTAGATATGGGAATAATTTAACCAAACTTATTTGATTTGAGACTTCTTGATTTTTTAAAAATTATTAATAGCACTAATTATAGTCAAATAATATTTTTGTTTTATTCAACCTCATTATTTTCAATTAGAATATTTGTTGTTGGTTCATATATTTAAGCAGCATTATTTCATTCTGTACATATTTAATTTATTTTCATTTTTCATTTTTATTTAAATTTTAAGAAAAAAATTGTAAATTTAATTTGCTTTTTATTAATCTCAAATAGAGTTTTGTTTAGCTGAATATTCTTTTATTTTGTAATTATTATTTTTTACCTTTTATAATTTGGGAAAGTCTCCAACAACCCGGCTCTTTAGACAGTAAGAGCATTTTTTTTACTTAAGACTAAAAAGCTCCCAGCATAACTTACTGTTAAGGCAAAAAATCTCATATTTCAGGTCTTTGAATTTTTTTGCAAGCTTAATTTTACATGCAAAAAATAATAATGTATCTATATAGAAAAACTGGCCAAAAAATTGTGCTATCGTTAATCATCAATTAATGCATTCTCTTAGAGTTTTATTTCATTTTAATTGATAAAACCGTTAATTTTATGGTATTTACTGTTTATTTTTTCCAGTCATAGACTATTCTTTATTTATTGCTGTACCATTGTTTATTTAGTACTCATAAAAAAATTATGCTCAAATTCACTATTTTTCGTGGTCCGCTTGACCAATTAATATCATTAAATTAATTAAGGTTTTTAGTTGAGATGAAAAAGTCAGTGTCACGAGCGGGATTTGAACCCACGACCTTTGGCTTGATACGGTGCTATTCTACCACTTACGATAACTCAAGTGGTAGAGTAGCGGCATATCAAGCCGAAGGTCGTGGGTCCGAATTCCGCTTGTGACACTGACTTTTTTTATCTCAACTAAAAACCTTAATAAATTGAATTATGCTCAAAATCAAATATTATCTGATGATAGAGCTTTTTATTGAATATATTGTAAACTAGTCTTTTGGTAAAGGTTTTTGTAAAATGTGAAGCGCGTTTTTTTTTAGGTGATAAAATGCCACGCCTTGTTAGGATTTTATTATGTGTAATTAATTCTGCCATTATTGCCACCGGTGCTTGACTATAAAATTTTTTATTGCAGGCAATCGTTTGATGAAATGATCATTATTTGGATTCGAAGAACGATGCAATCAGCAAAATGATGCTCGCTGGTTGATGAACTTCCTTGACTGTATGTGTTATATTTTCTTTGTCGTTTAATTGTTCTTTTATGTGATACATTCTAGTTAATGTAAGTTGTAAACATAGATAATTTACATTTATTAGTAATAATGTTATGATATTTATTGTTTTATCAGTTTTTTAAAATTTTTTATGCAAGGTGTGGTTGAGTTGAGAAATAATTGTCATGGGTAGGAATCGAACCCACGACACCTGGATTCGAGTCCCACTAGTAACACTAATTTTTCAACTCAACCACACTTTGCATAAAAAATAAAAATCAATTAAAATAAGTGCTTTGGTTAATAGTAACAATTTAAAACGTCTGTATTAAGGTATTTGTTGTAAAATGTTTTTAATCATAAAGTTTCTTTTAATTTGATCTGTGTTGTTTAACTTTAATTAGAAGTTATTTGTCCTTTGGCATTTTCTATTTATATGAAAGTTTCATAATCGTAATAAATATCGTTTTTGTAAATAAATCACTAACTCAGTAATAGCCTTTAATATGAGATTAAGGGGGGGGGA